TTGAAAGTTTTGATAGAATGTAGTTTGTAAGTCGTTTCATATCGTATACTCCTGAGTATTGACGTAAGTGGTGTTTGTCAATAATTCTTTCCATCTCCTCAGAAGTCTTTTGCATTCCTGACTGTATAAATTCAACGATGGCATAATATTTCCTCTTACGTCGAATGTAACGTTGAAGAAATTCAATGAGTTCACTGTCTGGAACTTTAACGACAGAGGCTTGACTTTTGACATAAATGTTTTCGCTGTTGAATCCATAGAGTCTGAAGTTGCTGATATAATGATTTGGTCATAGTAAGAGTCGTTTCCTAAACGCTCTGTTATGAGTATATGACGAATGAGGTTAAATGTCTTACCTGAACCCATCTTTCCACAATAGAAATAAACACCACTTGAACAGAACTCATAGTCCTTACTGAAAGAAGAATGAGAGAAGAGTTAAGTTTGTCTGTAGTTTCATTCATGTCTTCATCTACGTCATGTATTAAATGCTTCATTTTATCTCCATTAAAAATGCAAGTCAGAAATATTCAGAACATAGCACCGAGTCTAACTGACAAGAGTATAAAGATATACTATGAACACGTTATGATGAAACCTACCAAAATTCAAGAAAGTCAGTATACTTATGAATATCCAAGACACTGGGTAGAGTATGTAGGAGGTGAGAAAGCTATTGAAATCAGACAGGTTCGAAGTATTCCAGCAGGAAAGAACAATATTATTGAAGAACTTTAATGTTTTGAGATATAATGATGAAACAAAGAAGCAAGATAGTTTCCCTGTTGCTGTGTATGTGAACTTAGATACAGGAGATGACATGAAAGTTTTTAACACAAAGCTTCAAACGGTAGTGAGAGAACAACTTACTGCGGAAGGACATCCATTACCTTCAGAAGTTACCATAGCATATAATTTTGAAACAAACTCAATAGATTTTAAAGTCGTCTCTGCAAAGAAGTCAGGTTTTACATTTAATGAAGCAGATGTATATTCGAATGAAAACTTCAAAGCTATTGCATGGTTAGATAATGACGATTGCTTTAAGAAATATTTTAAATACAGTGACTCAACGATGTCAATAGATGACCTTCGTGGAATGTTTACCATCGACGTTTACAGTAGAAGGTTCAGCAGGATTGCTTACAAGATTGTCAATTGGTGGTATTGGTCTCGTGAGAACATTGTTATAAAATCCAGTATAAGTGAATTTGCTGAAGAATCTATATTATGTCTTTCAAACTACATGTATTCGCCGCCGAAGCATTATAGTATAACAAACTTTGTCAGTAAGTTTAACATAAGACTTGTCGAACCTTCTTCAATGAAAGATGTTGTGCTACCTAAAGATGGAAAGGATGGACTCATTATTGAAATGATTTTAATAGCATATTAAATGAGCTTGTTCTTGAAGGTCATTCATGATGAAATAACTGTTGTAGAAGATGTTAGCAATTGTTCAGACATTTTATTGAGAATAGATGATATAAGAAAGAAGTTAGATAGACCGCAAAGCGGTGAGGGCGAAGCCCGTGAGAACGCTTATGTTTCATTGACTTTCTCCAGTAACGAGAACTTTTATGAGATAATATTGAAGAGAGATGATTTTAATATGGTGTAAATGGTAGCTTGGGCAGCTTTAGGCGCAATGGGAACAAAAGCATTAGCATTTGGAGCAAAAGCACTTGGAGCTTATGACGCAGTAAATAAAATAAGTGGAGGAAGGGTTTCGAAGACATTAGATGCAAATAAAGGGAAGATTGGAGGCTGGGTTGCAAAGAAGTTAAGATTAAATAAAATAGGGCTCATAAATAAAGCATCCAATTTGGTTGCGACTGAGTCAGAAAATGCTTTAGGAAAGGACGATGAGTTTGCAAAACACGCAAAAGACTTTAATGACCAGATGAAAGGTGAAACAATGCATTTAAATAGATTCGATGGAACTAAAGAAAATGTTTCTTCTCCACTAGTAGTTCTTCCGTATGGTCCCTATGGAATGTATGGAAACCCTTACGAAAGACCATTTGACCCATTGACTGGTGGAAGTAACTGGTATCATTACGGACGAAGAAGAAAGACAGTTAAGCTGGAGACAGACGTGAAGAAAGCAACTAAAAAGAAACCAAGGAAGAGAGTTATAAAACAATGAATTCAACAGGGTAGAAATGAGGGTAGAAAAGAGGTTAGATCTAACCTTCTACCCTAAGTTTAAATGGATGTTTTCATACGTGTGAGGGTGGTGATATCATTAATTTTTAAGTTTATTTTTTATTTTATTTTTATTTATTTTTATATAAATGACGAAAACTATTGAGATAACAAACTACAACGGTCATGAGTTCAAGAATTTTTCTTTGTTCCTCGTGAAAATACATTCTATCAGATACGAGGGAGAAAGGGTAAAGTTAGTTTGAGCGTTTATGACAACAAACATAATGGGAGATATATAAAAGCAATAGATACAAACGGTAAGCGTGTTTCATTAGCTTTGTCAAAACTTACAGGTATAAACTATGACAGTGATTTTGACCTATATGAAGAAGAAAGTGAGTCAGAAGATTATGAGCTGTTATGTGAAGCACAGCAATGGGAAGAGTTGCAATACTTTTGTAAGTGAGAACGTTTATTTTTTACATTAGTGAGGTGAAGTGGTTGGCGGCTTTGTAAATATTTAAGGTTAAGTTAGTGTTGTCGTTTGTGTTGTAAAATATACGTTAGCGGTTTTGTAAAGTGTCAAATTCACATATCAAGGGTAAGGAGGCGCGCAGTGCCTCCGTACCCAAGATATGTATACTAACTATTCTCATAAAGAGGTGTTTTGGCCATCGGCACTTTTTGTAACTGTGTTTCGTATGCTTGAGATGGGCAATAGCCCCTATTTTCTGAAAAAGGAACTGGAGCTTTTATTTCAATAATTTGATCCAGTTTTTGTCTTAAAATTTCCACTCCATTACGCGGAAAATCTTTGCTGTAAGGTTCAAAAACACTTAATGGTTGTGTGTGATCTTAGCAACAAGATCTGAGGAAGTAGATTTGAGAGTCGAGAGTTTAGATCTTAGCAACAAGATCTGAGGAAATAGATTTGAGAGTCGAGAGTTTGGATCTTAGCAACAAGATCTGAGGAAGTAGATTTGAGAGTCGAGAGTTTAGATCTTAGCAACTAGATCTGAGAGTTTTATCATTTCCGGCATATTGGGCCGAAAAGGAGTGATCCGCGTAAGTATGAAAAAAAGTGAATTTTGTTGTATGGTGTTTTTTATTATATCCGTTTCTCTCACAATTTTCAATAAATATTATTGTTCAAACGGAAATATAAATAAACAATTCAAAAATAAAAATGTAAATGTAAATTGAAAATGTATTATAAACATGCTAAAAAGCGTATATTTTAAACTTAAAGGAAAAATAAAATTCGTAAAAATGAGCATGATGTTTGATAAGGGAGTTTCATTTTTTTTTCAAAAAAATTAAGGAACTTAAATTGAGATTATCAGGCTATGTAGTGGTATTTTTACGATCTGACTGCAGAAATCGAATCAGCGAGACCCGAAGATTCATATTCCGCCGGAAAAATAGGGTTTCGAGGCGTAGATAGGGATAAAAAGATGCTTTAAGAAGATCTCAGTAGAAATATGATTTATAAGAGGATATAGGTCAGGATATAAGATTATGAAAATTGAAGAAGTGAATTATCAAGATGTATTTATGAGTAAACTATATTGTTTTAAGCTATCTAAATCTGTTTTGATATAAATTAAAGCGTATACTTATGCAAAATGCGAAATTTAAATTAATACTTTTTTTTGCTATTTGGACACAAAGCTAACAATCCATCCAATAAATGACGTATACCTAGCGAGATGAAGCATTTTAACATGAAAGACAAGAAAATCTGATTACTTGTGTTGAAAGTTTCTGTATTTCGTCTTCTTCCAAACACAGCGTTCAGATGCAGAAGAAAATGCAGCCGTAATGACGCAAAAAGACACTAAAATAAATTGGAGAATTTCTGTAAAGTTTTTACTGAGCTTTGTTATTGAACCCGAATTTGTTGCTGAGTGACAGGATATTAAATCTACGACATTCATGAGTAATTGTTATCAATTTGTCAATAAATTATGTTGAAGATGGTTTAAATGTCTTCGAAGGCATGAAATTAGATCCTAAATCTGTTTGAGTTAATAAAAGAGAACAAATGTTGAAAGAGTTGTCATATTGCCTACAAAATTTTCAAACATTTGCATTGAGACAATGTGAAAAAATGATGTCCAAAATACCTTTACTAAAATATTTTTAATTTGAATCATAACAAGGAAAAACAATAATGGCAGAATAAGAAAAAAAAACAAAGATGTTATGATTTGAACAGTTGCCTTTTAGATTCAAAAAGAGCATAGTTCCCAACCACTACACTACCTTCCTTTCCCATAAAAAGCTGAATAATTAGTATTTAATGAATTCTCCAGCTTGGGGATTTGCGGCTTTTCCAAAATCTGTTATGATAGTTCTATATAGCAATTGATATATAATATGTTTTTTATAATCAAATAATTTTTTAGTCCAGATAAATTTTTTAAAATTTCAAAGTCTTTCCATTCTACTAACGCTCTTCACATCCATATTCTTTACCATATATGTAATATAACGCCTTATTTTAATTCCCATGTTTACGATTTATTTGTCGAAAAACTGTCTTGTCCATTAACATCTCGGAAAAATTTTCGACTTTTTGAATGGCCGTTTTCAAGATCTCAAAAACTGTGGGATATTTTTTACAAAGCTAATCGACATTTATTTACCACATATATGTACTATACAATGCACCTGGTTTCATCGAATTTTTACCGTCAGTTTTCTCGTGAGACTACCTTTTCCTAAAGTGAAAACAATTTTCCAAATTGACTTCCTTAATTTCAGAAAAAAAAACATTAATTCATAATGAAAAACATATCTTTATGGCTACGCATTGTTTTAGATGTAAATGTCCATTAATATTATTATCAAATACGAAGCTCCGGCTGCTTTTTTATTTTTATTCCATAATTCTCAATGAAGTACTCTATTCCATTGATATTTGCGCCGTATGAAATAAGAAGTTCAGCTGTTTCTTTACTTCTATAAAGTGCTGCATATTTAAGAGCAGTATATCTAAAATTATTTTGTTCGTTGATATTTGCACCATGTAAAATAAGAAGTTCTGCTAGTTCTTTGTAATTATAACGTGCTGCAAAATGAAGAGCGGCTTGTCCAAGATTATCTTTTTCATCGACATTTGCACCATGTAAAATAAGAAATTTGGCCATTTCTTTGTTTTTATTGCCTGCTGCATTAAGAAGAGCAGTATGTATAAAATCATCTTTTTCATTGATATTTGCACCATTTGAAATAAGAGGTTCGGCTGTTTCTGTACTATTATAAAGTGCTGCATAATGAAGAGCGGTTTTCCCATATCTATCTTTTTCATTGATATTAACACCATGTGAAATAAGAAATTCGGCCATTTCTTTGTTATTATATATTGCTGCATCATGAAGAGAAGTTAGTCCATCATAATCTTTTTTATTGAAATTTGCACCATGTGAAATAAGAATTTCAGCCATTTCTATGCTACAATAACGTACTGCATAATAAAGAGCAGTTTTTCCAATATCATTCTTTTCATTGGTAATTGCCCCGTGTTTAAGGAAATATTCGCAAAGTGATGGAATATTGAACTTTGTTGCATAAACAAAGTTATTGCTTATATCATTTGTTTGATCGAAATAAACTAAAATTGATTCAAGATTGTTATACCATTCGCAGCATGTTAAATTAATTTTTATATTGTATTCATTCATCAAGAATGTAACAAAATCAATGTTGTGTGATATAATTGCATATTCCATGCATCTTTCATCTGGTTTTCGATATTTCAAACATTCACTCATGATCTCTGGATTTCCTCCTAAAAATGAAAGTTGTAGACATTTTTGAGTTATTTCTGAGTTAAATTTTGTTCTTAAAAATTTGAAACAATCAACAGCTCCATGGTAACAACATAATTCAAGTAATGAATAATCTTCGTAAGGATATGGATATAAAGCACTTTCAAGTTTTTGATTGTTATGAAATTCATCTCTCTCCGTAAATGCAATGAAATTTTCTAGGTCATTATACATAATTGCTCTGTATATTGTATTCTCTCTATGAATATCCAGATTTTCAACATTCATTTTTTCGAAAGCATAAAATTTTTCTAATTTAATTCCATATACTTTATAAAACAGGTGTTTTGAAATACTTTTAATATTTCTGACCTCTGTAACATTATATTCATCATATATATGTTTAGCAAGTTCCAAATATGATTTTGCATTGCGGTTTTTATATGGGATGATATTTAAAATGTCCTTTATAACAATTTCGGCAAGATATTTCTTTGAATTAATCAATTATGTCTTTATCAATTTGTAAATCGATTTTAAATTTTCTTCATTTTCCGTTTTCAGTTGATACAAAGCATTATACAAATCGATCTGATGTTTGCAGATACTTCGTAATTCACTGTATGAATTTGGATTCATATCACGATCGTACATTAAAAAAATATTTAGACTAATCAAAAATTTAAATGCTATATACCTGTATTTTACCCTATGAAAAATCTATAACCATATAAATTGAAAATTCATATAGCATATGTTTGAAAATTATTAGGGCAAAGTAGTATTGCTCCTCATACGCTCTACTACCACTCTCTGATCCACAAAGTGTCAGGTATGCAAATTTGGTCGAACTGGGCAATATTCCTTACGATGTCTCTCAATCAATGAAAGACCTCACATGGTTTCGACTTAAAGCACTTTTACTACTCTTTCCTAGTTTCTAAAGGACCTAGGATTCTGTAATTTTTCGAATTGAACAGAGTTCTTCCGATGTTTCTCAATGATTGAGAGTTTTAGGAAGAACTCTGATCTCGTGTAATGTATATGTGGTATTTGTTCCTCAAAATATCGAGAGAACTCGTCTGTAATTCGCTTAAGCAGAAGTTATGTGAGATTAAATCCACAAAATCCAGCACAAATTAATGCAGATATCATTTTCTGGCTATATAACATTGTTCGAAAGTGCAATGTTTCTATTAATTCATTTGAAGATGCACTTAACGTTCTCAAAAGTTACAAAAGAGTTCTTAAACTTAAATCATCTGGTAGCCTAATTGACTTTTTATATAAATACAAGACAGAATGCATTACAAATTCCCAAGAAAGCTCGAATTTCCAAACCAAAACCAATAAGTACAAAAATGAAAATAATAAACATGATCAATTAGAAAATGAAATCTTAACACTTAAAAATGATAATGACAAATTACGTCAATCAATCGATTTGCGAAAATTTCTGAATTACGTTCTAATTCTAATTTTGATACAGTTTACAATTTCCTTAAACAACTTTCAGATGAAGGCGATAAACTGAAAATGTCAATTTCGTGTGCAGTTGGATTAAGTGAAAAGAGAGATGAATATGAATACACTCCACTTCTTCAAGCATGTAATAAAGGAGATCTTGAATTGACAAAATCTCTTATTGAAAGAGGTTGTGCTAGAGATGCAATTGATAAAAATGGAAATAATTGTTTGTTTAATGCAGCATTCAAAGGACATCTTGTAATTGTAAAATATTTAGTTGAAAATGGTATTGACAAAAATTATAGAGATAACAACGATGAATTTAGTGCAATTCTTTAGGCATCAAAATTTAGTTATCTTTCAATAGTTAAGTATCTTGTTTCAGCTGGTGCAGATCCAGAAATGAAAGATTTTAATGGATTTTCTCCAATATTTGCTGCATCATCAGAAGGTTATCTTGAAATTGTTAGACATCTCTCAGAATGTGAATGCAATAAAAATGATAAAAACAAAAATGGTAGCTCTTCCCTTCATTTGGCAACTATAGAAGGACACTATTTAGTTGTTGAATATCTCGGATTAATTGGAGCAAATCTTAATGCTGAAGACAAAAAAGGAAAAACACCTCTGGACTATGCAAAAGAAAGACGAAATGAAAATGCCCAGTATAAAAAGATCTTTTATTTTCTTTCTAAATTAGGAGCAAAATATAGTAACCAATTATTTTAAAAAGTAAAGCATCTAAATTCAACAATTTTGTGATCCTTTTTATGAGTGATTTTAAAATTAGAATTATCATTATTTTCGATTCTATTGCCAAAAACATTCCATCTTACCACTTTATTTTAATAGCAGAAAAGTAAAACAGCCATATTAGGTACTATACAGTGATTTATATTTATTTTTCCTGACCAAATATATTAACTTTTGACCTTAGAATATTGGGATAGAAAGCTTATGTGTCAAAAAAATTGAGAGAATGTCAGAGAGTGGTAAATTTATGTGACAGGAGTGAAGAATAAGATTTAAATTTTTAAAAAAAGTTCATCTCTCATTTGCATCTTTATGTCATTATTCCTTATGAAGTTTCATTAAAAAAAAGTTTAAAAAATTATAACATTTATAAAATATTAAAATAAAATGTGACGCATTATTGTTGCATGCTAAGATCAGTCATAATGTAAACCTCTCAATTTTATTGTCGTGGGAAGTATCTCAATTCCTTCAAAAAAATTGAAAAACTATTTAATTTTAAAAATATAATACTTTTAATTAGTTACTTAATTGGAGATATTTTTAAAAAATCACTTTTGATAATACTTTTGAGAACTTTAATTAAAAAAATATATTCAAAAATATCCAGGATATCAAGAGGGAATTGTTCCTTATGAGGTATATAGTTATGATGTATACCTCATAAGGAACAATTCCCTCCTTAAAATGAGAAAACTTGTTCGAAATTGTTTATCATTTCGAACAAGTTTTCTCGTTTTTAATAAGAAACTAAAGGCTATGAGGCACTGATTATATATTAGTGCCTCACAGCCTTTAGTTTCTAATAGATAGCTGGGAAACTTTCTCCAAATGATAAGTTATTCAGAGAAAGTTTCCCAGCTATCAAGAGGGAATTGTTCCTTATGAGGTATATAGTTATGATGTATACCTCATAAGGAACAATTCCCTCCTTAAAATCGTAGACATTTTTATACTTATTAATCAACCATTCAAAATCATATTCCTCTGAAAAGTTATTTTATTAAAAATTTAGAATTTTAATAAATATAGGGTTTGAATTTCATACAATACCTATATATTTTCAATAATGGAATTTGAAAACCATTCTCAAAAGTTCTCAGAAAACCTTTTTTTCATTAATTTTAAGAAATCTGAGTATTAAATTAAGTGATAAATTCGTTTGACACTACTTTAATTTTTAAATTCAAAAAATTATATGTGCTTCTTAAAATGACTCAAAAAAATTTTATTATAAAATAATATATAATATTAAAAATCCCACAACATTTTTTTACTTTACATAATCGTACTTCCTCGACGATTAATTTCCACTCAATTTCTATCGTTGACCGAACTTAGCATGCAACATTATAAAATAAAAATTAAAATGAATTAAATTTTTTCAGTCAAATTACTTAAGATTTGTTTTGACTGATCATAAGGAATTGGTTTGTTCTTGACCTCATTGTATATCTGTGCTACAACTTTGTGAACCAAATTCCTCTGCTTCGGGAATGAAGCTATTTTGCCGAACTCCAAAATCTTCAAATTATCATGTATCAATCGCAAAATGTTTCTTCTCTCCAACAACTGGTAACCGTTGAAGCAACCGAATGCTTCTGGATTCTTTTCGATGTAACTCTTGACAACTTCGAAAACTTCGTCTTTGTTGGGGTTACGCATGAATGATGTGAATGAAATTGCTGCAATTGTTGGCCAATCTTCCTCTGAGTAATCGAATTCTTTAACAAATTGTGCTAATTCTGGTTTGTATTGGACTGCCAAAATTGCCATAGATTTGTCACTTTCGCAAAGGTTGATGATCATATCTTCACAAACACCTGTTTCGTCGTATGCTGCAGCAACCATTGCAAGCGAATTGAATGGACGCTCTGACAGAGGAAGATCTGTGACTGCTTCGATTTCCTTAGAGTTTGGAATTTGCAAGAGTAGTTCAACGGATTCAACTGTTGCAACGTGGTTAAGCAAAATCAGTGCTGAATGTGCTGATGTAGTACTAAGCATTGTTATTGCTGCCAATGTCAAATATGCTTTGATGTTGTCGTTGAAGTCAAGGAGAGAGAAAGAATAGCACAAAACATGGTTGTTGTCATCAGGACCGAATGGAATAACTTGCAGAATCAACTTGACGAGATTATCTGCTTTTCCATCATTGTACAATGCGGAACAGAAGACAACACCGATGTAGTTAGAAACAGATCCCAATGTCTTGTCAAGTTTCTCTTCGAATTTCTTGTAAATCTTTGACTTGATTTCGTTCAATTCCAATGTTGACAAGATTTGGGAAATGATTCTAGCCATTCTTACTAATTTGCTTGCCCAGCCTTCGAACTCTGGCTCGTTTGGCTCAGAGTACAAAGTGACGACGTCGTTGATCATTTGTGACGCGTCTTTGTTTGAATGTAGAGTGAGCATTGCCAAAAGATTGTTCAAGAGTTTGGAAATATCCAATCTTTGTTGCTGCGTGAACATTCCACGCATTATGATGATCTTGAACAACAATTCAGGAACTTGCTCTGTAACAAAAGCATCTGCCATCAAAAGAGAGTGAAGAGCATTGCGAGAAAACTCTCCAGAATCGAAGTTATCAACCCAATATTTAGATGCAAATGGTGGATTTAATTGGGCAATGAAGTTAATTAAATGGAGAGCTTCTGTTGATCTTTCTTTTGTCTTGTCTTTCTCTTTGTCTTGTTCGTAATTTTCGTTCAAATCCTTGTCCATTTCCCTGAGAATTCCAAACAAATAAGACATGTTTTCTGGTTGATGGAACTGAGACCAAATCAATGTATTGAAGACATTCTGCATGGAAGTAATAGAGAAATAGAACTTGATGATTTTGTTGAGCATCTTCTCATCCAACTTAGATTTGACTAAGTTATTAACCCATGGACCTAAGAAAGGAATTGTGTCAGTGATTGAATCACTTGGAAGTTTAGCTGTCATCTTGAAGAACTCGTTCAAAAATCCAATTGTTGCATTGAGATTTGATTGTGCCAAGTCAAAAGAAAGACTTAAAACAACTGATCTGCAGTTCGGAGGAATCAAATGCTCTGGACATTCAGCTGGATCGTATGTTCTACTGAAATCAAAGCTCATGTAAGTAGAATTGACCAATTGCATGGCTGCGTAATTGAGCGCGATGTCGTGTTCGCTTGAAATCAACGAAGCGAAAGCGATGTTTAACAAGAGCCACTGAACAGAAGATTTCTCAACGGCAACAGCCCCTTCAGTAGATTGTTTCTGGTTCGCTCTGCTGACAGCAGCAACTAACAACGAGTAGAGATTCGATCCTTCCGTTGTCTGGAGACTGATGTTTGATGTGACGTACTGGAAAGTGAATCCGTCCTGGCTTGGCTGCAAATTACGAAGTGCATCAAACAAATAAACAGAAATGGAGAAGCACTCGAAAGGAAGATTGGAAAAGTTCTTCATAACTTGAATTGATTTGTTATGAAGACGTACATATACTTGGTTGTTGTCGTATCTCGCTGTATGGATTGATTCAACAGGTGTGAATGTTTCCAATGCATCTACTTCGAGTGATGGCATTCCTCCCAGTAGTTCTGTAAGTTGCTGTTGTGTCTTTGCGAAAATAACTTTCTTGAAATTATATTTCGCAGAACAATCTGCAAGGAAATTACAGAAATTGTCACATGGAGTGACAATAATTACTCCTTGGAGTTTGGATAATACTCCTTGTGCCATTTCAAGGTACTTTGCTACTTGGCTTGGCTTGATCCATTGAGATTTGTCGAAAACTCTGAAATCAGCCAAAATGTAAAAGTTTTGTGTGCAAAGTTTGAGGATCTTGAAAACATGGTAAAAGATAACATTCGGATCACTGATTCTAGGCAGTTTGGAATTGATCAGATGGTACAAAACAACAGATTCGCTCGGAGGCTTTATTGATTTGTAGAACCATATATTCATGTCATTCAATGGTTCACCTTTGAAATCGTTTTTGAGGAATTTCTCAAGTGCTGGAGTATTTCCTGGTGTTTGCGATGTTGCCTTTGGTGCTTCTTTGTTCTGGTTCTGTTTAACAGTCTTTACAATTGAGTTTAATTTCTCTGCGGACTTCTTAAGAGGATCACCATCAGGTAATTCAGCAATTTTCGTTTCAAGTTGTCTTCTGATGTCAGAGAAATCTCCTTCCAAAACTCCGATGACTTTTTTAGTGTCTACTTTCACTTCTTCGAACTGTGCGTCCTTTAAATCGGTGTCAATCAATTCCTGGATTGCTTTCTCAAATGATGTATGTACTTCAGCGGCAATGTCATTGAAAACAATCATATGGTCGCCTTTTTCATTCAATGAACCTTTTGTTGCACTTGCCATCAAAATGACGGAAATAGTAAGCAAACAAGCGCGTGGTTCTTCAGGTAACATCGGTGGCAATCCAACTAACGCTGTGACAGAGAAAGCAGGTAAAATAAATCTCAAGAAAACGAAACCGAAAACAATGTGAATTCCCAATCCATCGAACACCTCATTGATTCTCTTATAAAGAATCTGAATGACTCTGACAATGGCCAATGGTATTGACTTGAGTGCAGAAAGAATTGTATCAATGGCTTTTCTTAAAACACCTCTGAAATTCTTTCTGTTTTGTTCGATGTCTTGTCCTTCAGGTAATTTCGCGGGATTGATCTGGTAATGGACACCTCTTTCAGCTTCGGCGATGACGTTATTGAATAAAGGCCTCAAATGGTTCGTCATCCACGTTTGGCCGAATAATCTTGGGAAATGTCCGACAGCTCTTGAAGCAACACCATTTCCTCTGAAGATTGCGTTCTTTGAGGCTTCGTGTGCTGATTTCAGTTCCATTTTGATCATGAAATCCATGAGCTCATAATGGATATCTCTTGAAACGGCTGCTTCAAGGAGATTTATACCTACTGCTTCTGCTCTTGAGAAAGGAACTAAGTCCATGAGTGTTTCTATGAGCTGGAATCGAGTTTCGAACAAAACATCAATCAAATCTTGAGGATGATCTGATTGGTCAGTGGGCGGTTGAACAGGTTCTGGCTTTTTAAGGACAGAAGCAACGGCCAAAATGAAAGTTGTTCTGATTAATTTGGAACTTGCCATACAATCAGAGATACCATGGATGATACCGATGTTTATGTTGTTCCTGAACAAGGCTGTTAACATCTGTTGTATCTCTGTCTTCAGTTTTGGCTGTGCTTTCAAAATTGTTGTCGCAATGTTGACGAAGAACTTGAATTTCTCGATGTACTGCGGTTCACTGAAATCAAGTCCATCCAATAGTTTGGTCAATGCATCAAGAAGAACGGTTGTTGCATTCTTTGAGGCTAATGAGAAATCTGGCTTGGATAACCACCATCCTAATGAGTTTGTCATTGTTCTTCTGGCATTGGCATCAACGGAATTGGAGTAATGAGACATTACAGCAACAATTAAGTGAGCACATAAGATATGGAAGTCAGTGATTGAGACAAGGTTGCAGTAGCCTGTGAAATCCATCGTGAGCTTTGTAATGGCCGATGAATCTATAGGTGTTTCGTAGTAAAATGGCTGACGAAGGAGATTTCGGAGAACTTTCATGGCGTTCTTGATGTAGATGTTGTTCTCTGGAGTGACATTGAATACTCCTGGTGTTGTTTGCATCTTATCGATCGTTTCTTGGATTAATTTAGTGATCTGCGGATAAAATGCTGGCAACAACGATGTTGGAAGACAATCGACGGCCATTTGTCCGACAAATTCACCCTCCTTTAAAAATGTGTGTGCAAAGTCAACAACTTTGGAATGAGCCTGTAACAAAAGTGCCATCAAAATGGAGAAACAGTTTGGTAACTCATCGTGGAGAATGGAGACTGGCTTGTTGACCTTGCGTTCTGTTGTATCTGGACGTTTTAGTTCTGGAGCAATGACGTGTAGAACGGCAAGGAAGTATGAATAAATCGTATTCCAGGCAGTTTGTATGCCGCTGGAAGGATTCTTGACGAGGATAAGAGACTTTACGAAATACGGATCCATGGCTTGTATTGACGATCTGTTCTTGCAGTTAGTTACTAAAGTTTGATAAGCTTCTAACGGCATTGTTACAGATTCGTAGTTTCCGGCTTGGTGGAGGATGTTAAGCATCTCGTTGATGATGGATATGGCCATCTTTGTTACGTCCGATGACGCTGAAGTCATCAAAGACAATGCGATAATTTCAAAGTGGTTTAAGATAGATCTGACGTCTGTTCTCTTCAAGAAATCTTCACTACCTTCTACGCCTTGCTCGGGAATCGCGCAGAATACGAATTGAGCTAATTTGAACGTAACATCAGGAATGTAGTCAGTAAATGTCGATGTTTGGTAGAGGGATGAGATAATAAACAAACTTGAGATCGAAGTAGTGATATTAAGTATGTATTGCCACATTTGATTATCTCGGACTAATGTATCGAGTCTTTCTGGCTCGAAGAACTTTAGTAAGGCTATGCATAGTTGGTAGATGTTATTGTTGTATGCAGCTGTGATAATTGATTGCATAATTGTGTGGTCTCGGCGCATAATTGTTTCCATGAAGTCAGGATTAGAAATAAATCCCTTGAAAAGGAATCTCATGTATTGGCAATCTTGTTTTTGCTTTGTCATGAGCTCGATACAGTTGATTGTCGATTTAATAATTTCATTCGGAATTTCTATCCTTGTTCTGTGCTTGCAGAGCCTAGAGATGAATTTGCAGAACAAGGCGCCCTTCGTGGGAACAATAGATTGAAGAAGCATGTTAAGGAAAGTGATAATAAACGTTTCTTTGTCGTAGAAGAACAAAGCTAAGCCAAAGTTAACGAAAATGATCTTCTGGATACGTGGCTTGGCCTCAAGAATCTTCTTCATGGCTCTTTCGCAGTAACTTAATACGGTTGTGAAAATTTTTGACGTCATTTCTCCGAAAACTTGGAGTTTCTGTGTTTCGGAGACGAGCAAGAAGCCAGCGTTGAGGGCGGACAGGTAAGTTTCAATTGTGGAGGTAACGCTGTCAGCTCTTTCGAAGCATGTCGTAATTAATTCGAAATCTTGGTTAAATTTTCCACTCATTATGTCAACTGGAACGGTAAGGAAGGTGGAGCATCGTGCCATGAATGGTATATTGTTGGATTTCTTGTCCCAATGCTGTAAAGTATCGAGTAATTTGTCAACTGGAGCAATTTTCTGCTTTTGTTGGAAAGCAGCGTAGAATTCATATGACGCTGACATGACGGCGAAAGAAAACATGTCAACGATCACTTGAGATACAACAACTCGGCAATTATCGGGTATTGATGATGAATCTTGAACTGCGGGTATTAAATGCTCCAAAGAATGGGCTAGCGATTCGATATTTGAGGATAAGTAAATAAATGGATTAAGAGTATTTTGAATTTGTAATGGATCGGAAGTTTTGCGAATTTCACTTTGGAAATTCTCAAAAACTATATCGAATATACGAGTACTGTGATTGCCAACAACCCCAAAGAATAAAGAAAAGGATTTTTGTATGTCATGTGAATTTGGTGTCTTTAGATTTGAAAAAATAACGATAGATAAACTTGCCAGGTATTTTAATACGAATTCAGTGAGTGCTTTGCTTGCAGTAGCATGATCTACACGTAGAAGACACATTTTTGCAAAAGAACAGTAACAGCAAAACTTAGTTTCGTCAATTCGACTTGTATTCGTGTCCAAAGAGGTTCCAATTTTTACGATGCGTTCTACTAGTTGTTTTATAATCTCTTCTAGATCTGTATAGCTTAAATTTGCGAAAACTATACACCCATCGTTAAAATTGGTTTTCAAAAACTCGTCTGAATCAATTTGTGCAACCCTACTCATTGCATTTTCTCTTTCACAGAAACGGCAAATGCTGGCATCGAGTAGTTCAATGTAATGACCCACAACTTTCTCGAATTTCGGCATTTTGCTTCTCCCTAATTTTTTGATATCAGAAAAATTTTTTTTTATTTATTCTTTATTTCAGAAGAAATTCTGATACATAAACACATTAATCAGTGATTTTAAAATAAACTGTAGTTTCATTGTCATGAAAGCTAGTGGAAAATCTGCTTCCGAAACGAGTCAGTCTTGTTTTGCTTCATAATCTGAATTCCCACAAATTGCTATTCAAGATGAACTTTGTTAATAAATATATTACCTATCTTCCAATATTAATGAATGATCATCTGAAATCGAACTATCCTCAATTTTTTTGATTTTTATTTTGAAATTATTAGTTCTATATTGTTGATATTCTCTGATGCAATAGTATAGAGGAAATTTATTCATATCTATGCATGAATAAATGATTAATCTTTTATCTTGATTGTAATGATCTGTTATGTTAAAATTGGATAACATAAACTGTCAGAGGAAATGTTGATTTCATGCGCCTATAGAGCTGCCTGCCTGAAAACAAATAATAAATTACAGTATGATATCGGATCGCTATTCTGAAAATTATATTAACGGTATGTTTGTCGTTTTAGATAGAATGGGGAGAAGCTTCCTAAACTTTTTAATTCCATAAATATGGTCATTATCTGGAATAAAGAGTTAAGCGTCATATGTCACTTTTTGTACTCAGGAAACATCGACTTTATGCGTTATGACTTTTCGATGAGGAAACAAGTGTTCACGTATTATAAACTTCCTTATTCCAATAAACCGACCCTAAACATAATTAATTCTAAGCATGATAATGGTCTCTTTTCTATGATAACCAAATCAATTTGGTTATCATAGTAAAGCACCAAAAACTGGAATAGGAATCGGCAATATGGAATCATGAAGCAACTCGGATAAAATAAATATGGAACATTCATACATCCATTCCCTATTTTTAACAATATTATATTTTCAAACAAAATTCTCGTACTATTTTCAATAAAATTTGCATAACCTTGTTATTACTCTTAGGCGAAAGATGATTTTAATGTTAATTTTATAGAAGAACTTTTAATGCATAATAAAATAACCATTTCCTATAAATTTAGACTTAAAACAGTGACAATAAACAAGCTTTAGTCTAGAAATTAATTTTCTACTACTATAAATGCATCTTTATCTTTAATTAGAAAAAAATTTATCAATTTTATTATCCAGATGAAAAAAGAAGTGACATATGATATTTTATCTAATTTAAAATCTTTTATTGATTGTTTTTAAAAACTTTGCATTTTGTATGAGTATTTCATGTTTAAATCAGTATAAATACGCAAAATACTTATGAAATTCCAGCTGTTATTCAGTACTATTCATTTTTCAGCAATCATTAACTGTGGAAGAGTATGGCAAACGTTCGATAATGATCATGTATACTCAGATCATCAAGAATGAATTAAAGTCAATGCAGGGAAATGGATAATCCGATTAAAAACCCCAAAAAGGAAAAAGATATTATATGAACGTCTCACAAATGGTTAGTACTAAGCTCTTTCCTGATGATTGAATATTCTTTCATATTTTTGTATATTGTAAGGGATTTTCTCCCCAAATATATAATACCTTCCTTATAAACGATCTACTTTCTTTGAATACAAGTATAATTTTACATTTTAGGAAAAAAATTTATTTTTTCAAATTTATCTTATAACAATAGAGATTTATATATGTGTGTGTCAATATAGGCTTTAGTGGTATAAAATTGGGTAGATTTTGTTTTATTTTGAGTAAAAAATTCAAAAAATACTACCTCATTTTGCGTGCAAAGGAATAGTCAGAGCTATTTAATAACATTTTACGAATGAACTATGGAATTACTATAACTTTTGAAGAAATTTCAAAGTTAATAGAAGATTGTATTTTAGAAATCAGCTAAAAGAATGATGTGCATGCATCAAGCGTTAAAGTATCCTAATCAGAATATAGTAATATACAATGATTAGCAAAGCAGATTTGAATCGGCAAGAAGAGTTGCTTAAAAAATCAGTTGAGTCTTCTCTAGTTTCCACACTGCCTATTCCTGTTTAAGTGCGGTTATTCCTATTCCAGTTTTTGGTGCTTTACTATGATAACCAAATTGATTTGGTTATCATAGAAAAGAGACCATTATCATGCTTAGAATTAATTATGTTTAGGGTCGGTTTATTGGAATAAGGAAGTTTATAATACGTGAACACTTGTTTCCTCATCGAAAAGTCATAACGCATAAAGTCGATGTTTCCTGAGTACAAAAAGTGACATATGACGCTTAACTCTTTATTCCAGATAATGACCATATTTATGGAATTAAAAAGTTTAGGAAGCTTCTCCCCAATATTAAAATTGCACAAAGTAAAAGTAAATTGAGGAAAAAAAATGATTTCACTTGAAAAATTTCACAACGGTTTTTCCAAAAAGTAATGACGAAGTATTTCAACGAAATACTAACATATTTTAACAATCTTAGACCTGAATTAGGTCCATTCCAAGTTTCAAGAGTATTAATGGAAGTTGCGAAGCGAAACGTCGAAAATTTTCTCAATAACAGAAATGGAAAAGCAAAATGCCCAAAGTCGGTTTCATTATATAAAGAGTTACAAGTACAGTTAGATGTTGGTCAAAATTACGAATTTAAAGATCTCACAAAGCAATTACAAATTTTATTTGATAAATTAAACGTAAATCTACATAATTCCGATGTTTCGAAACTTGGGTTCTATATTGATGTTATTGATAATACAGATGCTGACATTTCTCAACGGAAAAAACTCATAGGAAGTTTTTATTTTGCGTACTCTCGTAAATTAGAAAATACAACGCAAATTATTCGTGAAGATTACCTCTGCTTACTTTCTTATAATTCAAAGCGTGAAAGTCCACGTTCTTCATTATCTCCTGGAAAATCTTTGTCCTCTAACCTCGCAAAGTTCGCATCAAAGGATGATGACTCTGATGATTTCTCAGATCTCATTAGTCTTGGCTCTAAAAAGGAGTTATCCCAACCTCTTGTTAATTTAGGAGATAAATTAGCCATTCAACAGCCAATTAAGCAGCCAACATTACAATTGAAACCTCTACCGCCAAAACCAGTACTTCCACTTAAGAAAAACCCTCTTGATGACTTATCAGATGACGATGATGGAAACTTTTCATTTGATAGCAAGGACGATGATAAGCCTGCAACTCCTCTCAAGATTATTGCTAAAGCTCCATTGGAATTATCAGCAACTCCGACTTCCAAGAAAAATGAAGTCAAACATAAGTCAAAATACCATACAATGGACTTATCTCAGTTTGTTTCTAATTCAAATAACCTTAAGGGTAACAAGAAACTTGATGCTTTAAGAGATGAAGAAGGAGATGACGATTATGTTTTTGATTGAATTTATTATTGTGTGATTTTTATAATATATATGCGAGTTTTATCATTATTAGATTGTTTTGTACAAAATTAACCTTTAATTTACTTATATATGTTTTTTATTATTATTCCTTTAATTCTATTAAACATGGACTATATTCTGTAAAGATTTTTACATATTTTAAGGCAGTCACTGTGGCCAGCAACTTTTCTTTTTTGATAAAAAAAATCTTTAAATTAATCGAGATTTTATAGTGTATAAATTCTCTCAAGCAATAGTCTTTTGATGAATGAGTAAATGAGCTTTAGGATTAAATAAAAATCAGAAGGATTTATCGAAATGAGATTGAATTACATATTGAGGGTTTTGTAAAAAATACGACTTGTAACTTTTTTTTATGAGTGGCGGTCTTACTGTTGATCTTGACTATTTTGCTAACAATATTCAAACATTTTGCAGTGATCCAAGGTCATCTTGAGGTTGTTGAATATTTAGTTTCAATTCATGTTGATCTAAGTGATAAAAAAAATGATGGAAAAACTCCACTTGATTTTGCAAAAGAAAAACAATACGAAAACGAAAACTATAAAAAGATCATGTATCTTCTCATTCAATCAGGTGCACAATAATAATTCATATATGTATATAAAACTTGATTTAATTCATTTGATGTAACTTCTGATAGCTTTGAAGATATTTATTCTACGCTATTTTTATGACTTATCTTTGATAGTTTTCGGTCAGAAATTTTAATCATATTTTAAATAAACATATATTATTATTCTTCGCTATTTTGTTGGTGCTTTGCGCCAACCAAATAGCAAAAAATTCAATTTTTCAAAAAATTTATTATTTAATTATCATCAAAACTCACGAAAAACTTATTATTTGGTTATTATAATACATTAAAAAATGGCTGTCCCAACGGGAACCGCCTCGGCAGGATTATAATAACCGAGGATTCCGCACACCGATTCCTTTTTTTAGGAATTTTTTAAATTAAAAAAATATGCTTTGAAACATAATTAACATAATTCAAGTATACTATATCCCTTAATTTATCTTATTTGAGAACGTAATTTTGCCAATTTTGAGTAAATATGAAATTCAAACTGTTGTCAATAATTAGGCTATTTTAGTAGTACTCCTTCATCCGTTATATTTGGTATTTTATCTTTTGTCGTTGCAATCTCAAATATTATTTCGGGGTGAAGCAAACAAGACGATCATTGGGTAGACTTTTACTGTCGCCTATAGGACTAGATTTTCCCAGTAAAGTCTGAGACAATGACATCAAAGTTTGGGCGTGGCGGCACAACTCTGCAAAAGTAAAAAATTAATGGTATTCTATATTTGATTTCACTATAAAATGATATAAATCAGACATTTTCTGCATACAAAGACAAGCAAAAAACAAATTTTGAAGAAAATTAAATTGAAAATTGCTCAAATTTAAAGAATCTAGTATAATCCAAGTATATTTACATTGTTATTCCATCATTTCATATTTATTGACTTAATCAAAATCCATATTTTATATCCGAAATCTTTGTAGTCATTGTATAACATAGTATTTTTTTTTCTTATAATTAATTTAAGGAGTATCTAATATGATAAAACGCTAATGTGTCCTTTTTAATAATTATTAATGTCGGACCAAGACGTTCATCCAAATGAATACAGTGAACTAAGAAATATCCACAAATATTATATCGATATATACAACGCGTTGTATCAGTTAAAAACGGAAACAGAAGACGAATTTAACTCGATTTTCAAAATGATCAAAACAGAATTGATTGATTCCAATAAATATTCACCCAAAAATATTATAGAAGACATTTTAAATATCATTTTGTATAACAATCGCTATACAAAGTCATATTTATCTCTTGCCAAACTGTTTTCAGATGAATATCATGTGGAAGAAGTCAACAAAATCATTAAAATATCCAACTTCCTGTTTTATAAAGAATATGGAATTAAGGGTGGCTTCCGACCCAATTATCACTTTTTAGCCCAAGTGAGAAAATTTCGTAATTTATAACCAAGTTTTTAAAAATCTATATTTAATAAAGATTCTATTTTTCTTATTAAATTTCAAAAATGAGGGGGTTCGGAATCGTCCACAAATTGCCGAAAGGGTTTTTGCCAGTTTTGAATCCGCTTATTTTTATCGACCAAAATTATAATAAATATAATTTTCGATAAGTATTCTACCAAAATGATTCTTCAAAAAATTATTTTTCGGATTTTATTCCGTAAAAAACGTTACAGAAAACGCCTAGAAAATTTCGAATTTTCCCTAAAAAATTCAGTGCAGGTCGATTTAAGAGATTTTTCAAAAATAATCATATCAGTAGATAGGGTATAATATAGAGGAGCTTTATGAATAACTCAAAATCCGGGAAACTCAATATTCAACGAGAAAAACGCTTAACGAATCTCACTTTTGGTGTAAACATCACAAAAAATTGAGAGAGCTTTCTGGTCGGAAGCCTCCCTTAAATTAAACAAATCTTCTGATTTCGGAAAAGATGATTTTCAAATTCTTGATGTTCATACAGAAAATACAATTTACAGAGCAATTATGTATAATGATAAAGTAGAATTCATTTACTTCACTGAAAGAGATGATTTTGATAAAGATCATAAAATTAATAGCAATTTATATCCATATTCTAAAGAAGGATATTCATTACTTGAATTATGTTGTTCCCACGGGGCAGTTGATTGTTTCAAGTTATTAAGATCTAAATTTAAGTCAGAAATAACTCAAAAATGTCTACAATTTTCATTTTTAGGTGGAAATCCAGAAATCATGAGTGAATGCTTTAAATATCAAGAGCCAGATGAAGAATGCATGAAATATGCAATTATTTCACATAACATTGATTTTGTGACATTTTTGATGAATGAATACAATATCGAGATCGATTTAAGAATTTGTGGACTTTACAAAAATCTTGAATGCTTTTTAGTTTATTTCGATCAAACTAATGATATAAACAAATGCTTTGTTTATTCACCTATTTTTAATATTCGATCCCTTATCGAATACTTCCTTTCACATGGTGCGAATATCAATGAAAAAGATGAAAATGGAGTAACAGCACTTCATTATGCAGCAGAAAATAATAGTAAAGAAACTGCAGAAGTTCTTATATCGCATGGTGCAAATATCAATGAAAAAAATAAAAATGGAGTAACAGCACTTCATTATGCGGCATTGAATAATAGTAAAGAAACTGCAGAAGTTCTTATATCGCATGGTGCAAATATCAATGAAAAAGATGAAAATGGAGTAACAGCACTTCATTATGCGGCATTGAATAATAGTAAAGAAACTGCAGAAGTTCTTATATCACATGGTACCAAAGAATAATGTTCTTACATAAGATAATATTCTTTAATTTTCTGATATTTTCGAAGATTGATTTGATTAGAAATAAAAAATGATTAAACTCTGAATTTTTAGTTTTGTTAATCTTTGATTATTCTTTCAAACTTACAACAATCTATCAAAACCTATTCTATATATACCTACGAGAGACAAGTCTGTTATGATAAAGTAAAATTTTGTTATTTTATTAAAAGCTGAGATCTAATAAGTAATGGAATACAAATTATTAGTATAAATCAAGAAAATAAAGAGATTTTAAAAATCAGAAATAAACAATTAAAAAGACTTCAGTGATGCTCAGATAATCAGAAATGTGTCCTCAAATAGTTGATTGATACAGTATTCTTTAATATCGATATTTTTTATATTTTTTTTATGTCAGTGTACGATATTAAAAGCAACAATGCATACCAATGATTGATCGATGCATCAGGTTTAGTGACTGTATTGATGTGGGGTTGCTAGATCTTACTATTGCGAAAATTTCTAAAAATAAATATCCAAATGTTGTGTAAGAAAATTATATTCTCTTGCCTTCACTATACAATTTTCAATTAAAAATTGAAAATTGTATATTGAATGCAGGAGAAATTGCAAAATAAGAGATACGCATGTAATTTGTTGTACTTAATTACATACATAGATTTGAAGTTTAGAGATATATTGAGATATATTCTTAAAATCAGAAAAAAAGGTAAAATTCAAAATTAGAATCAGAAAAATTTGGGAAAAAAATCTATAAAATAGTGGAGTTTAATAAAAATGGATCTGATATAGGAATATTCTAATATGCGCCGTGTGAGATAAGAATCTGGGATATTTCTTTACTATTATTTATTGCTGCAATATGAAGTGCTGTGTATCCATAATTTTTTCCCTCATTGATGTTTGCACCATGTGATGTGCTAATTATATTTCAAAGAAGTTGTCATCGGATCCTGAAAATGAGGAGTGGAATAAGTTCTTAGAAGACAAAATATCTCCGATGAGAGTGGTGATATTAATTAATGCTTCTTTCAGCAGTAAATAATAGAGAATTTTCAGCATAGTCGGAACGGAACAGCTAAACAAATTTCAGACAATATTGTTTCATTTGTTGACGAAAACCATTCAACCTCTATCAGAACCACAACTGCAACAGTGAGAAGAATGACTAAGACACTTTTGTTTCGAACGGTATTGCTTTTGTCCAAGGAAAAAAAAACTTAATCTTTAATTCAAAATTGTAATTTCCTGTATTTCTCCTCATGTTCGCCAACAAAAGCTTCTTGAGTAGCTCTTTCCTCTTGTAGTTGAATTAAAAATCATCTGAGAATTATTTGTAAAAACATTAGTAATGTAGCAAAAGAAGAAAGAAACAATTCGTTTGCTTATGAATTTATATTGACATGTGATATGAAAAATTATTTCACAATGCAACGCAAAGCTTTTTATATTGCAGTTTCACCAGTAACGAGCTCTGAAGAGCTAGAAAATGTTAAAAATACCATAGAACAGCAAGGTGGAGTGGTTGTTAACACATCTATTAACGAAGATATCGGTTTATTTGAATTACAGGAACAATCAATGCTCAAAACTGCTAATATGTTAAACAGAGGTCAGAATGTTGCAGCACAAATAGATTATGCTAATTTTTATCAATATAGAGATACTTATTTTCAAAATCTACAAGGAACATTTGATTTTTCGAATGTAGATCAAAATATTATTAATGTTGGATTCAGATTTTCTACAATTTTGTTTTGGCTGAAATACTATATCCAAAAAGGTCAAATTCAAAATGTAAATTCAGATGCACTCAGTTCAAAACCGGTAGCTTATGATAAGCTAAGATTTTATGATACCACTCAGCGATACTCGAAGCCAGAACGTAGAAATTTAAACGTTGAAAACCAATTTCAAGGCGGATTTCCAGACGAAAACAACTTACCAGGCCCTGCTCCATCAGCACAGCCATATAATGGCAACATGCCCCCTAACATGGCGTTCCAAGATATTCCTTTCATGGGCGGAAATACTAATTTCGCAAATGCTGCGCCAATGCAGCCAACTAACCAGCCAAATGTTGCTCCACAAGGGATGCCAAGCAATGTGCCACCAGTAGAGCCAGCAGATACTCTTCCTGCTGCACAACCTGTACAACCTCAATTTGAACAGCCAAACAAACAAGAAAGTTCTGCACCAAGTCGTCAGCAATCATCTAACCAGGTCACAGCTCCAAATACAACCCAAGAACAGGCCGAACAACCAGAATCTCCTCCAGAACCAGAACCAGTGACTCTTGTCCAATTAAAGGAATACCATTTCCCAGATGGTGAATCTATTACCAATAAATGGCTCGAAGATCTCTGCTACAGAAAGTCAATTTCCCAAAGTGCCGGAGATTACACAGATGAAGCTCAGTTTTCGATAACCATTGATCCAACAAAAGACCCTGATCTCCTAAGTATCGCACAATACACAAGAAATCTCATTTACGGAGATCAAAATCTTATTATTGGTCAAGAATCCGCTACAGCGCTAAATGAAGTTGTTAGTTTGATGTCTCTGTATCAGGCGCACCAAGTAGAGATCATAGAAAATCTTTTCTACTCTGTAACTTTGTATGGAGTTGCAACTCTCAAAAATAACCAAAAATTGAACTTTGTAAGATCATTATCTATCGTTCAGGAAGAAGAACCAGGATTTTTCAGAATTCTGAGCGACCAAATTCATTTTATGCAACATTCTGTTGAAATTGTATAATATTTCTTTGTTTTTTTAGATATATATATAAATATTGTTAAATAAATAATAGAAATGATAATATACATTATTTATTTTTAGCCACAAAACTACGACAAGGAGTGAAATAAGAAATTCTGTCATTTCTTTTTTATCACATCTGGCTGCATAATGAAGAGGGGTCCATGCATTTTCATTTTTAGCATTGACATTTGCACCATTTGAAATAAGAAATTCTGCCATTTCTTTTATATTATTGTATAATGTATGATGAAGAGCAGCATTTCCATCATTGCCTTTAGCATTGATATCTGCACCATTTGAAATAAGAAATTCTGTCATTTCTTTGTTATTATCCCTGACTGTATAATGTTAATAAGTTTCCCCGAATTTTAGTTATTCTTAAAGCACCTCTATATTATCTCCTATCTACTGATATAATTATTTTTCAAAAAGTTTGCACAATAAAGAAAGCTTAAATTTCTTTTGGAGTTTTGAAAACTGCATATATCCCTAAGAATATTACTTGTTTAACAGTACATTGATCACATAGCTTTTCAAAAATTGTCCGAAATCGAAATATATTTGTGAGGTATTACAACAGATTCTAGACGTATTATAACTAAACTTTAAAATATTGTCTTTATTGATTAAAATTAGCATATTTCTTCTTAAAAAGTAATATTAAAAAAAAAAATTATATTTTAAAATAACACTCTATTATTACCAATATTTATACTAAGTAATCTATAACAAATTCATATATTAGGGTATAGACACGCAATCAGAGATTGTTTTACAAAAATCAGTTGCATTTTGATTACTTGCGCATCTTATAAGATAAATTGAAGGTTCCATTGCTGGTATCTGTTCCGCGAATATTTGTACATACGATTCTGGTTTTGTTCTAGGTTGAATTCCTTTTATCAACCTGAGAGACGTTGGCGAGTTATTTGCATTAAGAGTTAGTATATAACTGTTATTAATATTCTGTATTGCAATGCGACCTGTTCCTATATCTACGTAAAATTCTTTATTTGTATTTTCATCTTTAGAAACTCTGTATAACTGAGCTTGATAACTACATATCTCATTAGGTCCTGGTATTTCATCAACTTCTCCTCTAAAATATTCGGGACGTGAAAGAGAGAAATTTGGAATTGTAAATGGAGTTTTTGGATCCCTAAATCCTTCAAATACTTCTCCAGTTCCGAAACAAAATTCTACATGAAATGGTTTTTTCATGCCATGATGGAAATTGACGACTTTTTCTTTTTTTACTGGTTTCGGTTTTGGTTTTTCGACTGGTTTTGGAATTTCTAATGGCGGCTCTTCTTTTGTAACTTCAAGTTTAAATTTTTTCTGTTTTACTGGTGCTGTTAAATTTAAATTTGATAAAATTCCTTGTTGTGGTGTTCTTTCGATATTACTTAGAGGAGGTGGAGGTTCCTCTATTTTAAAATCGGATAGAATCTGTTCAGGAGGCGGCTCTACATGTTCGTTCAGTGATTTAATCCAAAGATTTTTTAAATTCATTAAAATCTGGCACTTTTACAAAAAGTGTCATTTTTTGAATGAAAAATTCCTAATGAAAAGGGTTGTACATCCTCAACTCTGCATTTTTAATTTTCTTTTCATTTAAGAAGGAAATGGTTCAAATCACGACAGATGTCTATTTTGCCTGTGATTCGCAATCTTTGAGTTCCCAAAATGCGTTATCTGCTCTCAGAACGCGTTGGATTCAAAAACCAAGAACGTTTGAATTTAATTGTAATTGTGTTTAAAGCAAAAATCATATTGTCAAAATTCGATATTCTAATTAAAATTTTATTATAAGTTTGATTAATGGCCATGCATAGATTTTCAAGATCATCGATAGTTGCTAGTTTTTCTGGGTGATTATCGTATCAAGAAGAGCTTTTCTACACTTTTGGATTCCTCCGAGAAAGATATAGTTTTCATCTTTGGGAGTAATTTCGTATTGATTGCTTGGGATTCCAGGTACTATCTTCTGAATAACAGTTACTAATACCCTTTGCATTTCTAGAGTATCATAGATTGCGGTTGTGTTTGAAAATTTTGAAAGTATAATTATGAGCAATTTCATATATTTGGTTTTTTTAATGGATACTATTATATATAACTCTTCTTATTGATCAAATTTTCTCTTTCCAAATTCTTTTTCATGTCATTTAAGTCTGAAAAGAAATTGAAATTTAGCAACAAGCTTCGTTGTATATTATTAGCCATACAATAAGTCAATGATAGTTATACACAAGTATTCTACATCATTCTTTATCATTTTTAATTTGTATCTTTTTTGAGGCCATCCTAATTAAGGAGATGTTAATGGTTATTTCAATGGATGAGCTATGAATTTGCATTAATTCGATTATAATAAATAATGAAAGTGCCTATATTCCAATATTTTTCGTTTTGAATAATATTGAGAATATAATTTCAGATCAAGTGCAAATAAGAAGCAAATAGTAAGAATGAATAAACTATTTATTCATCAAGAAGTGTATAAATCTGATTCTTATGATTCTTATTCATTGGTATTTCTTCATCTGTGATATATTTAATCGATCCATCTTTATTGATAACTATAGGTTGAAGTTCCCCCTCAAGATCAAACATTCCTATGTAAAGACGAAAGTGATGATAATCCCATAAAAAACCATCGTATCTCATCACACAAATGTACCCAAAATCTGGTGATCTAATAGACTGCTCTGTATATTTAATAAATACATGAAAATATTCACCCATCGCGATAGTTTTAATATTCAAATTAACTGGCAAACCTTTAGTATATGGATATCCCTTGAAATATTCGAATTTTTCGATGTAGATATTAAAATCTTTTGGTGGGTTAAACTGTATGTTAAAGAGTTTAAAAGCATCAATGTAGGATTTGATGCTTGGAATGTAAAGATACATGTTGAAACGTCCAATAGATTTTCGAGGTTCTATTAATATATCAATTGCTACAACAACATGGGAAACTTTATTTTGGTCGGAATTTAATGCGTATACGAAATAATAGGGAGTATTCAAGCAATATTGCTTGATTATTTTGCCGTATGTACTCTGTTCATTTGACTTTAGATAAAGGAATTGTTGCCAAAGAAAATCCAAGACATTTTGATTTCTAATATCGACATTATAAAATGAAGATAGACCATCTAATTCCCGCATTTTTTCTTTGGATGGTATTATGTATTGTGAATGGTTATTTTCTTTCTTGTTTTTCAGACATTTTAGTGCACGTTCTTTTAGCATATCGAAAATTTTACAGGGACCAAAAAAACTGATAGTGGAGGGGTAAAAAACCTAATAGAATTGTATATCATTAGGTGTTTTATTATTATGTATAATTTCAAATCAAACTTCATGAGTCATATTGTGAGCTTTACAAAATTTGTAAGGTAAATTTTTCTATGCTCACAATTTGACTCATGAATTTTATCCTATTAGCCAAATTGGAAAATTGTTTCACTCATTCAATTTGCCTCATACCGAAATTTAGGGGCGTAGAGTTGAATAAAAGAGTTCGAATTCAAATACATGACATGATGCATAAATTTATTAGGATTAATCAGTTAAACGTTATCATGTACCTTTGTTATATTATAGATTTCTAACATGTTATAGATTTTTGGTTTTTAGACGGAGTTACTCATGCAAATGGATTTTACCTGAGAAACATGAATGTATTTCAATTTTTATTTTTCAATCATCTCATATCTCCACTTTGGCCCTGGGGATTTCAATAAACTTTCATGTATTATTAGAGTATATGATATTATTAATTTATGCAAATTTCCAGGAAAAGTTGTGCAAATTTGGCCAACTTTACTGCACAACAAGAAAACGATGCACGCCTGTAATTTCCAATAAAGTTTTCGTTCTTTGTTATTTGTGAAATTCATTGCTTAAGTTTTGAACTTTCGCATTGTAATAAGTTTTATTTTGTGTGAGCAGACTATTGCATGTTTTATTTCAATAAAAGTTAAAAAAAATGAAATATCAAATTTCAAATCAACCAAATATATTAAATGCATTATACGAGATTTGATAGCAATACATTTTTGAACTATACTATTTAAGTCAAAATCAAGTTTTTATTATAATAAAAATAAGAATAATATAATATAAATGTTAATTATATTTGTCACTAATATAGCCTAAAGGATAAAAATAAATCAATTTAGCTGATTTAAAAATGCACAAAAATGTTCATGTGACTGCAAAAAAAATAAAATTATTGAAATTTTTGAATATTTTCGTTTTTGATAAAAAAATGAAATGAAAATTTATTCAATTTTCACTGTTTCTCTCATCTTTGAAATTTGCATAATTTTTCTCCTATGTCTCCAGTTAAGCTTCTGATGATCTAATCTATCTATACCATAAATATGAGTCCTTTTCTCAGGCTAGACATGGTTACCCCATCATAAAAATGGGGATTGATTAAAGAAGTAATAATAAAAGTCTAGACTATATTAGTTGGGCTAGTATCATATGTGTGAGATAATGGGTAAAAATTGTGTACCCCTGTTTGATTGTTAACATTCAAAATTGACGAAAAAAAAATTGTACTTTTTCTGACTTTGAATGCATGATTAACAATAGGCATTGCAATCGTTTATCATTTATTATCCTTTACACATCAATATTAGTAGCGCTTCAGATGGCAGGAAGAAATGAATGGTATCTTTTCATCCAAGGATTTATTCCGAATCATCAATTCAACGTCGGCGATGGAATTCCGCATGATATCGAGAGTTCAACGTTTCTAGTTAAAGAAATTCTAAAAATCTTATCAGATAGATACCAAAATCACGCTTTAAACTATCTAGCAGAAAAATTATTAACTCACACTTATTTCATGAACAGCAAGCAAATGAAAGATATTAGCTATGTTGCTGGCTGCTTATTTTCTTCATATGACAACTATACTTGTCCGGAAAGTCCACCATCGATTGAAAGAAAGATACCATCAGCAACACATTCATTAACTAAATGTAAAATTCCTGAATATTTCCCTGAAGTTGTAGTATTTCATCATGGATTGAAACATTCCAAGCGTCAGATTAAAGAATATATTAAAAATCGCGATATGATTGATGCTGGTGCATATATAGGTGACTCTGCATGCATTTTATCTAGCTATACAAATAAAAAAATTTATTCATACGAAATCAGTAAATCTAACTACAACGCTCTCAAAGCAGTCGTTAAAAACAATAATATTGATGACAAGGTAGTTACATTTAGAAAAGGTCTTGCGTCGAAAGAAGGCGTGATGCATTTAATTGATACGGGAAATAGCGGTGCAAGTATTGTCAAAGAAGGTAATGAAAACATTTCATTAGTAACAATTGATGACGAAGCACGGAAATATAATATGAAAATCGGATTTATGAAAGCAGATTGCGAAGGATTTGACTTGGAAGTTCTAAAAGGAGCAGCAGATGTAATAAGAAGGGATAGGCCTGTTATATCTTTCCAAACTTATCATAACTTTGAAGAATTTTTCGGAATTCCGGAATTCATTATGAGTTTTCCAAACTATATGTTCTATTTCCGTGTTGAAGGTATAAATAAAAATGCGCTTGGTGAATATGGTATTTTTGCATACCCTGCAGAAATAATTTACCCAACTTATACTCCTTCTCAAATGGATGAAATTAGAAACTTCCCAGGCATCAATATTTCAACATGGAATGCTTTCTGATATATTATACATGGTGCTCAAAAAATCTAATTTAGTACCATGTTTAATTTTATTCTTGTTTGTAATATTAAACTATGTGCGGTAAATTAATTGTATTTAAATATCTACAGACCAAACTCATGCAATTTTTAAAAAAAAAAAGCATAAAATTATTCATGTGAACGTGTATCTTGGCAAAATTAGCATTTTTATCGAAAATTAGTGCTTGTTGCTTATTGAGAAAGTGAATGGATCTTCCAATGAATTGAAATTGAAATGTAATTTGAGATTAGCAAGCAACAAATAAAGCATTTATGGTTAGAAATATGTTATATCATAATTTCATAGAAAACAATAATAACTTATTCATAATGTTTTTATTCACATTTTTAGTTGGATCAGTACATATTCATTATATCGAGGGTAAAAGATTAAGCAAGAAAACATCAATGGTAACTCTCCAAGGATCCGATAAATATCTTGCAATCGGCGAGGTTTCGGATTCAATTAGTAGATTTCCGCCTCGTCTTAACGTATATTCTATTGGAACATCTAAAATACTAAGTTCTACATCTATTCAAGGCCAAGATGCCTCTCTTGGTTATGCAATTGCTCCAATAAAAAATGGTTTCATTGCATCTTCACCTCAAGCAGCTTTTAGATGGGGTAAACCAGGTCCAATTTTAACAAAAATTTACTCTTCAAGAACAATTCACGAAACTTTAAATTCATCATATATTCCATACGGCGAAACTCTTGCTGCGTCGCTATATTATAAATTTGTGATTGCTTGTTCACCTTTTGAGAACAAAGGTTGTTATATTATTAATGAAACACATCGAATTATTCAAGCACCTGATAATGTTACTTTATTTGGCATTGCTGTAGCTGTATCACCTAGCGGAAGATACTACGCAACAATGTCTCGTGATCATTCAAGACCAGTTTCAATTCATATCTTTAATTCTTCAGATGAAATCGAAAATTCTTTCAAAATAGTTCACAATCCATTAATTGATCTTCAACAAGCAAGACCATACTTACATTTCGATAATGATAATAGTATGATAGCAGGATTTCCCGAAATCGGAAAAGTATTTTCTTATAAAAGATCTACAGTTGGCTGGGTTACGGAACATCCAGCAGATATCGAGATGACATCTATTAGTAAGTCTGGATCCTATTTTATCACCGTAAATAGAGATGGCGAAGTGAAATTTTTTGATAATTTATTCAAAGAAGTAGACAGCATAAATGTTCAGCGTTCAATTAAAAATTCCAACTTTACAAAGATTGTTGGAGGCGATACATGGTTTGCTGTCCTTGAAGATGACGGAAATGAAAGAACACTCCATATTTATTCGACAAAATCATCGAATTACTTCCACGCATTATTTATTGTTGCTTTGCTCCTCGTAACTTCTATTTTATATATAATTATGAGGCCAAAGATTTCCATCAGCGTCTTTAGACGCCCAGGAAAGAAACTTTTTTAGAGTAATAAACCTGTTAATGTTGTTTTATTATGAAAAATTTAAAATATGTTATTTTGAAAAATATAATCTCAAATTTTTTTAAGAATCAATGACTGAAATATTTAAAAACTATATTTATTTCTTATAGACAGTTTATTGCTTTATTGCTGATTCTCTTAAATTGTGTTTTCCATTTTCGATTCATCTCGAAATGAGTCATAAATCCATTTTTATACGATAATTATAATTTATATGATATTTTGGACAATATTTTTGATTGATGTCCAAATAAATTAGTTATCAATTTGAGAAAGTTTGTCAGGATGGCGAAAGCGAAGCAGGAGACTCTTAGAACAATATTTAAATCTCTTGGCTTAGGCGTAGATAATGAGGCATCCATTATGTATACGCTTGTTGATCACGCGCAAACAAGAATTTTGAATATTCTCGGAAATGCGTTACAAATTACTCACAAATGTAAAAGAAATAGACTTACGGTTAATGATATCAATATTGCATTAGAATCTCTTCGGATCCAGCCACTTTTTGGCTACTCCAGTCAAATAGAACCCGAACTTGTTGACGTGAATGGAGATAATAAACTTCTTGCATACGACGATTCATTTGTTCAGATCGACCAATATGGCCGTAGAGAGCTCCCAGCATATCCGCTTGCTACATCATATGACATTGATTGGATTGCTCTAAATGGAGTTGGTCACAAAAATCAAGAAGTTACAGAGGACAATAACGAAAATAATGAAAATGCTCAGCTGAAGCAGGCCAATCAATACAGACAGTTCATTCAAGATTCAGATGCTTTTGTCGTTTCAAACAAACATCAGTTTTCATTTACCCATCAGAAATTCTTCAGAGAGTCTCGTGATGCTCTTCTTTCTACAAACCAGCTCAAAAAGGAACTCATGTTCTACAAATTATCAAGATTGGACTGTATTCAGATGCTTGTTCCTTATTACGTCAGATTCACACTTGTACAGTTCCGCGATCACTCCAACGAATGGAATACCTTATACTCCTCTCTCTGTACAGCCCGTGCCCTCGTGCAAAACCCAGAACTTAAAAATATTGAAAGATATTTGCAAAGTTTCATTACGATAGCCCTATCATTTCTACTCAATCCCGACATCCTTAGGACAAATGTTGTCGGTCTGATCCGCATCAGAGAGCTTGCTGCAGAGTATTTAGTTGTAATATGCGATAAAATTTCAAATGGCTATCCAATGGTTCAGCCACATATTACATCACAACTTATAAGTGTCCTTGTTGACCCTGCTCGCTCTGTTTCTGAGAAATATGGAGCTTTTTGCGGATTAAATGCATTTGGATCCGAAACCATCGCCAGATTTGTCCTCCCACATATAGATGTCATTGTGAAAGACCTCGTTAAGGGTCCAATGAGGGATGGGGATAGAAATATCAGAATTGTCGCCGCAACATACTACGATGCACTTGTAAACGCGGTAGGACTCTGTTTATACAACGATACAGCACGAAGCTACTTAAATGGATGCATGGAACTCGCTCCAAGAACAGCTGAACACAGAGAGAAGATATTTGAGACTTTAGGATCATTATTACTGCCATTTTATATAGACGAAAGTGTTGAATTGTCGATTTAATATTTGTTTGTATAAATAAAATATGTTTATTCATAAATTATTTTTATTTCAAAAAAATCCTCCGACAAAATGATCAAGAACACAGAACAATGATAATTATCGATCCCATATTTAATGATTTAATTAATATTTTGAACTGAAAACATGAAAATAAATAAAAGAATTTCAAATTAAGAGCAATTTAATTCTAAACTAATGTACGAATTGCCTTGTTCGCATATTTATTGGTTTTGAATTTAGACTTGTCAAATTAAAAGACATTATGTATTTTAGGAATAATATAAATTCAACGATATGATTTTATTTGGTCGTATTGAAACCTTCATTCTTATTTGATTCAAATAAGGCGAAGAGTCGTGTTTAAATACAATTTATGTAATGGTGAAGAAGAGACGCATTGGCATTTGATAGTTAGCTTTGATTTTAGTGATATGATAACGAAACTATCACTTTTTACATAAAAGTGACAATAATCGTTAATTTACAGATGTCCAACGAATTAAATGTTCCAGACGAAGTTAAAGAACAAATCAACATGAAACTTGTTGAAAATGGCACAATGGAGTCAATCGAACAGGAAATTAAGGCTGCAATGAAAACGGCTGCACGTGAAATTAGAAATAACAAAACAGAATCAGAACTCGAATACGCACCACTCAAAAACATGAGCGAGGGTGAAACCGATGCTTTCAAAGCTGTTGTCAAGTTTTTGGAAGAGAAAGGACTTAAATTCTCTCTTGCCACACTTCTTGAAGAAGCAGGCTTACAAAAACCAGACACAGGATCTATTCTTGATGTTTGCGAATATCTTACTGCTGTTAAAAAGAATACTTCATCAAATAATTCTGATAAAGAAGGAGACGACAGTGATTCTGATATTGTTGTTGTCCCTGCAAAGCAGGAATAAAAAAAGTCAATATGTTCTTACAAAACAAAACAATTTATTAATGTATTAATTAAACATTTGATACTCTTCTAACAATACCGCTCGATGGGCGAACAATTTTTGTTCTGGATGTCTTAGATCCAGATATTTTTCTCTCTGTTGGTGTTTCCGCTGAGGAATAGTTAAGGATTTCTATAATATGATTAAATAAATTCTCAATTTCATCTGATTTTTGCTGAGATTCAGTTACAAGCGTGAACATTTGACTATTAAATGATAGAGGATCTGATGGCACGTTGATATAATCACTAAGTATATTAGTAATTTTATCAAATAAGTTATCAATTTTTTCATTTGACTTTTCATCACCTAGAATGAAATTATGTTTCTTAAGTTCTTCTTCTTTCATCGTTGCAGTTCTGTCAAACTGCTCTTGGTTCTCTTTCTTCAATGCATTGTATTTTTCATTCAATTCTTTTGAATTTTCTCTCATTGTGGATTTCTTTGCTTCAATTCTTGACTTGATGGACTCTTTTTCCAGCTTGTGCTTATCTTGGGCTTCTTGCATTCTCTCTGAATGAGGGATTTTCATCTGAGAAAGCTTCTCTTCTTTGTCAGATTTCGCTGATTCAATCAAATCCTGGGCTTCCTCAAATTGTGCTGCAAAAATGGCGTTCTCTTCATCTATTTTCGCATTGATCTCGTTTTTGGCGCTTTCAATTTCGCTTTTTGCCCTTATTATTTCATCTTTTAATTCTCTAACAGCATCATCGTACATGTTATTGAGTTGGTCGTTTGATGCTTGGAATAGAGATTCTTTGTTAGCAATAATATCATTCAATTCCTTTTCTTTAGTTCCATCTGAATAAATTCTGATTTTTTCTTTGATTTTTTCTGCTTCTGCGTTGATCTTCTTAATGTTTGCATTCGCTTCTCTCTTTATCTGCATTATATTATCGTTCATTGAGTTCTTACAATCCTTAATTAAACGAATCTGAGTAATAATTTCGGATCCACGCTGATTGGCTTCAGAATCATACAACTGTGATAGATTGTCAATAACCTGTGTGAGTTTAACTTGAGAAGCATTGATGCTATCATTGAAATTCTTTTTGATTTCTTCTTCATCTGTTGTCATCTTTCTTTTAGTTGTTCTTATTGACTTCTCTGCGTTTGAAAGCTCGAAATCAAGCTTATCTGACTGTTCTTGATGATATTTTTTAATAAAATCAATTTGTCCTTTAATTTGATTTAAACTTGCAATGAGATTTTCCTTTTGACGTGTAAAGTAACTGCTTTCTTCAATAGCTCCTGGTTTTTCTTCAGGTAAATGATGACTTTCTTCAAATTCTTTTTTCTTTTTCTGTAAATCGTTTTCAAATGATGCTTTAACAACTTTTTCTTTTTCAATTGATTGGTTTTTCCTATCTTTAAGCCTTGCATTTATTGATTCGAAATTTTGAGTAATTTCTTTTTCTGAATTTGAAATATTTTCCTTATTTTTCAATTTGTTATTAGCTGTTGCATCATTTGACTCCTTTTGGATTGTATCAAGGAGATCAATTAATGTTTTTCTTGCATCATTAAATTCAAGTCTAAATTTCTTATGATTTTCCTTTGATTCATTGGAAAGAGAGCTTAATTTATCATCCATAAACGAATTGATGACTGGCAATATATCAATGAATACTTTTTGTCCGGATTTGGCAGATTTTTCCAAATCCATCGCTGCAACTCTGTTATTAAAAGCTTCTTTCTTTTTATTTAGTATATTCAGCTGATCTGTAACGAATTTCTTTGACTTTGCCAACAAACTTGCTGTTGTTTTATGTAATTCTTCGATTTGAGTTTGAGTTTTTAGCATTTCGTCCTGCATTTTCATTTTTTCCATCTTAATATCTTTTTCGCTTTCTCTTCTCAACAATTTTTCTGTCATTTGTTTTTCCCTTTTGTCCATTTTGATTTTATCTCTTAATTGATTCAATTGTTGCTTCTGTCTTGATATCTGTGAGTTGATTTGAGATATTTTCTTATCCAGTGCTGATTTATTCATTCGCATCTTCTTTTGCAATTGAAAAACAGCAGATTCAAAATCAGATTTTTCTGAATTTATTGTTTTCTTCATATTTTTCATTTCAATGAAAAGATCTTTAAGCTTATGCTTTAGCTCTTCAATCATCCTCTTTTTTGTCTTAACAAATGAGTTTGTAATCGCTAATTTTTCTTTTAGAACGGAATTGTAATCTTCGCGAACAATTTTAACGGATTTTTCAAGTTCTTCGAGTTTATTTCTTGATTCTGTAAGTTGTGGTGCTCTTTGACGAATATTTTCTCGAATTTTTTCGGCACTTTCTGCTCTAAGCGTTTTTGCATTTTTTGCGTATTCTGCGGTAATTGCTTTTAAGTTTTCTTTGTGTTGTTTGTCTAATTCAGCTGATCTATTGCGTAATTCTCGAGTAAAAACTGACATCTCTTTTTGTAGTATTGTGTTTGACTTAGAATTTTGTGTGCTCAATCCTTTTATATCGTTTTCAGTCGAATCTAAAAAGGCCGCAGCCGATTTCAGGGACATCTTTTCAGCAGCTACTATTTGAGAACCATATTCTTTAAGTTGAGAAGACATTTTAGCATATTCTTGCTGTATGTCTGCTATTTTTTGTGCGTAATCTGCTTTCAATTGTTTATACACTGCACCAAATGTAACACAATACTCATCTATTTTGTCTCTTCTGAAATCAATAAGTTCATTCTGCTGATTATCTATCCTTCTTTCAGCAGCATCATTCAAACTGTTTAATTTCTTTTCGAATTTTTGTCTAAATAATTTTTTTTCTGTTGCATTGTCTATTTTTTCATTTTGAAGTTCAAGCATGACTCTGCACAGTTGCGCGACCTTTTTACATGAGTTATAACTAAATGCTTCGTCAAGGTCTGCCTGCATTTTTAAACGTTAATTTATAAAATTTATAAAATGTTTGTAACTTTTCTATCGATGCAATCCAAGAATTTGTCATTTTAACAGATAGGTTTTCTAGAATTTATTGAATGCACTAACTAAGCTTGATAATGAACTTAGATTGAATTTCAAAATTCTTTTCTTCAAAAAAATTACTTGAAAATGATCGAAATGAATTCATTTCGACTGTGTTTTGATTTTCTAGTAGTTATTTTGAAAGATTCAATAAATTAAACATCTTATATCGATATGGACTTTATATTATGGAACTAAATATGGTGAGATTGATTTTATATGAATAGTATAAAACTATCTTTTACAAAACAACAAATAAATATAAAAAATAAAAAATCAATTTTCGCTATTATTGAAAACATTCAATATTATTTCAGAAGTCGTCTCATGAAGATCAGATATTGTAGCAAATTCTTCAAATGCTTCCAAATTTTCATTCACCAGCTCTTGGAACTTAATTAAATAATTTACATCATTTGATTTAATAATATCATATAATTTTTCAGTGATACACTTAAATATAATGAGAGAATTGAAATCAGGATCCGTTAAACCGTAATAAAAAAATATATCTAAGAAATCAACATTTTTCCAGATGAAATCAGAGTGTAAATACGAGAATGCGTAAAGAACTTCTTTTGCATTTGGAAATCCGAAAGATTCATGATTTTCCAAAAAATATTGTCCCAACAAAACTGTTTGTTCTTCTGTGAAGTCGTCAGGATGAGTAATGATGAAAGCTGATATATGTGTCAACTTATTCTTGAACGTAACGTATTTTTGGAAAATATTGAAAAATTCTTCAAAAGTAATCAATGCAGGGTTGTTATTCATGCTGGATATCCTCATAAGCAAGTAAAGATTATCTTCTTTCCTTTCAATGCTTTCTGGAAAAGAAAATTCAAAATTAAAGTTTGTTGTACCCAAAATAAAGCGAAGACCATCGCTGCAGTAGGCTTTGTCGTTAAGTGTGTTTTGAATATTTCTTTGAAAGATTGGTAATGGATATTCGACCAAATCTTGTGGTAAATTCTGTCCAATGTTTTGATAAAGCATGCACCATATAAATTTGATTAAATATGGACTTTCAACGTTCGGAATTCGATCATTAGAAGCAAAATAGTTAAAATATTGTCTTATTGTGTTTTCTTCTAAAAAATCTATCTCTCCTGGCTGAAAAGATGTAATTATATCGAAAAGAAGGAATGTAATTGAAGAAACGAACGATTTTTCAGATAATTTTTGAAATAATCGTTCAAAAACTTCGTTTGATTTGAATAATGCAACTAAACTTTTGTCTGAGCTTAAAAATTTTTGTAAATATAATATTGCTTTGATAGAAATGTTAAATTGTGATTCATCAAGAAAAATTGATTCAAAAAAGTATTTGATATAGTCACCAACATTTGCTGGTTTCCTAAATTCGAGGAAAAGAGATAGTTTTGATAGCACATTTTCGTTTTTTGGTGGGAAATTTGATAAAAGATCTTCAGCAGTTTCTGAATCAACGAAATTTATAAGATTCTCTAATTCCCATGGGGTTTCTGCCATTGCTGGTCGGTCAACATTTGTCAATTTAACTCTGCTAGTCATGTTCTAATAAATATAATTTAGGGGGTAACTTAATTATTTAGGGGATACTTGAAACACGTTTTAAAAATCGGCAATGAGTGACGAAGAAGATAAAGAGCCACAGCCATCCGATTTTAAAATATTCGTTAACAATCGTGATTCGTATGTTGGATCTGCTGTAACTGCCTATTTAACAAAGAAAGGCTTCGTAGTCTACGGAAATGGCAAAAATGAGAATCTCGTTAACATTAAGGATTTAAATGTTGATGATAAGGAGCAGGTTAAAACAATACTCAGCGAAAATATGTTAGTCTTCGATATGACTGAAGAAACAGAATCAACAAAATTCGCTCTTGATTTTATCGCAAATGCTACATTAAACAGAGAAATAAATCTCGTTATTTTCTCACCACTCCTTTGCTGGGGAGGCAGATCTCTTAAGAATCCAGAAGAGGAAGAAGAGAAGAAAGAAGATGAACCAGAGGATAAGCCTGAGGAAACAGAAGAAAAGCACGAAGAGGAAGAAGAAACAGAAAAAGAACCATTCACACCAGTGAATGAGGAAGATTACCTTAAAAGAATTCCACATGAACTTGTCAAGGAGCAATACATTCTTGAATCACGTGCAATTCAGCTCGGTCATGAACTTGAACGTCTTAAAGTTACAATTTTCGGTGTTGGTCTTCTCTACGGCCGCGGAGAAAATATATTAAATCCATTCTTCCGCGCATTATGGGAAGGAAAGATGAATGAGTTCCCTGTTACAAAGAGCCATATCTCTTGCATCCATGTAATGAATCTTGGCGTAGCTATTTCGAAATTATTACTTGAGCCACCTGAGGAAGATTCAGATGATCCAAAGGCCAAGCTATTACCTAAATACCACATCCTTGGTGAAGAAAACTGCCCAACATTCAAGGCAATCGGTAAAGCCTTTTCAAAAGTTCTTGCAAATGGAAAAGTTCGTGAATTCAATGAGGACATCCCTGAGCTTCACAAAGGTATTCTCAATACAGAACTTGCAGCAGAAAGTACTTTCCTTGGCGAATCCGAAGATATCGTTTGCCAAGCAGGTATTATTGAAAGTGCTGCTAAAGTTGTTGATGAATTCCGATCCAAATACGGTCTTACTCCATTAAAAGTCCTCGTTATTGGTCCTCCAGGTTCAGGATATCCAGAAGTTTGCCACAAGATCTCAGAAAGGATGAAATTACCATTTATTGATCCTCTTGAGCTTGTTGGAGCAGCTACCAAAGAGCAGGGCGAATTTGGTGACGAAATCAGAGGAATGATGGAAGAAAACGAAGGAGCGATCAATGACGAGATCATTTGCAAAGTTGCCCACAGGAGAATGGCTGCACGCGATTGCAGGAACTACGGATGGGCAATCAGTGGTTTTGCAGACACATTTGCAAAAGCCGGAGAAATTTTCGACCACGGTGAAGAAGAAGAAGCAAGTCCACACTTCGAGCACATTCCTACCCATGTTGTCGTATTAACAGCCGACGACAAAGTCCTTGAAAAGCACCAGGCAGTGAACAGTGATGATTCAGAATCATTCAAGAAAGCTCTTAGGAAATACAGGAAGGCAAATGAAGCCGAAGAAGATGTCTTCAAGTTCTTCGATGACAGATCTATCTCCAGTATCATTGTCCCTGCTTTCCATCCAAATAATCTCGATGAAATCTTCAAGTTCCTCGGTGAACCTCATTTCTTTGGTCGGCCACAGGAAGAAATTGACGCCGAAATTGCTGAAGCAGAGAGGATTGAGAAGGAAAAGAAGGAAGTCGAGGCGAAGGCCAAAGAAGAGCAGTTAGTCTCTGAAGAAAGGAACTGGGAGAATGGTGAGGCTATCCATGACATCGCAGTCAAGAGAATGGAAGAAGAAGATAATAAATTTTTAGGTGAAAAATCAGCTCTTCTTCAGAAATATTTGGATGATGAAGTTATGCAGCACGTCTTGGCTGGTATTGTTCAGGTTTGCAAGGATATGCCAGAAGATCCTGTAGATGCCCTCGCTGAGTTCTTATTCGCTGAAAACAGAAGAATGAAACATTGAAAAATATTGAGATAAATAAATTATTTATTATAATGAGAATTTTTAAATTTATTACAGTTAAGGCAACACTTACATCTTTTCTGGCATTCTCTAACATGTGAAGTAGATTTCACAATAATATTAAACAAATTATATAAGAGTTAACAATGTTTTATTATATAAGATCTTAAAAACATAAAAGTTTTATATGTCTCTTTTGTCAAAAAAAAAATATAAAGCATGTCAGAAAATGGTAAGTGCACTCTTAATTGTTTATGTTTCTATTCTAATTCGGTACTTTTAGATTATATTAATCTTTTATATTTAGTGCTTGAATCGTGTGTATATTATTTTCTAAACCATGATTACCTTACATATATTATTTGGTTGACTTATATAAAAGATTGTAAATTGTAAACTTTTTTGTTTAGATCTATTACAATAAAAACTTCGAAAAGAGTCACTTCAATAGAATTTTGGAGCTCAAGTCAATTATGTTATGACTTGTGAACCCTGAGAATATTTTTCCAAATTTAATTTAGAAGAGAGATTAATCTTTGAACTTATATCTGCACCATGTGATATAAGAAGTTCTACCATTTTGCTGTTATTGTTTTCAATTGCATAATGAAGAGGAGTTTTCTCATCTTTATCCTTTGAATCAATATATGCGCCATGTGATAAAAGTAGTTTTACCAATGTGCTGTTATCTGTTAAAACTGCATAATGAAGAGGAGTTTTCTCATCTTTATCTTTTGAATCAATATATGCACCTTGTGATAAAAGAAGTTCTGATACATGGTCGTAATAATTTTCACATACATAATGAAGAGGAGTTTTCCCATCTTTATCTATGGTATCAATAAATGCACCGCAAGATAATAGAAACATTATAATTTCTTTATAATATTTGCAATTTGTTGTTGCATAAAATAGTGCAGTTCTACCATTTTCATCTTTAATATTGATGTCTGCACCATGTGAAATAAGAAATTCAACTACTTCTTGGTTTTCGTTTTCTGCAGCATAATGAAGAAGTGTTTGGCCATATTTATCTTTTAAATTGACATCAGCACCATGCAAAAGAAGAAGTTCTACTATTTCTCTACAATTATTATCTACTGCCGAAAAAATGGCCGTTCGTTGATAATTGTCTTTTACGTTGACATTAGCACCATGCAAAATCAGAAGTTCTGCTACCTCTTTGCTTCCTTTGTCTGCTGCATAATGTAAAGGTGTTATATCATTTTCATCTTTTGAATTGACGTCAGCACCATGCAATATCAGAAGTTCTGCTACTTCTTTACTATTGTTTTCTGCTGCATAATGAAGAGGGGTTTTACCGGATTTATCTTTTGAATTAACATTTGTACCATGCAAAATAAATAGTTCTGCTACTTCTATATTGTTTCCTTTTGCTGAACAATGAAGAATAGTTAAATCTTCTTTATTTTTATCATTGAAATCAGCACCTCGTGATATAAGAAATTCGATTATATCTTTATCACTTCCATATGCTGCATAATGAAGAACAGTATTTCCATATATATCTTTTGCTTTGATATCAGCACCATGTAATATGAGAAGTTTTATAATTTCTTTGCTGTTTTCTTTTGTGGCAAGACCAAGGGCAGCAATATCAACTTCATCTATATCTGAAATAGGCAATTCTCCAATTTTCTTATTGTTTACTTTTGCAGCCCAATGAAGCATATTTGTCCCATATCTATCCTTGAAATTTATATCAGCACCATGTGATATAAGTAGTTCGGTAATTTCTTTATTTCTTCTCTTGATTGCACAATAAAGAGGTGTGTTGTATTTTTTGTCTTTTGCATTGACATCAGCACCATGTGTTATTAGAAATTCCACCATTTCTTTACAATTGTTTTCTGTTGCACAATAAAGAGGTGTGTTGTATTTTTTGTCTTTTGCATTGACATCAGCACCATGTGATATAAGAAATTCGACCATTTCTTTACAGTTGTTTTCTGTTGCATAAAGAAGAGGTGTTTTATCGTCTATATCTCTTGAATTTATGTCAGCACCATGTGAGATCAGCAGTTCGGATACTTCTTTATTATTGATGTTTACTGCTAAATGAAGAGCAGTGTATCCTTTTACTTGCTTAGCATTGATGTCAATGCCACTTGAAATCAGAACTTCTGATGTTTCTTTATATGGTGAATAGTGAAGAGCAGTCTCATTATAATCGTTTTTTGCATTGACATCAACACCTTGTGAAATAAGGAATTCTGCAATTTCGTTAGAATTACCGACAGCCGCATAATGAATAGCAGTGCAGCCTGCCAAGGATATCTTGGAAAAATCAATACTTCTATTCTTGAAAACATCGATAGTCTGTGGAAATGCAGCACACCATGGAGTTACTAAATTATTGTGCTTTTCGAGTAATAAGAAAACAACTTTCAGGTTTTGTGATATGATAATTAAATCGCCATCAATGTACTGTGGATCAAATAGATCCATTTGGAATATGTATTCGAGACATTGATGGTTGTGTGATGAAATAATATAATTCAGACATTTTTCATCGATTTCGTTGTTTTTCTTGCATTTGTTGATGATGTCGATATTTCCTCCAATAAATGAGTATTGATAGCATTGCTTTGTGATTTTGATGTCATAATTTGAGATGAGGAAAAAGAAAATGTTCACAGATCCAAAATAACAACATGCTTCAATAGGATCCATTCTTATAAAGCACGGGACTTTTATCGTAATACTTTCTAAAGAATGCTGTGTAACATATTCTCTGAATTTGTCAACTTGATCATAAATTATCATGTATTGAATTTCACCTTCTTTTGGTAATGAATTTGTGTCAAATTCGATTTGATTACTTGTATTAGATTTTTTAGAGATACGCAAGTACGAATGTATTTCATCAGAACATAAATCGCCATGTTCGTTTAAAGTTTTATATTGCAATAGATCTTTATATTTGAATGAATGTTTCTTCAAGATATTGTTAAGAATATTGACATATATAGCAATGGATCGATAATTATACCTAATTGCGTTGAATATGCTCATAAAGAGCAAGTGAATTGATATTTTGTACTTACAAATTAAAACTTTTTCTACTAAATCGTAAATCTCTTCAAGAGATTGATCAGCTTGTAAGTGATAAAGTTTCTCATACACTCCTATAAAGTCTGAATATTTCTTTATATACTGACAACCCATCAAGTGAGGGTATAAATAAAAATGAGAAGTAAAAGGGGAAAAAAAATTATTTTTTATGGTAGAGAAAAGGAAATAAAACATATAAAACCAATTAGGGGGAAAAAATGTTGTAAAATCACTGAGATTATAACGGTTTGATTTTGAAAGAAATTATATTCTTATGTTTTTATTATTGTTGCTGTTATTATTAGTATCATTATTATTTTAGTTTATATAGATTTAATTCAAAAGTGAAAGAATTGTGTTAAAGTCTTTTCAGGGGGGGTTATACCGTGATAAAGTCTTTTCAGGGGGGTTTATTCGAATGAAAATTGAAAGAATTTAAGTTTGATCACAAAAATATACGTCTTTGAAAAATTGAATGATCACAAATCAAATATATGAATGGAATATATAATAGGCTAGAGTTTATAAACATACTCATATTTGCTCAAATGTTTAGTAAAAATAACAATTATAAGTAAGGTTCGAAAAATTGATATATCTAAATGGTTTTAATCTTAATCAGATTTTCAATCTCCCAATTCTTGATAAAGATTGATAACTTTACAAAAGACGTGGAATATAATTTGTAAAGTTATCAATCACCATTAAGAATTAACATGACAGTGCAAAAATTTAAAACCGTTTTACTTATTCAATTTTTTAACTGTTTTGTTAAAATAAATGTTAGGTAGACCTAGGCCAAAAGCAATCCAAATAGAATTTGCCGAAACAACTACGACTAAGGTATATATCAATGGTCGTGCAGAAACAGTGTTAACTCAACATCCACAAGTTGGCGTTAAAGAGTTTTTAACAAAAGAACAGCTTGCTAATTTTAAAAAAGGAAGAAAATAGAAGGCTTTTCAACGAAAACAAATTATGTTCGCAAAATCTGCTATTATTTTTTTTTTTTTAAAAATTAAATCAATCAGCGCGAATCGCCCGATAGAATTAAGACACTTTAATCAAAACCTACAATAAATTAATTTGTTTATAAATATTTTTTATATTTTCGTTCAGAAATTTTAAACTTATTTTAAACAAACCAATAATACTATTCTTCGCTAATTGGTTGGCACAAAGCGCCAACCAATTAGCGAAGAAATTTATTTTAAAAAAAAAAAATTATTATCAATTCATGAAATTAGTCTATAATACCTTGGGTACCAACTTTGAGGACCTTCGATCCTCAAAGTTGATACCTTCCATTTTGATATTGACACGACAGTCAAGTCGGTGAATTCTCGCAATCAGAATGTGATTGTAAGGGATTCGCCGAATCCGGGTACTTTGCACTTGTGGTGTACCTGGGACGATTGTATTCTGATCACAATCAAACAAAACAGTTTTCCCAAAATTATTTTATGTCTCCAAATCATACTAATCCAAGTTTTATTTTGTCAATATTATATTTAGTTGGGTGGTCATTCATAAATTTTCAAGTGAAAAAAGCCAATAATTTTTGATTTCCATATTGATTATTTTTATTCTTCAATACAAAGCAAACTAGATCTCAGATGTTTTGATAAAAATGATATATGCATTAGGAATTTCTATATTTTTTAAAGTAAATAATGTCTTTATTTCACCAACAACAAGTAAATATAATAATCGTATCTAAGTGTATCCGTAAATATTTCGTAATTGTTATTGTTTGTGATATCAAATAATAACATTATGATAAGATATAAAATTTCAATATTAAATAAAACTCATGAAATCAGAGTAATTGTTTGGTGAATGAATATTACTTAGTAAGAAAAAGAGAAATCACTTCTGAAAAACTTCATGAAAGCATTTAAATATCGCGATTTAATCTCTCCAGAAAAATTGTATTAGCTGAATTACTGCATATTTCAACTGTGTATTTACCATTTGAATGCGATTTATACATCTGATTATCTAACAAAAATTTTGGCTGGATACCATGAAGTCGAAATTTCATTTTTCATTGTATGATTCTGAAAACGTGATTCATTGTTTTAATCATTTTTGAAGCTATCTTATTACTGTGAATGGTTTTTAACGACATTTACTAAAATTGCATAATATAATCAGCCCAAAGAGGGTTCATCCGAATCAATATGCATTGAGAAAGTATAGATGGCTATGTTCTATTGCAATGTTCCATTGAAGGCTTTTTTAATAAAATACATAGGGAGATTGGACGCATATAAATACCCTAGATATTTTTTAATTTTAAGGTTAATAAGTGACTCTGCCTTTCTGTAATTACAACATCTTTTAAAAAAAAATTGAAATACACCGTCAACTAATTCTCAATTTTTTAAAAATTATGACTGAGAGCAATGGTGCCGATGTTTACATTATTCATGATAACAATGAAAAAGGCAAAACAGAAGAATATCGTTGCCCTGATGACTCAGCCAATTATACATATAGTTTTCCAAATGAAAGTGATGAATTTATCATAATCACAGACTCTACAGAAATATATATATATCGGATACTTCGTTACAATCTACCATCAAGATTATATTTCAAATCAAATATTGATGAATTATGCAAATATTTACTTAAAAATGGTGATACCGAATTACGCCCAGTTGAGCTTGGTGAATTAATCAATTGCTATTGTTCAAATAACAAATATGTTTATAATGATATGGGAAGTGGACCCGAAGATGTTCGCAATGTTTTGAATGAAGGAGTAAATTATGTAGGATACAGTGGTACGCCAATACCCACCGATAAAGACTTCTTTGTTGCTCCATTATTCGTGCCAGATCAAGAAGACCAATCTAGCCCTGGTCATTTTATCACAGGAGTTTTTCAAAAACAACCTAATGGCTCAGAACATCCATATAAACTATACGTTTTTGATAGTTGTGGTTTTAGATCCAGCACTTTACGATTAGGTTACGAAGAATATGATGATGATGCTAAAGTAGAAATCGAAGTTCCAGTCGAAACTCTCAATAAAAAAAATTTACAAAAGAAGTCAGATACATGTCCATACTATACGTTTGTCGCAGCTCAAATTTTTTCGACCTATGATAATTTTGCTTCATTGTTTCGTTTTTGTAATGCAGAATTCAGAAAATCAGGTGACACAAAAATTGATGAAGGTGTCAGAGACTTTTTAATCAAATATGGTGTGTCTCCTAAAGCTTTTAGAAATTTAAGGGACAGAGGAACCTTTGACTGACGGACCTTCTCCAGTACTCTATTAGAGCTTAACTTTAATAAACATTCAATATTTTATTACCTATTATTTGATGCACTGAATGCTTATGCTGAAACTCATAAGTTTCCATCATTCTCAAGCTCAGGCAAATCGTATGAAAATTTGAAATTTAAGGTTGGTGTCCATAGCTTTTAGAACTAGGCCAGACACAATCCAAAAAGAATTTGCCGAAGCAGCTACTACTAAAGTATATAGCGATGGTTGTGCAGCAACATTCCTAACTCAAAATCCACGAGTTAGCGTTAAAGCGCATTTAACAAAAGAGCAGTTTGCCAAATTTAAACTCGTTTTCCTTTGTAAAGTCTCCTCGCCTGTAGCCTACCCCAAGACTTTTATTTTCTGCCAAATAAATATGTATCATGAGTAATTTCTTTTTTTAAAGTTTGTTCATATCTTTGTTGTAAATAAAATTATAAATTATTTCAATCTTCTTAAAAGCATGAATTAATTCAATATGTTGTTATGTAACCATATGTCTTCATAAATTGAAAATGGATTTTGGACAATATATATTTATTTATGAACATTATCAAATAATTATATTCATTATCTGAATTCTTCAGAACTGTTACAAAATAAAAGTCTTAGTATAGATTAAATAAGCATTATGAGGATTTCATTGGATTAATTCAACTTCAATTCAACAAATTTTAATATCATATTTTATAAGCAAATATTAAAATCTTTTGAAGTATAAATCAAGCATTATCTCTTAGTATGTTTGAATACATGTGGATTAAGTTCATTTTTGGGAGAAATCTCATATGATAATTTTAATGTCTATGATATATTTAAACAATCATATCACTTTAGTTACATATATTGACGATTTGCATTTTGACTAAGAATACATTCTCAAATATGTATGTATTGAGAACTAGCATTTCTATTCAATGCAAAAATATGGTTTCTAGTGTTTTATTAGTAGGTTCAAAGAAATACAATTCGATGGAAAGATCATAAGTATATCAAAACCATATCTTACTATTAATCTACATGATGCAATTTTCAAAATCTGCCAGAATATACAAAATTCAGATAAAAATCGAAATTATATTGAAAGGAGAAATGATTATTTACACTAATAATAAAAAGCTAGAGTTGATTTTTTACTTTGTTGTCACTTTTATTTCTAATGGAACCCAACTTTTAATCCATGTTGGAACAAAGCAAAGCATTATTGGTCAAATAGATTTAATATATAATTAATTGTCCTTCATGAACATTCAAACATATTTTGATTATTATTTCAAAATAATTGAACAACTTAAGTCACCCATCTTCCTCAAGAAAGACAAAAATATTTTCCTACCCACGTTCTCATTTTTATCCAAATTTGCAAAAAGCGGGGGAAGAAGAACAAATTCTTGGGCTAAGAAGAAAATTACTGACCAGAATGTTTTCTGTCAATCTTCCTCCTCTTATTGTTGGAACTATTTATACTCAAAACAGATTTCCAATAATATTATTTCACCGAATTAACAAAGAAATCCAATTTATTTTATAATACACATATTACTGATTCTATGTTCAGTAATTTTAGTTTCCTCAAGTACGTTACCAAATTGAGAGGAAAAAATAAAGCATTATTATTTTAATCTATATACTATCCTAAAGCATAATATCATATAATTTTTATTTATATTTTTCTGAGATAAGCCTAAAAATTGAATGTTGTCATTTGGTCGGTCTCCCTATCGTACCTTCCCCCACAATATTGATACGACCCCTTTTAAAAAATTTGAATAGGCGTTATCGTTTATGAAAGAGAGTTTAAATTAATTCATTAATTTTAGATTTCATTGAAATATGTCTATGAAATTCAGATTTGTTTTCGTTCTACCGATATATGATGGGAGTAGAAGAGTTGATAAGAATAAAAATATATAATTTTTGAATGTATAATAATATTCGGCCCTGACTTCGTCATTAATTAGATTTTCATGCCATCAAATTGAGCAGGAATAATAAATTGCATAAAAATATTAAAATTTGTAAAATGGAAATAATAGTTTAAGTTTACTAGTATACTTGGTAATCAAAAATATTCTTTATTTTATACGAGGGCTTGTTCTATCTTTATCTTTAAGTTTTCAATATTCTTCTTCAATCTAGAGTTATCCTTCTTAACAATTGAGCATGCAACAACTGGACGAGAAACACCACAAGCACGACCAAGTGCAGCACGAGATGGGACAAAAATATATTGTACATTCTTATCTTCGCAAAGAAGTGGAAGATGCATAACAATTTCGATTGGATCTGTATCACCAGCAATAAGGACTATTTCTGCTACTGAACGATTGAGTGTCTTTGTAACTTCGTTAGCACCTTTGCGAAGTTGTTTGTTCTGAGAAGCATCCTTAACAAGTTCTAAGATAGCGGCATTGAGCTCACTTGAAGCAAGTGGATAAGCTTTTGGTGAAACACCTGGTGGGAGATCTGTGGACATGATTTTGTACTAAAATGCAAAGACCACAAATTTGCCCTTTCAAAGGGGAAAAAAAGGTCCTCCAAGATTTTAAAGTGTCTCTCGAGATTGAGAGCATAGATCTGTTCTGCTGGCTTTCTCATCGATCGTTTAACTCCACTTCTAGGTGTAGATCTAAATGGTCTAAATTTTATGATTAAAATCGAAAAATTATTTTAAAAAGTTGATGAATATGATATTATTTAGATTACTACAAAGTCTTCTTAGCTGTATATATGTTATTACTATTGTATCTTTAATAGTGCTACCATATATTACTATATTTCGATATCTTGAAATTTTTTCTTTTGAATTATATTCATATGTCATATGATAATCTTAAGATGGTTAATTTGGCAACACTTGGCTTATTTATGTCCTTTAAATCAAAATTAATTGATATAGAAAATTTTTTATTCTAAGTGCAAAGAGTCCATTTAATATAATAGACATAGTTTGATGTTGAATAGATTAAGATGTCATAAACATAGAGAAATTTTATTATAAAAAAAAACAATCAAACATAAAATAGGTAAAATTACTGTCATCTAAAGTCTCCTCTTGACTTATTAATGCCTGGAGGATGATAGATAAAGTCAGTTCTGCCTCCTGTAGTATTGTACTGAGTCTTCTGTCGTTTTTGTTGAGATCTTGCTGTTTGAGCCTTCTTTGGAACTTCGTATTGATCTACAACATCATGAAGTCTTTGAACTAAGTTAGTTAAATGCTCTATTTCTTCAGCTAATATACGATTTTCTTCAAGTAAATCTTTTTTATCGAAGTAGAAGATAGATCGTGTTCTTGTTTCGGGTATTTCAGGAATTAATGGGCTTCTCTTTGAATTCATCGAAGTCAATCTAGATTTTGTTTTAGTGTTTGCATTCTTTTCGTTAAAATTAGATCCTTGAGTCATAAATAATGGTGGACCTTGATAGTCTCTCATTGATGCTGATGTATAGCAAACACTTACTGTGAAATTGATTGAGCCAAAATCATCATCGCGTTTTCCCTTGAAATTACCAATATATTGTGCTTGCACGTATCTGTTTGGATTTTGAAGTGCCTTTTCAAATTGGGCGCTAAGTTTAATTCTATCTTGTGCTAAACGAACAGAAGTATGACCTGGACGAGGTGCTCGTACTGTTATTTCTATGGGGCATGCTTCAATGATTTCAGCTTGTGGGATTTTCAGCATCATTCTCTTACCTTCTGATATATTTACAGTTCCAGGAGGAGATCTTGAACGAAAAACTTCCACTGCTGGAAGCATAAATAATCTATACATAATAATGAAATCTGCCTCTATTCTATTATTAAGTTCCATTGTATCAAAAAAGATCTGGAAAACAAACTCTGCTCTCTCCATTTTTTTTTGTTTTATAAAAAAAATGTACGTTAAATTTACATTTACATTATTGCGAAGGGGAAAAAAATGGAGCAAAAAAACTTCCTGAAAGAATGAAATAAATTTTAATTCATAAAAAACAAAAAAATCTTCAAATCAATTTTGGAAATTGAAAGTAATTATCTGTCATAGGACTTTTACGTATACTTAATTCAACCCAATAGATAATGTATTTTGATATCTTGATGAAAGATCTAAAAAAAAAATTTTATATGGTGTATTTTGTTTATGAAAACAATAAAATATATAACAAGGGTTCTCTTACATAACTAAGAGAAAAATAAAAATAAAATTAATTAGTAGGAAGTAAAGATCTGTAAGCATCGAACATCTTAAATGCCGGAACTTCCAATTGCTTCGGGTCATCAAATTTCTCGAATGCCTCTATGAATTCCATTGACTCTTGTGTGTTTCCAGCGATTGCTGCAATGTGTTCTGCAATTTCCTTCTTGGATACAAATTTTCCAAGCCTAAAAAGAATTGCTACTCGGTAAATGATATCCTGTTTTTCATCGATATCGATGAAAAGCGATGAAATTATCGTATTAACGATGTCAACAGAGAATTCACTCAAATCTATGTTTGGAATCACAACAATATTTCCTAATACTTCTACAGCTTTGACGCAAAGAATACGAGGAACATCTTGGTTGATCATTGGAAGTATGTATGTCAGAACTGAACTAAGCATTTGTGGAATCTTTTTGACCAGTTTGTAGCAGAAGTCCAGTGAATCCTTAATATTGTCTTTGTCGTTACTCTCGAATGTTTGACGAAGACATTCATCAAGGAAACTGTTGTCATCGCCAAAAATAAAAGGTGCCAAATACAAAAGGACTCGGAAATGTTCTCGAGTAAGGTATTCTGGTATGACATTCGATAGCCATTGAACAATGAATTCACCGTATGTTGATGGATTGCACCAATTGTGTCCAAGAGAATTTCCGATGAATTTGGCCAGTGGATTTTGGATCGCTGGGTCTGTATTGACGAAGTAGTCACGTAGTAATGGGAATAATTGGTTGAATATTGAGTAAAAGTACTCTTTGTAGTAAGAATCGATTTCGAATTTAGGAACTCCTTCAATAATTGTGCAAATAAAGTCGATATTCTGCTGGTAGTTGTCATTCTGGAGCTCTGCTTGAACGGCATCGCCCATCAACTGTGAGAGATCGTCCATGATAATTCGAATGTTGTTTTCTGGAGTGACGCGAGGGAATATGTTGTACAGACTTTTAAGAATTTGACATGCCACATCCGATGTAGCGTTAGGAATCATTGTAAGAAGCGGCTGTATCAGTTTATCTGGCTCATTGACAAAATTTTTCCAGAAAAGAGGAGCTATGGCTGCAACAGTTGTAGCAACTTGTAGTGGTAATATTTCTGTAAACATCAGCATCTTTTCTAATAATTGTGGGGCAGATTCACTTGCGTATAATGCACATGTTCGGCAGAAGTACACAATTGTAAATGGTGTCTCCTCCATTTCAAGGAGTTTGCTGGCAGCACTTGTTGACAACATAATGCGGAATGGCTCGGAAACTGTAGATATGGCGTAGAATACACCTGGTGTAGGATCGTGTATTGCTTGTGAGAGTAAACGAGCGAATATCTTGTTAGGCTCTTTAGTTAATGTGTAAAATAAAATTTCTAAATCTTGTGTAATGTATTTGAAATCGCCCGTATTAACAATATCGATCATGAACATAAGAACGTTTTCAATAAGAACTTCGAATGGCTCTGCAATTTCACCTTGGCCGGAATATGGATCACAGAAGTAACCAATGGAGCAACAGATGAATTCTGATGCAATGTCAAGTAAGCTGAATAATTCTGACTCTAAGCCGATCTCTAAAAGCTTCTGTAAAAATGCCATAAATCTACTAAAGAAATTTGTAGTAAATTCGGTATTTTCTGGCTGTGCAAAATACTCAGGCATATAGTCAAGACCTTGGTGGTATATAAATGATGAAAAGGCATACTGATCTGCAGTAGCTTCGCCAGAAACATTATTATCTGCAATATCCAAAACTAATTGGAACAAATTAGTAATGTAAACAACTTCTTCTGGACAAAGGTTAATATAAGGAACTGCTGAGATAGCATACTCAAACATAGTTGCAATAGAAGAATAAAACTCTCTTTCTTGAGATGCTTGAACGACAATGGGGAATATATCTGTACACGCATCGAATATTGTCTGATGCATAACAGAAGTATGAAATCTAAACCATTCAGTTGTTACTGGAGCTCCTTGTAATAATTGCATGAAATAGGGAACCATATCGCTTAGTTTATGGTTTAGTGCTTCATAATTAAAGTATGGAGGAACAAGAAGCTCGAAGCAAAATTGGAAAAATGGAATTTGATAATCCAATGGTAAAAAAGAGACTTGGTCCATGTAATCTAATCGTCCTGATGTTATTATTGCCAATGCATTTAATAATATTGGTACACACCTTTCATCGTACGTTTTATTTTCTTCGGAAACTTTTTCAATGATGAATTCGAATATATTTTCGACGGAATTATCATCTAGTTCTTGAATAAGTTCTTTTAATTTATTGCGGAGGCATACTGCTGCGTTAAATACTACAACAGAATATTTCGAGCTTTTAATCAGCTCAATTGACATATCCAAGCTTTCGTTTGACTTTTCCCATTCGATAATCTCCTTAGCAAATTTTCCATGTGCTTGATTTTCGAGAATGATCCGCTCAATTCTCGATAAATCCATCTCGCGCCAATGTAAACTTTCTAAAGTGTAACAAATTTGAATATCGGAATATAAAAAGATTATGATAGTATATGCCTAATTAAAGTATTGCATGTAGTAATGAAACTTATTGAATTTTTTGAGAAATTGAATCTAACAGTTTATGAATTAACGATTAATGATTTTCTTCGAGTTAAAATACAATATTAAGCGGAATCAATGCATTGTAACCAATCGGAGGCAACCAAATAAATCTTGGAAAGTGAAAATGTAAATGCAAAAATTGTTAAAATTCATATTAAAAAATGAAAAAAGAAAATATTTTGGAAAAATTTCCAAAATTAATATCGATGAATATATATATTTTTAGGTATTGCAATTAGCTATATGCTAAATTTTGCTTAATAAACTAATTTAATAGTTCAATTGATAAATTTATCGTGAAAAAGATAAATTTAACATGAAATATGGCGTGAAATATCATGTATACCAATAATTTCATCATAAATCGAGTTAATCGACAAAATTCTCTTTCTGTCAAGTAAAGATTGCATTTTTAAATCACATTTGTTATTTAATTAGACTTTGCATCATTTTGGTCAGTAATTACCTCAAATAAAATGCTTCCATTGAAGATTTTGGAAATTTCAAACGTTCATTAGAATGAATTTAACTTATAGCGATGATTTCGAAAGCGATGACTCAAGTAATGATCCGATATTTACACCTTCCGTAAAGCAAATGACAAAACCAATTGATACTCCAAAGTCTAATAAAGAAAATAAACCTGATAATAACGAAATTTACGGAGTATTGAGTTTTCAAAAAATGAATAATATCATAAAGCAAAGAGAAGAGTATCTAAAATGGCAACAAGCAGAAAACACTCGCATCTGGGGCGAAAATTTCAGTCCTTATTCTTCACTTGACAAGATTGCAAATCGAATAGCATTAATGCAAGTAAAAGAAGTTACGGATCTATTGGGAAAAACATGCGACGATTTTATTGAGTCACTAGTACATACAGAATTTTTCCCAGAAAATAATCAATAATGTTTGTTAAAAATACAATGTATATAAGACTTATATATACGTTTTTTGTTTACATGATTGATAAGTTATATTATTCAGCTCAAATTTATATTTCTAGATATTTTACTCAATACTAAATTTCTCTTCATGAATACAAGTCGATCTTAAATAAAATACTGAATGTGCAATTAGTATCCTACTCAAATTGGCATTTTTTGAATTATTAATAAATATGACATTTTGAATTAGTTACATCTACGGTAAAAATCGGATATTTGGGAGTGTACAGTTAGGATTAGGGTAATATTGATGTAATTCATTCAATTGATATTATTTCCAAATTTGTATTGTAGTTGTAACTAATTTTATAATTTCGGTTATAGCATTCCTATTGAAATATTCGAAATATTAAGATTTGGCTAGTAATGGCCTGCTTGTATTCATACATGGCCGATATTGATTTCGATAACACGACAGATGCCTTAAAACGAAGAAATAATCTTGAGAAAGAGGAATATTATTATCTTATTGCATATTATATACCGAATCACTCCATTTTAGACAAAATTTGATTTCAATCATAAAATAAAATGAATTTTTTAAACCAAGAGAATTTTTGGTAGTTGTTTCAACAGTTTAATTCTTTATTTATGATTTCAGGCAATCTAAAAAATCTGAGCGTATTTCATCGATGCCACTTTTTGTAAGAGCTTCCAACATAAGGTTTATCCATTCTTCGATCATATGTACATTAATAGAATTATTCATCAAAAAATCCGACGGTTATGAAAGGAATTTTTCAGGAAAATATATGAAATCATTAATACATAGTATTAAAATAGATATTCGATACAAATGTCATTCAAAATCCGACCAAATTTTTAGAATGCCGTGTATTCAAAATTTCGATGTTCTCAAATATTACTGACCAAACAATTGTTTAAAAAACAGTAGAGCATCATATTTTAAGTACAATTTTTTAAATTTGCCTTACGTATTTCACAATTTCCGAATATGACTGGTAATTCAGAAAAAAGTCATAATTTTCGTGCACAACTTCGTCAGAGAAATATACAAGGGCATAGTAATATAATATTCATCAAAGAAGTTCATAACTCAAAGAATTTGTCTGGCATTTTTAGTAAAATATTCCATAAAACTTGACAGTTTTATTCAATTTTATCGGTTGTCGATTAAATTTTCATATAGCGATATGGGCCCAGCTCTTGAGTTTAAGATTGTCATCATCGGATCAGTCGCTGTCGGAAAGACTGCCATCACAAACCGTCTCCAATATCAGCAATTCGAGGAAGATTATCAGCCAACAATCGGTGCAGGATATATTCCTTACCGTACATCTTGCGACGGCAAGGATGTAGAACTTCAGATCTGGGATACAGCAGGTATGGAAAGATATAAGTCACTTGGTCCAATCTACTACCGTGATGCTGTCGCTGCCATCATTGTTTATGATCAGACCGACCAGGAGTCTGCCGATGTCATCAAGAAATGGCTTGATGCTTTCCGTGGAACAGTTAAAACACACGCATTCATTGCAATTGCCGCTAATAAGGACGATCTTCCAAACAAGGTCGTAAATAATAACGAAGTTAAACAGTGGGCTGAGGAGAATGATTTCTCATTCTTCATCACATCTGCTAAGAGCGGCGTTGGTGTTAATGAAATGTTCCAGACTCTTGTCCGTGAGGTTATGAAGACATACCAGACAACAACAAAGGCTCCATCAACAGTTCCAACACCAGATCTTACAACCCCACAACAGGATAAGAAAGGTTGCTGCTAAAAAGTTTTTCTTTTTTTTAACTAATCTCCAAGTTTATTAACCTTAGTTGATCGAATAAACGGTGATACATAAATAATAATTAGGTATCTTTTATCTGAACATGTTCAAATTCCATTTTTCTTTCGGATTTCCTCCGATATTTTCATCTCTATCGAACAAAATTCTTCATAGGAAAGATTTTAACATTATTTTACTCCTTTCCAATTTATGATAAGTACAATGGACATAATACTTTGGCGTCTTTTTCTATTTTTTACCTGTCAATATATTGACTTCGATAGAAATCACAAGTTGATTAAAGAGGATTCCGTATTTTATCTTAGCATGCACAAGTTTATTACAATGATAAAGAAATGACAAGAAAAAAGGGAAAAAATTAAAAATGCCGTATAAGGAATTACAAAAAACAATACATTTACTATGATATTTAATATCCAATCATGGATGTCCATACCAGATTGATATACAATTCCAATATTGTTGAAATATTTATAAAATTAAAATAAATTGTGAGAATGAGATAAAAATATTTGAGATTTACTTTTCTGATCATAATTCTAACTGGAAAATATTAAATCCAATAGAAATCATAGTAAAAATTGAATTTTCCAATATGATTGGGTGATAGTTGGACATTTTTCGCTGAAATATATCAGGCATATGAAAAATTGCACCTTACGACTTCTTGATTAACAGTTTCGTAACGAAAATCTTTGGCTTAAGAAATTTATTGAAATAACTACTGTATGATGCACTTATCTCACATAAAATTTCATTTGTTTTCATTAAGGAATGATTTAATCTGGGAATTCATGATTTGATTATAAGCTTTTGTAAAATCATTGTTGTTATCTTTCATTACTCTTCGAGCTTCTTCTTCTTCAACTAATAAAAGCTTGTGCAAGATCTTGATTTGCTCTTCAAGCGTTGTAATTGGCTTTGCTGGTTGTGAATTCCCAGAACTAGACATTGTCACTTTTTACTCACTTTCAAATCTTTCGAAAGTTCTTTGGAGAAATAAATCACTTTGCAGATAGCCAATTACATTGTAATTGCCTGGTTAAGTTACCAGCCATTATAAACATTCGTCTAAAACATCGTTATATCGACAAATCTAACTTTTCACGTGTTATACAAACAAAATATGATCGGCAAACATTCAAATCCTGATCGGTAAGTAGAATTTTTTTGAAAAATACGTTATAAAATGGAAGCAACAGCTGAAGTTACAGAGGAACCACAAGGAGATACTCCAGAAATCGTAGAAGCAAAGAGAAAATATCTTGTTGACTACGATATTCAAAATGTTCTTCATGAAGCTCTCAATGAATTAATGGAATCACGTCCTGAAGATGTTTTTGGAGTTTTATCACGAATTTTTGAACGTCGCGCTGCAAAACCAATTATTGATCATGTTTTAGCTCGAGAAGTCCTTGATTCAAGAGGTAATCCCACAGTTGAAGTTGACGTTTATGCAAAATACTTAAATACCGTAGAATTTGTTGCTAGATCTTCTTCTCCATCAGGAGCATCAACAGGATCAAAGGAAGCAAAAGAACTCAGAGATGGAGATAATAGATTCGGTGGTAAGGGCGTTACACATGCAGTCAAGAACGTCAATACAATTATTAGCAAAGCAATTGCAGGCAAATTACTCGAAAATCTTGCAGAAATTGATAACGCAATTATTGCAGCCGATGGAACAGAACTCAAGGAAAAACTTGGCGGAAATGCAACCACAGCAACTTCTTTTGCCGTTGCTACAGCAGGGGCAGCTATTAGACATGAAGAATTATTTATTTACCTTGCCAGACAATTCCATGAAGAAATGCCAAAGAAATTTAAGCTTCCAGCACTTTTCTTCAATATATTAAACGGTGGAAAGCACGCTGGTGGAAATTTGAAGATCCAAGAATTTATGATTTCTCCACGAACAGATATCAGCTTTCCTGAGCAGCTAAGAATGATTGGAGAAATATACCAGAAACTTGGCCAGGTTGTTGTCAAGAAATATGGCGTTTCTGCAAAGAATCTTGGCGATGAAGGTGGCTATGCACCAGCTCTTAACACTCCCGAGGAAGCTCTCGAAGTAATTGAAAGAGCAGCAAATCTTTGCGGCTACCAACCAGGCAGCGATGTCTTCTTTGCACTAGATGCAGCTGCATCTGAATTTTATGATGCAACAAAGAAGCAATACGAAATTCTTCCAAACGTATGGAAGACTGGTGATGAAATGATTGAGTTTTGGAAAGATTTGATCGCTAAACATCCAGCAATTATTTCAATTGAAGACGGACTTGAAGAAAAAGACTACGAAACATGGATTAAACTCAATGAGCAGCTCGGTAGCAAGATACAGTTGGTAGGAGATGATCTTTACACAACAAATCCAAAGATGATTGAGCAGGGAATCGAAAAGAAGTGGTGCAACGCATTGTTGATGAAAGTAAACCAAATAGGAACAATTACAGAGGCAATGAAAGCTGCAAAACTCGTTCTCTCTGCAGGCCAGAAAGTCATGGTTTCTCACAGATCAGGAGAAACATGTAACTCTTTAATTTCTGACTTAGCTGTTGCAATTGGAGCTCAGTCAATTAAAGCTGGCTCTTGCGCAAGAGGAGAGAGAATACAGAAATACACAAGATTGCTACAGATCTATGAATACTTGAGAGATAATAATATGCTTTAAAATAAATGATTGAATTTGTTATTTTTATAAAAAAAATTACAATAATTCACACACACATCCTTAATTAATTAGAATCTCACACAGCCTCTCTTATATTGTATTATCCATCAGATTTTATGTACTCTCCTCATTTGTATTAGTTAATTTCTATTGATGCTCAACCGACTGTAAATCAGCCATAAACATCAATAGATTTAAGGAAATTATGAAAATTGTTCTTTTTTTTTTAGAAAAGATAAAGTAATTCTTAGCAATTTAGTTTTTAACGCGTATTAAATCTAATGTTCTACTTTATTATGAGCAATCTTGTAGATAATTGACTTCTCTGAATGTTCTACCTATTGTATTCAAACTCATGTATCCTCGAGTATATACATATATAAAGAAAACAGTTACCTATAATTAAACAAATGTTGAACCAGTTTGAAAGAATAATAATCTTCACATCTTTCGAAATATAAATTATTGTTGAAAGTGCCATTTTAAATATACATATAAGAAAGAAACGGTATGAGTTGAAAGTGCAAAAAAGAAAAGAAAGAAGAAAGAAGAAATAAAATAAATATTTATCTAATTGGTTGGAGCTAATGATTGAACGAAAGCGGCAAACACAGAGGATTCTGGCTCTTTAAAGCTTGGATTTTCTGCTTTAATGATACTATATAATGTTTCATTATTTTCGTAAAATCCCAATTTATTAGCTTTATCGATCATTTCTTTTGTGCCATATTCCTTTTGCTCAAGTGAAAACAAATACTCGCAATATTTGTTGTACTGATCCAATTCATTTGCTGTTAAAGTTTCTTTTGCAAGAGTATCAATCCTATCCTGGAGATCCTCTGGTCTGATTCTGCTGAAGGGTTCTTGCTTGCAACATAATTCAATCAACTCAGAAATTTTTTTGTTGAAGGGATCATTTTGGAATTTTTCATTATTGATATAGTCATCTCTAGCGCCTGCTTTGATCAGCTCTATAAGGATTGGCTCAACAAATGAAACAACCGTTGACCAGGCGCTGGATTTTTCTGATTCATCCATTTGTTCGAAATCTGCAAGCGTGTCCAATGTAAGAGCGAGGTAAGGTAATTGGAGTTCAGGGAATTGACTTGTAAGAGATTGCAAGCCGGCTTTCGTCTTGTATGCGCTGGCAAATGGATAACATTCTGTAATCATATTAAACATGATAGCTCCGAATGAGAAAATATCAGATTCGCATTTTCTCTGTCCGGAAAAGATTTCTGGAGCAGCAAATGGGATTGTTCCGTGATGTTCATTAATAGATAACGAAAATCTGTTTGTAGAATCATCCCAATCAATAATGTGAGGAATCATATCACCATCAACAACAATATTGTCTGGTTTAAAGTCACGATGCTTTATTCCATTTTCTCTCATCAAAGTCAACTGGTAAGCAATTGCATAGAAAATTTCGAGCATGTATAACCTCTTAACACGATTACTAACGTAACCGCCGTTGATTAACTTCGTTAAAGTGTTACCTGGAATATAATCCATCAAAATCCAGTTAAAACGTTCGCCAGGATGATTTTGTGAGTTATCATAGTATAGAGGAGAGAGTGGTATTTGGAATTGCATCTCTTTCTCAAACATTTCAGATATTCTAATTCCGCTTCGATTGAAAAGTCTTTTTAGAACTCTATAGTGATCATCTATCTTTAAGATCCAGCAAGCGCCATTACTACCATTGTCAGCCTGATATATTTCCTGAACGCGTGGATCATTATCAAAACAAGTTTGAGTTGTCATGATAAAATGATTTTTTGACTGTCAAGTCACTTCATATAGGGTGTCCAAAGGTGCGTTTAGCACAGCGCTCTATATGAGACTATTAAAGGAGATATATGCTGATTATAAATATATAATAAAAAATATGAATATATGTATATGATGAGTATGTTGTATTTTGGCGCCATGCCGGGATATAAAATGAATTTTGAGACAAGAGGCGGTTTCGCGGGAAATTTTGGCGGGATTTTTTTCATTTTTTTAATGAATCATAAAGAAAACATCCTCGCTCTTGCAAAAAAATGCAAAGACTGTAAAAAAATCTACGAGACATTGGTAAAATGCTTGGGTATGGATGCTCCTAGCTATTCCACTGTAACGTATCATGTTAGGATGTATCACTTCATGAACAAAAAGGCGCCCATCATAAAAATTGACAAAAAATCGCCGGATCAAAGAAAAATCAAAGCAATTCTTCAAGCGCTAGATGAAGACCCAAGAGCATCACTCAGAAGGATAGAGGAGATGACAAAGATACCACGTACAACAGTCAGTTATTATCTGCACAATTATTTGAACTACAAACTAGCGTATACACGTTGGGTTCCGCACAACCTTAATTCAGTTCAAAAAAAATCTAGAGTCCAATCTTCGAAAGAGCTCCTCTCTATATTGGGTGCGTATCAATCCAAGAAGTTTCGCTTTTTAGTAACCGGGGACGAGTCTTGGTTTCAATATGCAACAGAAGCCAAAATCATGTGGATCCCGAAGGATGAAAATCCGCAAACATTCCCGAAGAAAAAAATTGACACACCAATGATGATGTTGTCGGTTTTTTGGGGCGTGAATGGCATCATCGCAATTGATATTCTTCAAAAACCTAATACGATGAATGCTCAGTATCTAATTGACAATGTTCTTACTCAAATTATCAATTCTGATGAGTTTGAGAAATCCAAACAACAAAAACAAAAGTTTGCAATTCATTTTGATAATTCAAGAGTTCACAAAAGTCATAAGGTAATGAATTACTTGGTGGAAAACAATGTCAAAGTTGTTCCAAACCCAATTTATTCACCTGATATTGCACCCTCTGACTTTTATTCGCGAGTCCAGATGATCTTGAAAATTTTGTAAGAGAGCAATTTGAGCAATTTTCTCATGATGATTTAAAGCGTGTCTTTCAAGCCTGGATCGATCGCTGCGAACGCGTGATTGAATCCAATGGTGATTATATTTATATAAACTTTATATATATGTAACTTGTTTATTTCTATTCGCAGTATTCAGGTTTGTGCTAAACACACCTTTGGACACCCTATATTATTTTTTTTTGACTACAGTACCCCTTACTGTTGACTAATATTTCTCATCTTATAACTAGGTGAATAAGCATCTCATAAACACAATTAACTTATTTTTTTTTTATAAGTCACACGATTGTAATGTGATCTCATTTGAGTTTTTTTGGATTTAGAGGTTAAATAAATTGACATATTGCACCAATGTGTTATAACAGGTCAATTTATAATAAAATAATTATTAAAATGCGAGTCAAAAGGCGTAAGTATTCAAAATATTCTATGAGATCCTCACAATTTCATATCACTTGCTACTTACACCTTTTGACTCGCAGTTTATAATAAATTTGATATTCAGTGACAGCGCTACGCACCTTTTAGTATTCTGGGCACTTACGTAAATTAAATTTTCATCTAAATCCTGATGAAGGGGAAAAGATATCTGATGAAATTCACTTAATGTCTTTGATCTTTAGAATATCAAAAAAGATAAGATCTAGATAATAAATAATACACTATGAGTAAAAATTTTTATAGTTTTGATCCATGTTAAAAAAATAAAAAAAATAAGAATAAAGTTATAGTTTTGCACCGAGAGAACCTTTGAGTGAAAGTTTTTCATTTGATTTTCTGACTTCTGCGTCAGCCTTTGCTTCAGCCTTTTCCGCGATCTTTCCCTTCAAATCCAAGTTTTCAGTTGATTTCTTATCTTCCTCTTCTTCTTCCGCTCTATTTTCTGCTTTTTCCGCAATTTTTCCTTTGAGGTCTAATTTTTCATTTGATTTCTTTACATCTTCATTTTGTTCTTCTTCTTCCTCTTGTTTCTCTACTTTACTTTCTATCATAGCTTTAAGTCCACCTTCTTTTTCTTCTTCTTTCTTTTCCAATTCATCATCTACTTTTGATTCAACATTTGCTTTCAAAGACATCGAATTTGGCTTCAAATGTTCTGAAGACTTGTTTTGTTTCTTTGAACTCTCCAAGTTCTCCAATGGTTTGTCTTTGATTGCCAATCTCTCCATTGATTTCGTTGTCTTTGGTTTTTCTTTTAATTCTTGTTTTTCTTCTTCATTGTTTTGTGGAGAATTTTCTTCTTCTTTTTCGTTGACGAAATCTTCAGTTATGTGTTCTTGTTCTTGCTGGTGTTGGAGTCTTTCTTTTCTCTTCTCTTTCTGCTCTTGGAGTTTCTTCAATCGTTCTGCAGCTCTTTCTTCGTCTTCTTTGGATTTCTTGAGTGGAGTAAACTCGTCATTCTCGGCGTATGTCAATCTCATCTTCTCATCGATTGAGAGTTTGTCGTTCTTAGGTTCGAGCTGTGGATTTTCTGGTTTTGGCGGCATTTCGGTGAAATGAACAACAACATCGCTTTGTATTGGTTCGGCATCTTTGTTATCGAGTTGTTTGAGGTTGTTCTCGAATTCTGCCATCTTTTCTTCCAGTTCTGTGACCTTTCTTAGCATTGCATCGCCATCTTCCATTGCAGATCTCTTTCTTTTGGCGTCGTCGCGTGCCCAGTAGTCGAGTCTGGCCATGCACCACTGTAATCTTTGCTCGCATGTCTTAACCCTTTGAACAACGTTGCCTTTTCCTTGTAATGTGTTAAATGAATTGTAAATCATCTCATCAACGTCGTTTTGGACCTTCTTGTTGTTGTCGGTGAATTCAGTCCAATCATTGGTAAGGTTCTTGAGGTCCAACGCTGATAAATCGGAAAGATGTTGGACATTTCCTTGGAAATCTTCTTCGCTGAACTGGTGATCGCTTGTAATCGATTCAACATGATCTTCCATCTCTCTGGAAAGCCTTGTCTTCACTTCTTGGAGCTTCTGGTCCAAAGATTGTAATTTTCCTAAAATTTCTTCTTCATCGGACTTCAAAGTGCCTTCAAGCTCCATGAATTTGCGAGACATATTATTTACTTGTGCATCCTGCTGAGCCTGGGACTGTTCTGCCGATTGTAATGAACCTTCAAGAGACGTTATGTTTGTTTCTGCTTCTGAGATTCTCTGGTCGAGCTCTGTGGTCTTGGAACTGATAACAGAATATGCTTCTTGGCCCATCTGGGATACAGCATTGTCAATTCCTTCATCTTCGATACTTTTAAGGGTATCACGTATTTCTTTTTGCTTATTTATCATGTCTTGAGTCTGGCCAATCATTCGGACAAAGCCTTCGGCTGTTGCTTCAAGAGCTGTTGCTTTTGATTCGATTACAGCAATTCGGGGAGTAATATCACTCATTGCTGATGATGTTTGGCGATTGTAATCGGCAATATCTTTATCGCACTTGTCAAAATTGGAATCAAGATCTCGAACAGAATCTGAAATTTTTGAGAAGAAAGAAACAATATTTTCTGTAACCTTTTGGAGCTTTGAGACTTGCACACGTTGTTCTTCAGTAATAGGGTTAAGGCGATTGATAGAATCTTGTTTAATCTTTTGTTCAAGTTGAAGTTTGGAATTTTCGCAGGAATTTTTCATATTTTGAATGGAAACAGCATTTATTTCGGTAATTTGTTGTAAGAGAGCAGCAAGCTGCTTCTTAGTAAAGCTTGATTGACGATCGAGAGTATGAATTTTTGGATTAAACTCGTGTCCAGCAAGATTGATCTGCGATTCGAACTTATTATTAAGTCTTGACCTTGCATTTGATTCAGCTTGGATTGTATCCATAACATTCGCGCGAGTTTTTTGTAATTCTAGATTAAATGCTCTTGCGTTACTTGCTGCAGCTGCATTTGGTGATATCAGTGGTGGAAGAGGACCACCTGGAGAAACTGGCATTGAACGATATCCATGACTCATCTTTTATATTGATATTTTTGAGAAATTTTGGAAAAAATACGTTTTTTTCAGGAGGAGAAAAATTCTGAAGTTTATTATCGAATTCTAAAGATCTTTTCTTTTATGTGCAATACTAAACATCCTTGATCTTCAATAATACTTCGATCTAGATATACTAGAACGCAGTAAAATTCATCTAAACTAATTCATTTGATTGAAAAATATCATACAAACAATATCTTTTGTTAGAATTTGTGGTAATTAGACCAAAAAGGACCGATACCACTAGCTTCAAGCTCATTTATGGATGATTTCTCTGATATGAAGTTTTTTGTTTGAATTTTCTTTATTAATTATTAGCTTATTGCAGATGACTATTTAAATTTCTATTCCAAAAGTGCTTTTGTGATATAGTGAATGAATCAAACAGAGTTATTCAAAAGAGGACCCATTCAAAGAAAAAAATGTATCTTCAATTCTGCGATCAGTGCAAGCAATATACACTCAAGCAAAAGTGCCCACGTTGCGGCGGCCAGACACGCTCTGCTCATCCCGCTCGTTTCTCACCAGAAGACAAAAACTCTGCAGAACGCATCCAGACCAAGGCTAAATTCAACCTTCTCCCATACCAGCAGCCAGATATTGAATACTAAATTGATAGAAAATAGAGAATTACCATTTAAATTTTCACATTCTTAGAATAAACAAAATAGGATTTATATGTTTTACAATCAAATCTAAAACAATCTAATTTTTTAAAATACTTTTTTATCACATACTATATACATAGGAATTCTTTATACATCTAAAAATTTTAAATTTGAATTCAAATATTTTTTATAAATTATCATATAAATATATTAGATTTTTGATGCTGATGCGAATTTTTGATATTATTTACTTCTGAGTGGCAATTCAATTTTTCAAATTTTTATTCCATTTGTGGGAATCATGTTATATACGAGCGAGAGCATGAATTTTTGATTGTGAGTGTGGATCATGTTTAACAACCCTACTCAAACTTACAAAAAAAAATTTATAAAAAAAATTCAAAAAAATATATTAACAAAATCTGCGGAAATGGAGGAGCTTCTGACTCAAATCGAAGCCGCACTTTCCTCTATTTCCGATCCAGATGACCGTGGTCGGGATACTGCCAAGCAAAAGTTAGGTGATTTTCGACATAAGCAAAATGTAATGGATTTCGTCCCAATCATCTTACGTAGTAAATACAGTATACAACTACGAAGGATAGCATGCCAAATTTTAGAACAACATATCAAGGATATGTGGTTATTTTCAGAAGAAGCAAATAAGCTCGAAGAAATACAGATACTAATCCAATACATCGAAAGCAATATAAATGATACAGAAATTTTTAACGATTTACAGTCTATTCTTGCGGAAATAACTTTATTTGATGAATTTAAAACGTACAAAAATTTTTATACAGACATATTCTCTCACTCAGTACCATACTACAGAGCACTATCTACATTTGCGACTAATTTAATCGAATATAAATCCGAGATAGCGGCATTTTTACAAATTCGCGACGATCTCATCCGCAATATACCACAACTCATTCAAAAAGTGATTGAGGGATTCCCAGCCTTACCGGCTGTCAAAGCATTTAACAGCATCGTCAGTTTTTCTTCATGGGATATTCTAAAACAGGCAAATTTCAATAAAATCATTGACAACGTATGCCCAGCAGCATTTGTTCCAATTATCAACACACTTTTACTACAAGATATCGATAAACAGACTCTTAAACAAGGATTTAACGCAATTTCAACAATTGCATCTAGCGTTGAAGAGAATATTTTAGAAATAACACCACTACTTACCAGATACTTCAAATTCTTCGAAGAACCAGACACAATTAGTTCATTACATCATATCCACGAAGCTCTACTGAAATTCGAATACATTGAGTTATCAGATTACTGGGAATTCTTCGCTCTTCACGTTTCCCATGACAAATCTCGAAAACAACTACATGCTCAGACAATTTCAAAATTATTAGAAATTATTTCATACAGTATCGTTGTTCCGCCATGCTACGATGACTCAGAAACAGACTCTGATGACCAACAGTTCGCGCAGCAGTCCGCAATCATATGTTCTTTGTATAGATTAGACAGAGAACCCGCATTTTCATTTGTTTTCAAAATTTTCAATGAGCTACTACAAGATTTCAATGTAGACACGTTCAATTCAAATATTTGGCTGATCTACAGTATGAAAAAATCGAATTTTTCGAAAGTTTTGCTTGATTTGACAAAATTTTTCAACCAAGCCATAAAAGAACAGCCCAAAAACTCTTGCCTGATGAAGGGCTTCCTGTTTACAGCACGAGAAGTCCTTTCTTCCCTTAAACTCAATGAAAAATTATTAAATTATATTTTTGGCAACTCGCTGCAGCTGATAAAACTGTCATCAATGCAATACGAATGTGTCACTCTGCTCGACGAATTCGCTAAAAATGGCAAATTATGCCAGAATACAATGGCAGCGATATCTAACTCGTATTTGAGGCCCAAATCGATAAAATACCTGTGCCACGCTGCCGGATTAACTGATCCACAGCAATCGATCGGCATTTTGAACCAGACTTTCGCTGACATTTTGTCAAAAGGTACTTTTCCTGAAGAATCTGTTGATAAACTTTCAATTTATATATCGGGACTTGCAGGATTGGTACAGGCAAACAGTTCAGCCCCTTGTTCTTATATCGTTGACCATTCTTCTGTCTTAAATCAGTGGTTTGTTGAATTATGTTCAAGATTTAAAGCCACTGAAGACCAAAACCTCCTTGATATTATATCTAACTATGCCATAATTGCTTCTTATTACGGCGGATCCTTGATAACTCTACTTCTTGAGAATTTTATGAATATATCTCCAAAATATGCCACTCCTGATATGTTTAACGCATTCCAATCCCTTGTAAGAAAGGAAACAGACAATTCTTTGCTGGAAAATCTGAAGCAAAACGTAATTATTTCAACAGAAGTGATGTTTTACAATAAAATACCACTGGAAAAGGAAGTAATGGATTCAGTTTGCCAGCTATTGGTATTTATTGCCCAGAACAGATTCGATTTCTTGTATCAAGACGATATTTTATTTTTAATTTATGCTTTGATAGGTTCTGGATATCCAGCAGTAGTTTCTACGACATTGGCAGCAATATTTGAGGCAGCATCAAAGATATTAAACGATGTTTCCTTCCAAAGTTTTTCAGATAACTTCTGGGGAATTTTATACAACATGCTGAAGGTTTTAATCAGCGATGCATCGTTTATAGATATTATAGAGATGAGCTACGCCCTGGAAAGAATATCCACAGTCGCAAGACCAACTGTTGACGGGACATTACAGATTGCACAGCACTTAGTCCACGATTTTCCATCTTGTAACCATATAATAAAGCCACAGCTGATAAAGGACCTCATTTCTGGCGACAGAAAAATCATATTAAGTTTGTTATTGTACGTTGTGAGTGTTGCAAGGGATATTCAACTAGATACTCTAAGTAATATTATTGAAAGAAGAAAGTTTAGATTAAAATATGTTTGAATTTTGTTATTATTTTGTTTATAAAATTTAAAAAATTAATATTGTTATTTAACATATACCAAAATATCAACACTGTTTACAATATTATCATATCACACCAATATATCTACCAAAATATTAATATATCTCAAATTTCAAATAAAATATTTTGAGTTTAGAAATATCAATTCGATTTTTTATAAATTTAGTTCATTTAAAATATATTTTCAGATTATGAATAGTTTTTATTGAATTTTTGAATTTTATATCTTTGAAAACTATAGATAAAGATTCAATTAAGTTAAAATTTTTCTTTTCACTAAAATACGATATTGATCATTGCTCATAAACTGGTTTTTGAGTAGGGACACTAATTCATCCATAAGGACGATAGAAAATTTAGGATTTTTAGAATATGAGCGGGCGCGGAGGTTTCAACCGTGATGGTGGCCGTGGCGGCGGTCGTGGAGGTCGCGATGGCGGCCGCGGAGGATTTAACCGCGATGGTGGCCGTGGTGGCGGAAATCGCGATGGTGGCCGTGGTGGATTCAACCGTGATGGCAACCGCGGCGGATTCAACCGTGATGGCAACCGCGGCGGTGGCAATCGTGGTGGCGGCCGTGGCGGTGCACGTGGACGTGGTGGCCGCGGTGGTGCTCCAGTCAAAACCGGACCAAATGTTATCCAACACAAATTCGCCGGAGTTTTTGTTGAAACAAACAAGGGCAACATGCTCCTTACTCAGAACATGAATCCAGGCAAAACAGTATATAACGAGAAATTAGTTACAGTTGATGGACAAAACGGAACAACCGAATATCGCGAATGGAACCCATACAGATCAAAGATTGGTGCTGCCTTACTCGTTGGACTTGAGCACTTTGGTATTTGCCCAGGCGCAAAAGTTTTATATCTTGGCGCCGCTTCAGGAACAACAGTTTCCCATGTATCAGATATTGTCGGACCAACAGGTCGTGTTTACGCTGTAGAGTTCTCACACCGTGTTGCAAGAGACCTTGTTTCTCTCGCAAAACTTCGTCCAAATATTGTTCCAATCATTAACGATGCAAGATACCCGAACAAGTACCGTATGCTTGTTCCAATGGTTGACTATATGTTTGCTGATGTTGCTCAACCGGATCAGGCTAGAATCTTTGCTATCAACGCGAATAACTTCTTGAAATCTGGCGGCGGCTTCATGCTTTGCGTCAAGGCTTCTTGCGTAAACTCATCAGAAGATCCTGAGACCATTTACCAACAAGCTCAAGAAGAATTAACAAAGGAAGGCTTCAAATGCGAAGAAAAGGCAAATATCGAACAACATCATCGTGGCCATGCTTGTATCATTGGAACATATCGTCCAAAACAATAAAGAAATACAATACATTTTTTTATATAAAACTTTACATAATTTTTACACAATATCATATGTGAAAGACGCCGAAATGTGTAATAAGAAAAAACAAAAACAATTTATTTATTATAACATTATCTGTATGATTAATGCTTGGTGAAGAAAGCTTCGTCTATAACTCTGAATTTTGGAGTCATGGATTGTAAACTATGGGCTTCACGTTCAATAGCATCAAGTAAATCTTCATCTCGTTTTCTATCTTGATCTGTGACTTCTACTTTAGTAGACATAGTTCTACTAATAGAAGGAGCTTTCTTTGATCGTTCATACTCGCTTTTATATCGATTCCATAAGTCTAAATCAAATTTAGTTGAAGATTTGATGTAATCTGATTTCAAAACAAAATTTCTTTCTTTTGGTTTTTCTTCTGTATCGCTATCTGAATCAAATGTAATTTTGCTATAATCAATTTCATCTATTTCGTGATGTTCTTGGAATGAAGCAATGTTATTGCCGAACCTTTCACTTGGGTCAACTTGAGGAATCGGAACAAAGTAATCTTCTACAATATTGACTTCGTAATTGTTTGCTCTTTTTTCAATGGCTGAAAAATCGGGTAATGGCTCTGGTTTAGGAAATAGCATATTATCTGGCAAATTATCAAGGACATTTTGCAAATCGCTGGATAGTTTTCGACCAGATCTTAAAAATTCGTGCACTGATGCCATTTTTTTTTCTAGGGGTTTTCTCCCCCGTTTAAATCATAAATCGAGGAAAAAAAAAGATAATCACTTCTATTTATGATTTGAAGTTCATATGATATAACAAATTAAGGATTGAGTTTAATCGGTAGTATTCAAGCTCAAGATTAAGAAAAATTTGACTAGTTATGCAATATAGATCACTTGCCTCATTGATTGATACTGAATATCCAATATGGAACCACTTCTAAAATACTTCGCCTTATGCATAAAATCATTAGAAAAAGCGGGCTTTACATGATGTGCAAAAATTTCATAATGAAAAGTATCAGAAGAAGCAATAGCATTATATCTTTAAACGTTATTGTTTTTGCACCATGTGAAATAAGAAGTTCGGCTGTTTCTTTACTATTATTTTCTGCTGCATAATGAAGTAATGTCATTCCATTATTATCTTTTTCATTGACATTTGCACCATGTGAAATAAGAACTTCGACATTGTATTGGCAATAATTTAAATCAATCTTTATATTGTATTCATACATCAAGAATGTAACAAAATCAATGTTGTGTGTAATAATTGCATACTCCATGCATTTTTCATTTGGTTTTTGATATTTCAAACACTCATTCATGATTTCTTGATTTTTTCCCAAAAATGATAATTCTAGACATTGTTTAGTTATTTTTGAGTTAAATTTAGTTCTTAATATCTTGAAACAATCAACTGCTCCATAGTAACAACATAATTCAAGTAATGATAATCCTTGATAATAAAATGGATATAAATGACTTTCAAGTCTTTAATTTTTATCAAATCCTTCAGTTTCAATGAAGAAAATGAATATTTTTAAGTCATTATACATGATTGCTCTGTAGATCGTATTTTCAGCATGAATATCGAGATATTTTAATTCAAATTTTATGATATTATAGTACTTGTCTAAATTAATTCCATATTCTTTATAAAACAGAAAGTTTGAAACAACACCAACATTGTTGACTTCTTTGACATTATATTCATCAAATATGCGTTTGGCAAGAGATAAATATGACTTTGTATAGCGATTTCTAAATGGAATGATATTGAAAATGTCTTTTATAACATTTCCAACGGGATGTTTCTTTGAATCAATCAATTCTGTTTTGATCATTTTGTAAATCTTGTTTAATTCTTCTTCTTTTTCAGTTTTTAGCTGATACAATGTGTTATATGAATCGATGTAGTATTTATAGACACTTCTCAATTTGTTGTATGTATTTTGATGAATGTCGTGATCAGACATGAAAAAAAAAATTAAGAAGCTATAAAAAAATGATCGTAGATTAAAATGGCATTATAAGAATAAGAAGCTCCTATCAAAAAGATTTTCATCACATAATAATTTTACACATTAAACCTATTTTCCTACGTACAGTCTCCCTATCATTTTTCTGCATCAATATTGAATGAATCTCTATCAAAAATTTGAATAAGGGACTTTATGAAGGACAAGGAGATTAGATAAATGCAATATTTGCTAAAAATGAAAAAATGGCATACACATACGATTTACTATAATATTAATTTGTGTTCAATTCAATTTTGCGCAAGAGTTATAGTAATTTCAAAATCTCGGGTCCAAATAAACTCATTTTCCGATGTAAAGTCTCCCAATCCCTTTTCTGCTTCAATTTTGAGTGAATCTCGATCAAAAAATATGAATATGAGACTTTTCGAAGGAAAAGGAGTTTTCTCATTTTGTAACTCAAATATATATATATAACTTTTTATTTCATTTTAAAATAAATAAACATATTACATTAACTTTTTGAATATCATTTATAAATAAAGAATGAATTTGAATAACAATGAAACAAAGAAGGTGTAAAAAACAATTAAACGGTATAGTTATCCATCCAATTAATTGTGGTTTGGTTAGGAGTTGTATCTGAGTTCTGAGTGCACCAGTTCCTGCCGAAGTTAAGGCAGGTGATTCTCTGGCAGAATGGACACCATTTAACGTTATCGATACTTCTGTAGAATCCGACTAAGCAAACGCAGAAGATGAAGGTCATTGCGGGGAAAGCGAGGAAGGAAATGAAGCCATGGCACATTCTCTCGCAGCTTCCGAACGAAAGGTTTGGTAAAAGCATGAGAGCGAAGAGAAGTCCCATGATGAATCCTCCGATGTTGTTAAAGTTATCAATAAATGGTGTTAAGCCAAGAATGATACCAACAACAGTGAGACCAACTAAGATACCAAGGTCTCTTCCCTTCTTTGGATTGGATCTCCATCCAGCAAATAAATCTGCGAATAGAAGACCAATGTAGCCGAAGATAGCACCGGAAGCACCGCAAGAGATCAACTCTGGAACGAGAAGGCAGGAGAGAATTGTTCCGTACATACCAGAAACTAAAAATACGAAAAATGCTCTCCAGAAACCTGTGTCTCTTTCGACTCTAGATGTAAAGATAGCGAAAATAAGGATAATGACAAGGTGGATAGCTCCGGAGTGAAGGAACATTGAAGTAAAGAATCTCCACCATGAACCTGCGAGAATAACAGAAGCTTGCTTGGCACCCATCAAAAGAAGGACTTCTTGGCTTGGGCCAAACATTGGGTTTTCTGACATTTTAGGAACTTGACCGTATTGGTAGAAAGCGCCACCGAGAACAGCTAAATAAACAATAAGAACACCAAATGTCCAAATTGGTGGAGACTTGGCATCGAGGTTGATAAGTACTGGCTTGTTTTCCTTTTCTTCTTCTGACTTGGAGTTTTCTTTTTCTCCAGAATCCGAGTCGGCGAATCTCTCTGGTTGTCTTGATGTTTTAGGATCATTACTCCTCTTTTTCTTTTTAGGCTCGTTGGAATTACCATTATCGAAATTTAATCTTGATGTAGAAAAGTCGTTTGGAGTTGTTTGCATGTTTGCTGTTTCCCACCAGTTGCCACCACCTCCTGGCTTGGATTGCTCAATATCTTTTCCAGTCATAAGGGAGTTCTTACGTTTGTTTCTTCCACTCATTTTGTATTTGGTATTATCACAAAAACCTCTCGTATGATGTTTTTGTGAACTTTACAAAGGAACTTTACACGGAAAATATTGAATCGTTATTTCAACATTTATATTATATAGTTATAAGATAATAATTTACTACAAAAAAATTTGATAAGTTTTTCATAATTGAATTGAAAAACCTCAAAGTATTGCCAAAGACCTTCTTGAACTTCTTGTGAATATTTAATCCAGTTTTTGTTCATTTTTTCTTCCAAACGTTTTTTGTTGTGATGTTTTCTGGTGTCTTTCAATTTTTGATATGAATAAGCCCCCTCCATTTCAATTTTAAAATAAATCAATTGATACAATAAATAAAAATGAATCTACTATTAATATTACAGAATATTTTCACTTTTTTTGAAAAATTCTAATCAATTTGTTAACCTCTGTATATATCTGTTCGTGAAACCAATAAAAATAGGCTAATGAAGGCAATGGATAAATTATACATCAAGAGTAAATTAGTATTGCCTATGGTGTGTGTGGTATAAACAGAGTATTTCTTGATATATAAAAAATCGTGAAAAAATATTTATTTTATCAAACATTTTGATAGTAAATATATATAGTATACACACAAAAATGCTGTTTTAATGATTGGTCTTATCATTTTTGATATTTTTAATACATATTTTTCCATCAAAGGATTGTTACATCCTAAATGTCATTCACTTATATGTTGGCCTAATATAATAGTAAAACTTAAATATTGTATACTTCAAAAGCTGAAATATTTTTCTTTGAATTTATTCTAGATAATTTTAGTAATTCCCTTGGAAAACACCCGATAAATTTTTATTTCATGATTAATTATGAGTTGTATACCTCAGAGATCAAATCCCTTGGACAAAAATTCTATAAATTTTTAAAATATCAATTATATTTGATTAAAAATAGGTTATTTACCAAACAGAGATATTAATGCCACTAAATAAATATTATGATCCCTCCGATTATTTTTTGCAAAAAGTGACAATATGGATATCAGGGAGCAGGTTGATAATGAATTGCGAAGTATTGCAGCTACAACTCTCCCAGAATCAGTTAAGAAGAATATTGAAAAGGTGTTATTTGCATTAAAATCAAATGATTCTTCTTTTCATATTTCAGAATCTGATGATCCATTTATCAATGTATATACAGACATATCAAAACAGAAAAAGAATGTAAATGAGTATATCAATCTTATATCTGTCATCAAACTCTTGATTGAAAGTTCAATTCTCGATGGAACTGCACTTCAAATTATTTTAACAGATATTTTAGAACAAATACAAACGGGAAATGATAGTTATTGTCTCAAAGTTCTTCAAGTTGCATTATCTTTGTTTTCTTCCCAAGTTGGAAAAATCGAAGATCGTATTTCTTCAACAAAATGCATTTTGAAGCTGATAAATTCTTCATCAGAGTTAGTAAAGCAAGTATCAATAGCTACTTTTCATCAATTGATAGATGTAACTTTTGATCAATCAAAATCTCAGCATCAAGGCTTAAATTTATCACAATCTATATCTCAAGAGCTTAAATTAGATGAAACTAGCAAGGAAACAAGCAAAACTATCGAAACATTTGAAGTTGATGAAAAAACTCACTGGTCAATCATTTTCTCCATCAATTTAATCAACGACATCATTACATCTTTCCAAAATGGATCTCCTAAGACCTTTTCCAATGTGTTTAAACTTGAATCTGTTCGTAATTTACTTCCTGACTTCTTAAAGCACATATTAGACAAGAATTTCGTATTATTAAGCCATTACAATACAGAATACAATAAAATTATCGACCAATTAATGAAGTATTTGTCAAATCAAAAAGATAATTTAATTTTCTTACGATTTGTACCATTTGTCATCTTCTATTTGACAAAGAAAGATGTTCAGACAGCACAGAAACTTACAATAAAGGTCACAAAGCTTATAGATACAGTTCCAATCGCGTTTTGTACATTAAAAACAATTTTTTTGTATAATCCAGGCGAAATATTCACATTATTAAGCGGAGAACAGCTCGTGGTCATTACAAAGAAAGCCTGTAACTATATTCTCAGTAATTTCAAAGGACAATTTTCAAATTCGATTATTGTCTTCGGAAAAAACAAACCAACAGTAGAATCGTATGATACAGTATCTGTATCGTCTAGCGAGATCATTAACTCATGCGTATCCTTGATTTATATTCAAATTCCTCAATGTATCCTTCATCTTGAGCATTTTGACCAAATTTTTGAATCTTTCGAGACAATATGGCAGCGGGTGGTTGCTCTAACAGAAAACCAGCAAACCCTGTTGACATCTCTTAAAATTTCGAGATTAGCCGTAAAAATTGCAGTTGCACGGTCACAGAGCGATCCAATCAACAGAATTGTATCAACACTGTGCGGAATATCACTACCACAGTCATCAGCGTATTCTATGACCCTAAAATCCGTAATTTCGCTGAGTTCTATCACGAGATTATTGAAATCTTTGACTTATCGCATAATGAGGTTCTGGCCTTTGCTTCTCGAGACCATCTCCAAGTGCCACCACACGGCATCCCACAGGAGATCTCCTGCGGACATCCAGGCTTTGAGTTTAATTTCTTCGGACATTTTGGATTTTTCAATTGAATTAACAAATGAGAGCTTTACAAATCTATTCAAAATTATTGTAAAGCTTTCCGATGACGAATCGATCTCATTTGTTAAAAACAATGGTACTGTACCTAATTTCTGGCCATTAAAATCATTAAGTCTTCTTTTCATACAAAATATCTCCAGATCCGAGCTAATTGAAGAGAAATACTTCGGCCATATCAAAACTCTCATAGAATGTGAGTCCAAAGAGTTCAGAACACAAGCTACTTATGAACTTTTCGAAGTTGGAAAATCTATGATCGAATTTCCTTCGAGTTCCGAGAAATGCCGCCAGAGCATCTTCGATTTCATACATCTGACCACTTCCTCATCGCACAAGGACGTCAGCGTCGCCAGTTTTTCGTCATTACTTAATTTTCTTTCAGGAAAAACTTCCGACCAAATAAAAGACGGCTGGCCACTTATATTAACCACACTCAAAGCTGTTTGGACGACTCCTTACAACGACAACATCGCAAATGGTTTCAGAACTCTCAATTTTGTTTGCAGAGACTGTTTGCGATTAATTGGTCTAAAAAGTGCCGATGTTTTGATGTCCACTGTCAGTTCATTCATTTCCCAGGAAGAGGACATTAATACGGCATTGGGGAGTGTTGGATTATTCTGGGATATAGGAAGTGGAATGGTTCCTGTTGAAAACGAAGAAACAAAGAAAGGATGGAAGATTTTGTTCGAAGTTTTGGAGAAATATTTCTACGACAAAAGACAAAATGTTTCCATAGCAACACTAGACACTTTCTTCAATCTCTGCTCAACATTCAACCAACAGTTCCCTGATGATTTGAAGAAATTCGTGAATGAAGAAATTTTGTCACCTTTATTTGAAAAAATTTTGGAAATTTGTGAAGATAAAAACCAAAGTTTGGCCGACCAAATTGACGCTTTCCTTCTTTCTTTACAAAATGGAATACAAACATTAGTTTCTCTTGGAAATTACCAAAAAGTGATGCCGATTATTGTAAAGACGATAGAAAAAATTTCAATGCGAACAGAGATACAAACGAAATCAAGTGACTGTCTGAAGAATTTCATTTCTTTGTGTGCGATAAATGACAATTTACTGATACATGAAGTGATTAAAAGTTGTGACCAAATTCTGACAAAACTGACACAAAACGTGACAGTTAATAACAACCACATACAAGTATTATCGAATGTTATGGCCGAGATACTTCCAAATGTATGTTCGAAGATAGATGACAGTGATTTCTGTTTAGTTTTAGGAATTTTGGATTTGTTTTGCACTTTTCAGTTGGAAAAAAATTTCCTGAATTTGGCAATACATGTTACATTGAATTCCCTTTCAAACTACAAGGATTTGAGCGAGCAGAGACTGAGCTTGATTGTACAAATGCTTCTAAGTTTGATCAGTTTGAAACACACGAATTTGACATTGAAAGTTTTCGAAGTTTTACAACTTTTGTATGAAAAATTGTTTTCATTCGAAACAAGATCTAAGTGTTTCGAACTAGTACTGCCAATGTTCTTAAGATATCTACCACAATCAGACGCTTACAACTGTCTCAAGAAAATTTTGGAATTCGATGTAAATTTGTCACTTTTTATGATGAAAGAAATAAATGTTCGAAGATTAGTTGATTTAGGCCGAAGATTCAATGATTTCAAAGGCCAAATACTAGAGAGAACTGTCAACTACATGTACTTCATACAGCCAAAAGTGTTCCCTATTTATTTGTCTCTTTCTGATAATTTAGTTTACATATCGTATTTTAATGAAATTTGCCATGTAAACTCGTCAGAAGAGAAAATTAAATTTGCTATTGCAACTAAGAGCGATGTTTATTCTTCGCTTGCAGAGCAGTTTAATTTAATCATTTCTGAAGAAAAAAGCTTGGGAACAATACTTCCAAAATCTAGATATGAAGGTGTGCTTGTTTTCTTAGAAAAAGTGACAGAAATTAAGACAGATGATAGAATATTTGGTCTGACAGATTTTGATAATCAAAGTCATTTGTTTTTGATGGTTGAGATGATGATTAAACTGACTGAATCTAAATCAGGAGGAATAAGAAAAGCTGCACAGAAAATCATACAAATTGTTAATGAAAAGACAAAAGAGAAGCTTATTACTAACTAAGAATAAAGATATTAAAATATTTGTTTGTTATATTTAATATTAATTGTATTTTAAAGTGATTTTTATAAAAAAATTAACTTACAATTCACTCAATTACATCCAAAATCACATAATACTAATTACAATGAACAAGATACAAGTGTAATGCTTTATGTTTATTGCGAGTTTGTGTATTTATAAACTCAATTTTTTCAATTTATGGATCCAAATGCGAACATTATATAAAATTTACCAATTCTAAGAAGTTATGGATAAAGATATTCCATTTGGAATCGCATCATTTCATATCTATGAACTTAATCAAAATTCATATAATTTTTATACACAATTTTTGCAAATATCGTTAAACACATGTATAACAATGTTTTATAACGTGATATTCAAAAATTTGACTTTTAAATTCTTCATGTCTGATCAAGATATTCATCCAAGCAAATACAGTGAACTGAAAAGTATCCTCAAATACCACATTGATTCATATATTGCATTATATCAGTTAAAAACGAAAAACGACGAAGAATTAAACTCAATTTACAAAATGATCAAGGCAGAATTGATTGATTCGAAGAAATGCCATTCTCAAATAATTATAAGAGATATTTTAAATATTATTCCGTATAATAACCGCTATACAAAGTCATATTTATCACTTGCCAAACTCATATCTGATGATTATCATTTAGAAAAGGTACCAGATGTCGAAGATATTTCTAGATATCTGTTTTATAAAGAATATGGAATTAAATTAGACAATTCTGACGCAGACGAAAAAATGAAATCCGTAAATCTCCATATTCATTCAGAAAACACAATTTACAGAGCAATTATGCATAATAACTTAGAAGCATTCGTCGCGTTCACAGAAAGAGATGATTTTAATGAAGATCAAAGACTTAAAAGCAGTTTATATCCATTTGTCAAAAAAGGATATTCTTTACTTGAATTATGTTGTTATCATGGAGCTGTTGATTGTTTCAAGATATTAATAACCAAATTTGACAAGGGGATAACTAAAGAATGACTTCATTTATCGTTTTTAGGAGGAAATCCAGAGATTATGAGTGAATGCTTAAAACATCAAAAACCGGATGAAAAATGCATGGAATATGCAATAATTTCACACAACATTGATTTTGTTACATTCTTGATGAATGAATACAATATAAAGATTGATTTAAATTATTGCCAATATTACAAAAATCTTGATTCATTATTGGTTTATTTCGATCAAACAAATGATATTAACAAATGCTTTGTTTATTCATCGACATTTGGCATATCATCTCTTTGCGAATACTTCCTTTCACATGGTGCAAATGTCAATGAAAAAGATAAATTTGGAAAAGCTGCTCTACATTATGCAGCAGAAAAGAATAGTAAAGAGACAGTCATACTTCTTATTTCACATGGTGCAAATATCAATGTAAAAGATAAATATAAAAAAACGGCTCTTCATTATGCAGCAGAATATAATTGTAAAGAAACAACCAAACTTCTTATTTCACACGGTGCAAATATCAATGAAAAGGATAGATTTGGAAAAGCTGCTCTTCATTATGCAGCAGAATATAATTGTATAGAAATAGTTGAACTTCTTATTTCACATGGTGCCAATATCAATGAAAAAGATGGTTTTGGAAAATCTGCTCTTCATAATGCAACAATAGGAAATAGTAAAGAAACCGCCAAATTTCTTATTTCACATGGTGCAAATATCAACGAAAAAGATAAAGAAGGAAAACTGCCTCTTCATCATGCAGCATGGAATAATTGTAAAGAAACTGCCGAACTTCTCATTTCACATGGTGCCAATATCAACGAAAAAGATGAAGATGGAAAAACAGCTCTTCATTATACATCATATAATGATAGGAAAGAAATAGTCAAACTTCTTATTTCACATGGTGCCAATATCAATGAAAAAGATGGTTTTGGAAAATCTGCTCTTCACTATGTATCATATAATAATAGTAAAGAAACTGTCGAACTTCTCATTTCACATGGTGCCAATATCAATGAAAAAGATGGTTTTGGAAAAACCCCTCTTTATTATGCATCATATAATAATAGTAAAGAAACAGCCAGGTTTCTTATTTCACATGGTGCAAATATTAATGAAAAAGATATATATGGATAGGGTTGTTAGATTCCCGACGATAGGTGTCTTGGAAGATTTGCCTGGTGTCATCATAGTGTCTTTAAATCAAAAATTTTATTTTGGAGTTAGTTTTATTGATTTTTCAATAAAAAACATTTCTAAAACAAGAAAATAAAACGATAAAATATTTATATTTTATATAAGGATCTTATATATTTAAAATAAATATCATTTTATTTTTTTCATTGGTGTCTGTCAAACCATAATACACCATTCAAAAATTCAATGTGTCCTGCGGTTTCAAAAGACACCTTCAAATTGAACGATAGCACAGACACTATTGAATTTTACCCATTTTATTTAGTTTTTACCCTTTTTATTTTTAAGAATTAATGACTGAAACAGCCGTTTTGCTATGACCTCAATCACTTTTATTTATTATTTTAAATATTATTTAATTTTATTATTTGAATAGGCCAACTTATATTTGAGAAGCTCAATTTGAGACCACTTAATACATTGAAATATCATAAATATTGAAATATTAAAAAGTGTATTTCAAAATATTGAAATTATAAAAATTTATAATACTGAAATTGAGACAAATTAATAAATTCAATGTGTTTTTTTTGAAATAACTCTCAAATATTATTTTTTTGTTTATTTAATGATGAATAAATATGATTGCTTTAGTCAATCATAAAAACTAATTTAAGTTTAAAATAATGAAAGGATAATTTGATCGTTTTTTAAAATACAATTATTTTTGATGATTTACAAGAATCTTTGAAAAGAATATAATATAGGTTCTATTTTTGTAAAATTTATCCAAATCATGTATTACATAAATTACGATTAAAACGATGAAAGAACCAAAAAGTGTGTTTTGTTGTTGCGTGTTGGATGCGGGATCCTGTTATTTCCGAAATCGACAAAAAATTTGGAAATTTAATTTCCGAAATCGAAATTATATTAATGTTTTTAATATTCTTATATCAAAAGGATTAAAGTTCATTAAGAGAAAAACAATTCTTCTTCTTCAATCTATTGGCGCATTTATTTCTACACGCCAATAAGGAAGGGAAAATTATAAGACACCATGGTGTCTTCAAAACGCTAATTTTTGATATTTTTAACAACCCTATATATGGAAAAACTGCTCTTCATTATGCTGCAGAATATAATTGTAAAAAGCAGTCAAACTCCTTATATCACATGGTGCAAATATTAATGAAAAAGATATATTTGAAAAAGCTGCTCTTAATTATTCATCGCATAATAATAATAAAGAAATAGTCAAACTTCTGATTTCGCATAGTGAATGTTTATAGTAAAAAATCAATTCTGAATAACTCTCATCCAAAAACCATCATTACAAATGATCCATAATCTGATTATTGGAATCATCTTGTTTGAACAATAAAGGATCTTTTGTGTAAGATGAAATTTAATGAAAAAAGATTTCTTTTAGTTATAAGATGAAATAGTTAAAATTATTACATATACAAGAGATTGAGCAGGAGTATAATAATTTCTGGTCAAACTGGACCAAATTATAGAAATTTCAATATTTGATATGAAATTTCCTAGAAATGTTGACATATTTTAAGGGCATGGTCTTGGAATAGCCTATTTTTCATTAAACAAAATTGGATTAAATTAAGCAGCTAGTGGTTCTGGTCTAGCAAATGATCTAAGAATAAGATAAATAAACTTCAAACTTGCAAAAATTTCAGGATTGTGTATATAGCAAATTTAATATATCCAGGTGATGAAGCATTTGATTCAAGATGTATCAAGAATTTGCAGTCCATTGTTGCAATCATGATTGATTTTAACTTCTTTAAGGGTGCACTTACCACTTTCTGACATTCTCTCAAATTTCTTGTTTATGGTTTTATTTTCTATGCCTCTTCACACCCGTATATCTCTTTTTGATAGAGTGTCAGAAAGTGGTAAGTGCACCCTTAATGCCGATATTTTTGAATTATATACCAAAGCAACGCGTCGCTTTTAATGCTATATCAGCGCTTTGCATCCTCCAATATTAACTTTCCCGTTTTTAAAAAACTGGAGCTGCGGCTTTTGGTTCTTTGTTCCTAAACATGACAACAGGGAAACAAATTGAATTATATTCTGAATTCCTTGTTTTGAGATCGATTCATTTACTATAAGAAAGAGTTAATTCAAACGAGAATACTATTACAAAGAGTGATTTTTTATAACAAGAATGGTGAAAATTCAAAAAAATATTATACATAATTAGCTAATTTTCGAGTTTCTTCATCGAAATTCGAAAGTGTAGGGTTAGTATTTGCATCTACATCAGACATTTCAATTGGCGTCAAAACATGGCCAACATCGCCATCATCTTCTGAAACACGTTCTTTATCACTTGAAAATTCATCGTAATCATCATCGTTGGATGCTTTGCTTCTTCTGTATAGGAAAATACCCATAATGGCTAAACAAAGAAGCATAATAAATCCAAAAACTGACAACAAAATTATTTGCGCCTGTGTAAGTTTTCCTTTTGTGGTTTCATCATTATTAGGAAGATATAGCATTATATTTGTATCTGTTTGGATAGTAGTATAAGTCAAAAATGTTGTTATAGTGAATGTATAAGTTAATCTACCTGATTTATCGGTTGTATATACTGTGTGATTAGTAACAGTCTCAGTAATTGAATAAGAATCAGTCTTAGTCACTGTTAAAGTAAATTTACTATTGTCTTTGTTTCCGCCTCCATTTTGATGGTCGTCAGGTTTAGCTTCACTCTTTCCGTAATTCACGGATATTGTTGTTGGATCAGTTATTGGAGTAAATTCTTCTGTGTCTTTCATATCTGATTCAATTGGAGTAATTTCATCTTTATTTTTTGGCCTTGGCTTATGAGATCTTGTAGTTGGTCTTGGATTTTGCGTTATTGGCGTTGCTACATAAGTATAAAGTGACGGACTAGGGAGAGCTGATGTACTTGATGTTTTAAGATTAGTTTTATTACTAATATCTGTTACAGCCTCTTTAGCCATTCCAAAATCTTCGACTTGGCAGCTACTATCCTCACCTTTCTTGAGAATTTTTTGTTCCAAAATACTATCTCGCCACAAATGCTTTCCAATATTGACACTCCTTGAATTTCCGATCATTGTATCTTCGTTCGATGCCCACTTTGCCTTTCCTTCGAACAAAATGTCATGACAAGGAAAACCTTCAAAGTTGTTTCCATTCTCTGCACTATTTTTACTGAAGCAGCACTTACTAGTAATCAGTTCGCAACCTTTTTGCTCGCTTAATGACCCTTGTTTCTTTAAATCGCCACCAATCATTGCGATTGCACCACCGCCATGAGCACGTAACCCCGCTAGATAAATACCCATTTTGCCATATATAATCTCTTTTTTGCATTGGTTCTCAACAAATCTCGTGTTCTGAATTTGTGCATCTGAATTATCAATTTGTAGAGCGCCGCCAGATAATCTAACATGATTCTTTTTGAAAGTACAGTCATCAATGAAAAGTGTCTGTATCAATGACACATAAATAGCACCACCGCTATTAGTGCCATTATTTTCAATAAAGTGTGACTTATAAACGTTTAACCTATAATAAAGAGTATTATTTCCTTGGAAATATATTGCTCCTGCATGTTTATAACCTTTATTTTTAGAAAATGTTGAATTTTGGATGAAAACATGAGTTTCTAAAAATGCAGCTGCCCCTCCCACACTCGCGAAATTGTTGGTAAAATTATTTTCGTTTTCTAATGTAATTACAGAAAGACAAGTAAAAATGGCGCCGCCACATTCTGGGGTAGTGGCAAACCCAAAGCCTATATTGTTTTCGAAAGTAGCTTTTGTAACAGTGATTCGACACCCATGGTATTCGTATCGATATTTCATATTATTTGATATTGAAATAATTTTGGAGAAATAAATACGGCTCAAATCTGGTGTATCATCTAAATCCAGTTCATTCTGAAATGAAGGAGTTTGTGATTGACTACAAGTAGACACTGCTAATATAAAAAACATTAATTCCCAAAATAATAATTGAATTCTCTCAATTAGAATCGATTTCAACCGTTATATAAAAAAATAATTTGCATAATTATTTTTGTGTTTATGCTTACATGATGTTCCTAAAAATTCTATGAAAATTTGCATTCAAAAATTTTGTGCAAATTGAAAAGTTTAAATTCAAGTTTATTTTGAAAGTATTTTCCACGAACATTAATTAACCAAATATTTTATTTATCGTACATCGTTTTTTATTTTTCCGTATTCACTAATTTTTTGAATTATTTTCTGAGGATAAACGTCATAATAATTATATTTTATCTCTAAAAAATACAGTTAAGCATGATAATATTATTACATATTCTTATTTAACTTTTTATGTGATTAAATTTTATTCGATTTGTTTATGCTCCCTATCAGTCTAAAATTATTTTGAATTTTGAGTTGCTATATAATTTCTTCAATATAGTTAATATCAATAAGTCAGTTGGTATGGTTCTTTAAAATCATAATATTAATTCAATTCTTTGATGTTTTTACTCTTCATTTTATTTATTCTCGATTAATTTCAATTTAAAACTTTAACAAATGCATGACTAGCCACAATATGATCATTAAACACATCTCACGTTTATTCAAATTCCTCAATTGGTTAATTCAGTCATAACAAAGTGGTTATTTATTGACAAGAGCACACTCTCATATATTAGTGCTATTTATCAACTTATTGGCAAGATTTATTTCAATAAAAGATCGAAATATCTTAGTAATTTATGATATCTTTAACTAATTTTCTTATCTTCTTCTAATTATCGCTTTGTTTTATCTATGTGTACAAAATATTTACGTTCTTATTAACACAACATACTTTTTAACAGTTATGATAAATTTGATTTTCAAAAGGTTTTGCATATAATAAATAGTTCATAATAAAGTGTTTATTCACATCTATTGCGCATTGATCGCTGCTTTAATATCTTTCTTTACAAAAATAAAACTTCATCTTCGACAAACAGTTCTGTATTCTTAAATTCAAGTTTCTTGAAGTCAATTGGAGGCAATGATTTCCTTACAGGAGCTCTTTTTGGTCTATCAACTGTAAATGTGAATTTGTTGTGAGTAACTTCTCTTGTTTTTGTTGGTGATAGATCCAACTCATCTTCCTCCTCATTTTTATTCGCATCTTCTTCCTCTTCGGCTCCATTTTCAGGTATTTGTTCAGGTTCGAATTGTTCTTCTTCTTCCTCATCTAAAATATCTTGATTGACATTATCACCTTGTTTCTGATCTTCATCTGTTTTAGTTGCTGGATCGAAAATGTCAATAGAATCGTCATCATCTTCAATCGGATTAATCTTTTGAGCATCATCTCCTTTTTCATTTTCAGGCGTATTAATGATATCAATTGAATCATCGTCGTCATCATCAAGAGGGTTTATATTCTTAGATTCTTTTTCAAAATTTTCATTATTTTCTTGTGGTGGATTCAAGTCATTAATCGAATCATCGTCGTCATCAGAAATGTTTGTAATTTTATCGTTTTCATCATTTTTCTGATTTGGAGGAGGAAGATCATCTAAAGAATCGTCATCAACCAATTCAATAGGCTTTTCCTTGTTAATATCTTCTAATGAATCATCATCGTCATCGAGTGGTGTTAATTTGCTTACATTACCGTTTTTATCCTTATTTTGTTCAGGTAATGCTATGGAATCATCAGATATATCGATTTTATCCTCCTCTTCTGTCTTAGAAAACTCTATTACTTTTAGATCCTCTGTATCTTCGTCATCGCTTTCGACAATGTCAAAATCATGTATTTCAACGACTGTATTTGTTGATCCTTGGGAGCCATTCTTTGCAGGTGACTTCCTACGCTTTTGCAAGAATGATGGCATTGGTATATCGAAATCACTTGAATCACTTTCGAATGCATCGTAAAACATTCTCTTTTTCGGAGGATTCTGCTGCAATTTTGCTTGTTTTGGACTTCCTGATACGAGACCAAAAGAATTACTTCCAGATTGTCTCGGTGATCCTGTCGGATATGGAACATTGCCGTTTTCAAAATCTGAAGAATCACTAGAATCGTTTAAATCCATGAAAAGTTTTCCTTTTGGCTGATACCACTCATGTCGTGGTGATGCTTTTGGAAAGTAAAAGAATTTGTAGCCAGCATAATCTTTTCCACGATACATTTTTGTTTGTTTATTTTGTAAATTTTATATTTTTTGTAAACCGCAATTTTTCCTTACAACAACAATTGAAAAAGTTTTGGGATACCGGCCAAAATTGTTTCCCAGTTTTATTACAAAATTTCAGATAATTGCCTTTTGAGTACTCAAAAGTGACATAATTTTATGTAGTTCGACAGTCGCATTTCAAAGGACACCGCATTATTAGCTTAGTTCTTTTTTATATAACATCGCAAGAGGAAGTACTTTTTCTACTTTTTGTTAAGTCATTGGCCTAATATTGAAAAATTATCAATTTATATTCCCTATTTTTCATGTAAGAACGATTCACTCAATCAAATATTATATGGTTATTATCGTTACTGTTAGTTTTGTCTAAAGATAACTTAATTTTTTTTCATAAAATTGGAAAGATTCAGAAATTCTCTTTTAACTAACGAAAAAACTTTTATAATATAACTGTCTCTTTCTAATTTCCAAGTTTTACTGCTTAAATCCTTAATTTATTATATTTTTTATAAGAATGAAATTATTGCAATTTTGCATGCAGAAACTATCATAAAATATCGGATCTGATACATTCACACTCATAATTTTGATTAATATTAAACTAATTCTTTATTCATTTCAAAATATTCATAGTATCATTTAGTGATGGCTATTTCACAAATAATCATACCTTCAGCATTAAGAATTATAACCTAATTTGCATGGAATAGCAATACAATAGAAATTTTAATAAACGATAATCGTTCAATTTATTTTTAAAACATTCTATTGGGAACTTATCTTTAAGTCTTTTCCAACAAAATAATCGGAAATTGTAAAAAGGAAATTGAGAGTTATTTTTCTTTTTCTAAAATTATATGTTTCTAGCCTTAATACCATCAATTATATCCGCTGAGTATGAAGCACTTCTAGGATATAATTCAGTTACTGTCAGTAACAGCGAAAAAACAACAATTAAAGGAAAAATTGGAACCATTGATGAGGATTTTTACATCGTATTTCATAACCCAGATTATTTTTATGGCGAAAATCAGGAGAGTTGATAACAATCTTAAAAAACAAGGAAAGCACTCAAGTAATTTCTAAACAAGGTTCAAAAGAACTCAAATTCCATCTCATTAATGTAAATAAAACGATATGCAATGAAGTACAGTTCATCATGAATTTTGATCCAGAACCAGTTTATCAAAATCTTACAGATACTCACTATGAAGATAATTTTACTTATTGCTATTATCTTGCAAGTGTTCTTTCATTATCATATAAAGTTAAAACCAGTGCACCAATTAATGCTGTTACATACACAACAGACGGTTCCGAATTTAAGAATTTGAACGATGGATATGCTTTATCCAATTCAGTTCAATCGCCAATACTAGTTAAAATGGTTACACAATCTACCGAGAACGTTAGTTTTGGAATTAGTTTCATGCATACAAGATCTAAGATGCCAAGTACAGATAGACTTGCTTTTGGCCCAATGCATTACGGCTCAATCAATCCTAATCTCGTTTACTTCATCCATACAAGGAATGGCAATGAAAAAAAGGAAAAAGTTTTCTTGAATTACACAACAGAGCTAGTTCCTGGAGTTTACGATCTATAAATCGTTCCAGAATACAGAGAATTCCATGTTAGTAAGGATACTTTCTTAATTTTCTCACATTTAGTGAACGCTCAATTCGAAGGATATATTGAGCATAAACCAAATGACGTCAAGCTGTTCCAAGGCCAATTTGGCGGTCGTGCAATCCGTTTCACAAGATCTGCATCGATGTTCATAAAATCCGACTTTTATCCTCTTCTTAGAGTTACAGTTTTCAGTACAAAGAAGCAGCCATACTGTAATTTCCAAGTAGCTTCGATGGGAATGACCTCTTTCACAATAGCAAACAATATTCCACCAGGAAATTTGACTTCTAGTACTGCAAGCTCTTATTGCATCTTCTATTCATATCCATATGAAGGAATAAATGGTACATTAGTCAATACTGGCAAGAAATTCAAGACAAGATTGTATGATGTAGAATCCAAGACAACAACTGATCTCCAGCAGCCAGTAATGTTATATTTATATGGAAAATCATCATCTGTTAAGACTTTCCAAGTTGGAATTAATTATGACTACTATGATTCACAGAATTTCCATAATGGAGTAATTAGTCAGACATTGAATCCATTCCTTGTTACAATAGGTGTCTATGCTCCAATTGCATGGATCACTATATCAGTTGTTGTCTTCTTAATCATTGTTGCTGTTGTAATTGGTGTTGTTTATTACAAAAGAAAGAAGAAGACAAAGGGCTACTCAGAAATATCTGAAGCAGATCCATTGTCACTCTAACTGAGAGATATTATCAAAAATTGTTTTAATATTAAACATTTTTTAAATTTATATGATTTTTTTTATTTCAAGCATATATACAATCTCAACATAATCGTGGAATTATCTAATTTTAAAGCATGTTTCAAACTGATTGCTTAATACCTTTATTCATTTTCCATCATGTAAACCTCAATGTCACTTTTGCGGCCGAGCGGAGCGAGGCCGCAAAAGTAACATCGAGGTTTACATGGATGGGTTCTATATATATACAGCTTGACCGGTAGAAAAGCGGATCGATTTTTATCAATAATTGGACATTCTATTTTTAATAAAATAAACATATATTTATATGGGAAATTAAGGAGATCTGAAACTCAAAAATTATTTTTGAATTTTAATATGATGAATGTAATTGTGATAATATGTACATTACAAATAAAATATTAATTCGGAACAACGATGAGATGTGATAAATTTGATTCTCTCAAAAATCGATTTTGGAGTTTTAATATTAATTTGTATCTTATATGCATATAGGATATATAATAATTTTAAAACATCAAAAAGTGACAATTTGCGGTTAGAAAAAGTCATCAAAACACTTTTTAATGATTTGATTTAACATATGCATAGACCATCTCTTTGATATTTAACTTCAATTTCCCGAAATGAAAAGGATTTGAACAAAAACAATTATTTTACGATCATTTTTTTAAAATTTTTTAAATTGAGACTGACATCTCTAAAATCATCTAAAAAATCCAAATATCAAATAAAATAATATCATTAAAATTCCTCTCAATTTAAAAAATTTTTATCAATTGAGACTTCAATATCTAAAATCTTCTAAAAAATCCATATATCACAAAAAATCACGATATTATTTTTATTCTCAATTTCAAAAATTTTTTTGTACTGACTTTCTTTTTGCATAACAGCATGGCAGAAATTTGAAACGAAGTTTCAAATTTCTCAATCTTGCATTCTGGGCACGTAAGTGCCCAGAATGCTAAAAGGTGCGTAGCGCCGTCTCTGAATATCAAATTTATTATAATTATTAATTTATGAAATTTCAAATAAAATCGATCTGTTATAACACACTGGTGCATGACAGCCTTGTCATTCATTTCTATCGGCGCACCGAGCGCGCCGATAGAAATGAACGTGTATATATATACAAACACCTGGACTCATTTCAAAAAGCATTGTAGAATCTGATTCTATTTCTATATTTTATAAAATTAATATATGTTTGTATGGGAAATTCGGGAGATTCAAAACTCAAAAAATAAAACTCGATAATTTTAACATATCTTTATTCACATTTGTTTATAAATTAGTATCAACTCATTAATATCTATCAACTCCATGATTCAATTTTAATGATATCAATAAAATTCATTTATATTATAAATATTAAACTGTATATAGTATGTGTGTTCTGATAACATTATAATCTCATATACTGGCGATTTGGCACCCCTTGTCACTTTTTATTAAATTTTGTATTTTTAAAACTCGATTTTAAAAATAGTTTTAGAATACTGATATAATGTATAATTTATTTTACCCATCAAAATTTAAAAAAGTTCAGTATTTGCCATTTTAGACTTCAAGCTCGCGACACATTAACCGCTTTTTTAAAAATTGAGACTGACATCTCTAAAATCTTCTAAAAAATCCATATATCACATAAAATCATATCATTAAAATTCCTCTCAATTTTAAATTTTTTTATAAATTGAGACTGACATCTCTAAAATCTTCTAAAAAATCCATATCTCACAAAAAAAAACTCAATTTTATTTTTACACTCAAATTCCACTCAAAAAATCTATTTGGATAAAAACAAGGTAGAAATTTGAAACGAAGTTTCAAATTTCTCAAGCTTGCATTCTGGGCACGTAAGTGCCCAGAATGCTAAAAGGCGCGTAGCGCCGTTGCTCAATTTCAAATTTATTATAATAATTATTTTATTATAAATCGATCTGTTATAATACACTGATGCAATACATCAATTTATTTAACCTCTAAATCCAAAAAACTCAAATGAGATCACATTACAGTCTTGTTTATCTCTTTGTAAATATGCGTTTTCATGCGACATTGATGTCAACATGCATGATATATTTGGAAATACAGCTCTTGTCATAGCTTTATAGGCTTAAATTAAGATATTTCAAAAATGTGAAATTCCTCATTATAATTCTGTGTCAAATGCCATAATGAAGGTTTACCTTTTCCAAAGTACATTAATCGCCATCCAAAATTGGGATATCAATAAAATGATAGAGCGAAACAATTTGTTAAGAAAAGTGACATTCAAGTTTTCTGGGATTTGATGAAATCGATCATTTTTATTTTCAGAAGTTTACAAGAATTTTGAGATCAGAAATAAAAACAATAAAAAATATTTTAGAGAATTGGTTAACCATAGATGAAATGATCCCTTTGAAATTATTTTGAATTAGCTACCGATACTCGCTCTCACTTTTTTATGTTTTCTCTCTTTTTCTTACATTCTCTTTCAAAAGACTTTTGCTTCCATAGTGGAGGCGAAGGAGAATGTCCCGCTGGATCTATAGGCATAAAAGATATTGAAGATATTTCTTATAATATTAACTCTTCTGATACTTCTATCGATATCACAGTTATTAATACAATTGATACACCTTTTAGATGCAATTCAACTAATCAAGCACATCTACCAGTTAAAATTACTGGTATTGGCAATTCTTACGCTGAATATTCAATAATTGGTCCTTTAGTAAATATTAATGACTTATCTATATCAAACATAAACTTAAAAATCATTACAAATGGAAATATTATCAGCTTTGACACGCTAACTCTCTCAGGAGTTTCATTTTCTTTTTCATCACCGAATCAAATCCTTTATGCTCGGAAATTAACATGCGATATTTATAGTATGCAATGTTTCGATGCAGTACAAGCTCCAAAAATCACTGTTACCCATGAAACAAAGCCAAATATTGATAAACTTGCTACAATTCAATTAGAGTCCAAAACAACTGATGTATCATTCATAAATCCATCATCAAAGACAAGAATGTACATCAAAGACCGTGATGTTCAACTCAGATACGATAATAAGCTTTCTCCTTATTTAATCATCAAATACCTTGACTCTGCGCAAGAACTAAACCTTCATGCCGAACTCTACACCAACGATATGTTTGTAGAATGTGATGAAATTTATGATCATATTTCTTTCGATTGTATCGTTAATGGCAGCACGATTCTTACTCTTGGAAGCAATACGGCCAGATTGTTCAATGACAAAACGATCAAAATTGGTGATGGCCACTTAATTTTCAAAGATTCCGATTATCAAGCGAATTTAGTCTTTTTGGCCGACCATCATTCACTTATTGAATCTGGTGAGGAAGTTCACTTTAACGATATAAAGGTTTACAACCATTCTCTTAACTTAGATTCGCCATTTGCTTCATTAATCAGTTGCGAATCGATAACATTCGAAGGAACATCATCAATAGAAGTCAAATACCAAACACGTATCGTTGGTGATGAAATGACTTTAAAGGGAGAAGTAATTGCAAATTCAAATCAAACTTCTTTTGAAAACTTCAAGAGGATCACTACTACATCAGAAACATCAGTATTACCAGCAGTAGTATCGCATGAATTACTGATAGATATCCCGATTTCTTTCAGTAATTTGGGGCCATATCTAAAATTTGGCAGATTAATGTCTTCAAACATCACTCTTCGCCTTTCGCATACAAGAGAAGAGTATGAGAATGAATCTTGCTGGGATGTTTTCGTGAATAACCTCATTCCTTTGGTTTATGCAACAAATCTTCAAGTTACTGATCCGAAATTCATTGTTATTAAGGATTCAATGGATCCATGGAAGAATCCATTCACATTTTTCACCCAAGAACGCGTTGTTTTCCTTCAAAAATACCAAAATAACGCATTATGTTTCAAAATGCTGGCAAATCCTGCACATACATACAGGACATATGTTTATTCTAACACTCCAATACCTGCTGCCCATGATTTGGTCGTATCTAAGTCGAATCCGTGGTATAAAGGTTCGAATTTCAATCCTTACACGGTTGGTGTCAGATTTGTCGTCCACGAGTCAATAAATGAAGACGATACCGTAGATTTTTCAAAGGTTTCCGGTAACGGACAGAACATTTCTGCATTTTTCGTAAAATCTGACTACGCCGGTGCCGAAATCGAGCCAAATGCATCAGTTAATGTTGATACATTGAAAGGCGTATGCAACGAGCTTACTTTCGTTGATGTTTTGGCGAATTTCGTTTCAAATAATTTTACAAGTATCGTAGAAATTGATAAGTTCACAGCATTAGGTACTACAGACTTCACACATAAATTATTCAAGGTCATTTCTCCTTGTATCGAATTGCAAGATACAGTTTTTGAAAAATTCGAAATTCAAGAAGGAGATAAGATCACTTATATACCATCTGGTGTTGATGTTTCAGTTGTATTCAACCCAGAGGGCTGGATTATCACCAGTGTCCATGAAAATATCAATTGTTCAGTAAGAAGAAATATTGATTTGACAATTAAGATGCAAGAAGGCCAATCCAGGCTTAATCTCGCAGTTTCACAAGGTGCACAGTCCATCAGAACCATGAAAGCTGCATTTTATGGCTACGGATCCATAATTATTTCAAAAGATTTCGAAAATTACATGTCAAATCCACCGATCATGGTATCTTCAACCAACGACAACATCTATTTGGAGGTATCAGGTTCATATGTCCCAGTAATTTTCGGAAACCTCAAAAAAGTTGTTATTAACTCAAATGTCGAAGGATTAGAGACATCTTTCCCAGATAACAGCTTCTTCAATTCGAAATCATTGGAGTTCTCCATTCCGGACACCTCTAGAATCAAATCCATCAATATGGGAAACTTCAAAATTAATGAACCGCTTGAAGACGATGAATGTTTGATCATTTCGCATCCAGTCATCAAGTTTGAGTCATTAAGAGTCGGAATATCCCGTTTCTGCGAACTTAAGAACGTAATTTGTCAAAATTTAATTGTTGATATGACAGAAAAGGTCAATCTCCGCAATTCTATTGTAGACAAAGTAACTGTTCAAGGAGATGCAGGCGCAGAATCATTCCCAACTGTTTTACTGTTTAATACAACAATCAAGAGCTCATTAATTGATATTGCAAGGCGAAGTGTTGAGAAATTGTTGGATGAATCGAGAATGGTCTTTAATTCAGACGGTTCTTTCGATTTGAGAACAATTTCAGACAAATTAGAGATTTCTGACAAATACATATTTGTTTCAGGCAAATCTTACTTCATCACAACAAGTATATCCAATGATGCCTTGTTCATCAAATTCAATGAAGTTCCTCGTCCTCCAACACCAAAACCAACTTCATCAGAAACAATCACTTCTGTTCCTCTCCCCACACAGACAGAGATACCTGACGAAAGAGGAGGACTGAATGTCGGTGCTGTAGTTGGAGGAACTGTCGGAATTCTCGTGACAGTGATTATCATCGTTGCTGTGGTTATCTACTACAGATCTGTGCCAAAACAGGAGTTGGACAGCGAAATATTGACTGTTTCTAATGATTACATGCTGAAGGATGGAATGAACGTTTAGATATAAAAATTTTTTATGTAAATTAAATAATTTAATGAATACTTTTTACTTTTTGACAAAAAATTGAATGAAATCAAAATGAACTGAAGAGTCTACTACTTCACTTCACTTTTCCTCCAAAGCAATTATAACTATGATTCTTAGCAGTATTTACTATTGTCATCCTATATAAAAGCATTATTTCTATATTATTATACAAAGTGAATTTAAATTTGGTCATTCACACCCGTTGACGAGTAATAAGAGAAGGAGAGAATGCCATATATACAGTGTCATTTCATAGGATTGAGATGGTCTATAATGTGGAAAATGGATGGTTATGTATTCAATTAAGGTTAATCAAAAAGTGTCATTTAGATTATGATAAAAATCAAATCTTTGACACCGTAAAAATATATGATAAAGTTTTTTATACTCATAGAAGCATTGATGTTTGGTACCAGTACTTTGCTAATGATACAATTCCTCAAAATATTTCCGAGAATGCAGTTTGGACAGGACCTGGAAACATTTTTGCTGATGAAATCTGTTTTCAAGGATTAAATCAGAATGGTGTTATTACTGTTAGTGATTCAAACGTTTTAATTAATTATTGCAGATTCTCAAATTGTAGTTCTAATAACAAAGGCGCATGCGTTTCACTTATTAATGGAGAAAGTATCCACTTGAAAATATGTTGTTTTAATTGTTCTACTGCCGATATTGGTGCCTATATATACAATGTGCTATCTGATGAGAAAGGGAAAAGAAATTTTATTTTTGAAAGCTCTATTACTGATACTGTATCAAAAAGTGACGCATCTTTTTGGATTGAATATGGTAAAATAGATATAAATACCATGAATAACTCATATAATTATGCTACCTATAATCCGTTTTGTGTAATCAGACCCGGAAACGCAAATAATACAACTTTTACTTTCTGTGAGATATTTAATAACACCAGTCCTTTTCAAGCAATATTTTGGAGTTATAGAATTTATTTTGAAATTATTTCCTGTGAATTCATAAAAAACTATCAATCGGACAGAAATTTTTGCCTGTTTCATATTTATGGTGTCGGTCAAATTAGAAATTCAATTTTTATTTCAAATATCTGTAACAAATTATTTCCTAATAATGTAATAGTAGATAATTCCTTCCTGAAAAGCAATACTGAAAAATCTGATTCATCTTCAAATGTTAAATCTACTATAAATGCATTACCTTTTAAGTTTGATAAATTTCTAATAAGTTGCAGATATTACAATATTGATCCCACATATTTCTGTATGTATCCATATCAATGCATAGAATTTATAAACACAAATATATTGTAGCTGACTAAAATATATTTAACTTGCCTACTTAAGGCTGTACCTTCACACATCTGATTTTAATTCAAAATTTTGACAACTGTGGTGAAGCGTCATCATATCATGAATTCGATCTTTTTTGGAATATTTCTTTAGATGATGACCTTTTTTAATCATCTATTGTAAAAGGCTGCTATGAATACATTTCGTGCTGTAAAGCCTGGTGAGACAAGTACATTAATTTTACATTCTGTGTTTTACATTAGTTCTTCATAGGTAATTTCTTGGCGTAATTCAATGTCAAAAACAATCATTTTATGTAGTTTCAGACAAATTTAGATCTTCGGCATATAAATTATTTTTATGATTCTTTATTCAAAAATAATGCTGAAAAGTCTAATACATCGTCAAGCATTGTATTTTCAATAATGATTCCTCTTTCAAATTAGCTGCAAATATATCACTAATCTCATGTAACTAAACTCTTATTTGTTAAATTATCTACAAAGCAATACAAAATAAAAAAATAATCAAATTTTAAGATTATTTTGTAATTAATACAAAGCAATAAGAATAAGCAACAGTGCAATCACCAGCAAAGCAATACCTAAAGCACTCCAATGTATTTTTCTTGGTGTGGCGGAAGCTGTTGGATAAGCAGTTTCTGTTGGTTGCGGAGAAAACTCTGCTGAAGGAGTAAACATTGATGTTGGAGGGAAAGGAGATCTTGTTGGAGATAAAGATCTCATTGGAACTGGAGATGGTTCCATAGTTCTGAAAACGGTTGGATAAGCAGTTGACATTGCCGTTGAGAATGGTGTGTTGAATGGCGTTTCCTGATTCGTTGGATGCAATGTTGGAGAACTAGCAGGAGTTGTGTAAGGCGTTTCAAACGGTGTCGTAAAATGAGGAGTTTCAAATGGAGTGATTGCATTTGTAGTGTGTGCTGTGCTAAAAGGTGTTTCAAAAGCAGTTGACCAAGCTGTCTGGAATGGAGTTTCGAATGCAGTTCTGTAAGGTGAGTATGTAGCTGATGGTTCTTTGATGATTTTCTTAGTTTCACCATCAGAGAGAGTATAAATATCATAACTACTCTTTGAAATGTTAATATTGCTCGTCTAATCTTGTGAATACAAATAAATTGTTTCAATTGCGATGCTATCACCATTAACATAGCATGATTGAGGATTAGTTGTTGCAGTACAATTCTTAAACATCAGATAAATGAGAGCTTACTTTCGTTGATGTTTTTGTGAATTTTGTTTCAAATAATTTTACAAGTATCGTAGAAATTGATAAGTTCACAGCATTAGGTACGACAGACTTCACACATAAATTATTCAAGGTCATTTCTCCTTGTATCGAATTGCAAGATACAGTTTTTGAAAAATTCGAAATTCAAGAAGGAGATAAGATCACTTATATACCATCTGGTGTTGATGTTTCAGTTGTATTCAACCCAGAGGGCTGGATTATCACCAGTGTCCATGAAAATATCAATTGTTCAGTAAGAAGAAATATTGATTTGACAATTAAGATGCAAGAAGGCCAATCCAGGCTTAATCTCGCAGTTTCACAAGGTGCACAGTCCATCAGAACCATGAAAGCTGCATTTTATGGCTACGGATCCATAATTATTTCAAAAGATTTCGAAAATTACATGTCAAATCCACCGATCATGGTATCTTCAACCAGCGACAACATCTATTTGGAGGTATCAGGTTCATATGTCCCAGTAATTTTCGGAAACCTCAAAAAAGTTGTTATTAACTCAAATGTCGAAGGATTAGAGACATCTTTCCCAGATAACAGCTTCTTCAATTCGAAATCATTGGAGTTCTCCATTCCGGACACCTCTAGAATCAAATCCATCAATATGGGAAACTTCAAAATTAATGAACCGCTTGAAGACGATGAATGTTTGATCATTTCGCATCCAGTCATCAAGTTTGAGTCATTAAGAGTCGGAATATCCCGTTTCTGCGAACTTAAGAACGTAATTTGTCAAAATTTAATTGTTGATATGACAGAAAAGGTCAATCTCCGCAATTCTATTGTAGACAAAGTAACTGTTCAAGGAGATGCAGGCGCAGAATCATTCCCAACTGTTTTACTGTTTAATACAACAATCAAGAGCTCATTAATTGATATTGCAAGGCGAAGTGTTGAGAAATTGTTGGATGAATCGAGAATGGTCTTTAATTCAGACGGTTCTTTCGATTTGAGAACAATTTCAGACAAATTAGAGAATAATTTATGGTTGCAATTACCACTTTTTGTCATCCTCTCATAAAAGGTAGAAGATATGCTTGATCTCACAATAAAGTAAGATCTTATACTCCAGGATGCACTTTTTGAATATCAAAAGAGAGTTCCCTTCATTTTCCTCTCATAAATCTTGATTATAATTCAAAAACAAATCAGCTTTTGTGTGTACAATAAAATGATCTATAATAACTTTCTTCCAACAAAAAGAATGGGGCGATGAAACTTTGAGCGTTAAAAAAAATCGAAAGAATGTCAGAAAGTGAAAGTGCATCCTTAAGGTGATATGAGAGAGAAGTAGTAGCATACTGCAGATGTAGTATCATTTCATAGGATAAAGGTGGTATTTAATATGGCATATAATTGTATTTAAACATAATTATGGGCCTAAATATTTTGTATTCAATTAAGGCCTTATCAAAAAGTGACATTATAGATTATGAATAGAATCAAACTATTCAACTCTAAAGATTAATGTTAAAATTTTTTATACTCATAGAAGCATTGATGTTTGGTACCAGTACTTCGCAAATGATACAATTCCTCAAAATATTTCCGAGAATGCAGTTTGGACAAGGTCTGGAAACGTTTTTGCTGATGAAATCTGTTTTCAAGGATTAAATCAGAATGGTGTTATTACTGTTAGTGATTCAAACGTTTTAATTAATTATTGCAGATTCTCAAATTGTAGTTCTAATAACAAAGGCGCATGCGTTTCACTTATTAATGGAGAAAGTATCCACGTGAGAATATGCTGCTTTAATTGTTCTTCAAATGATGATGCTGCCTATTTATACAATGTGCTATCTGATGTGAAAGGAAAAAGAAATTTTATTTTTGATAGCTCTATTACTGATACTAAAACAATTAGTGACGCTTCTTTATGGATTGAATTTGGTGAAATAAATATAAGTGCCATGAATAGCTCATATAATTATGCTACCTATAATCCGTTTTGTGTAATCAGACCTGGAAGCACAAATATTGCAAATTTCACTTTCTGTGAAATATTTAAAAACACCAGTCCTTATCAAGGAATATTTTGGAGTTATGGAAATTATTTTAAAATTATTTCCTGTGAATTCATACAAAATCATCAATTATGTAACTCTGATGGCTTGATATTAAGGGTGCACACGAGAGGATCATGTAAACTTCAGAATTTAGAACCTTATTTTTAGGCATTATCTTGGCTACCTATTTAGGCTCGAAAAGCAAAAAATATCAAAAAATACAACTTGACTCCATTATGACCCTTTCATGGAGGTAGTTTTTATCCGCTAGTATTTTCCCTTTGAATCTCTTTACAATTCGAAATCAAATTCAAAACTCAGTAGAAGAAAGGAAGAATCGACTTACTACGGTTGTAATACGAATAAATACATATATTTAATTATTTTTATTTACATAATAATTGTTTGAAGCTCATATTCCATCAAATTTTTAAATAAAAACATTAAAATGTTGAAAATGTTCATATATTTTAATAGGGTTTTGGCACTTTATTTAGGAATTACTACATACATAGTCGAACTGAACTTGATATTTTGAAATTTAAATTATTTATCAAAATTAAAATTTAACTTGAAATTTATAATTATTTAGTCATATTTTGCATAATTCTAAGTAGATTTTGTAAAAAATCAAGAAAGAAAAATTTTAACGTGCTTTATTTTTTCTTTTTTATAATAATACATATTATTATATAATTAACATATTCATAATGTTTCACCCTTTCAAAAATATAATCCTCCTCCTCTCAAATAAACGTACATACGGGTGGCCTCTTTTTTCAAAAAATCAAAATTTGAAATTTTGGGCTCAAATATTAGAGATTTTTTCAACCTTCAACGATATATGTTGTCTATATCAGACCTCCTTTCTTTTTGATACTTAACATTGTTCCTAAATCTTAGCCGTTAAGGCTGTTCTGAAAATATTTTTTTTTCGAAAAAATTCGAAAAAAATTCTTAAAATTCAAAAATCCCTTAATTCCTGAGGATTTTGGGAAAAAGTTTTTACATGAACATGTGTATATTATATGTATGGCATTCCAAACGGGAACCGCGGTTGGTTACCATGGATTTCCGTCACCGGTCACATTTTAAAGATTTTTAAAGCCTTATAAAAATATGCTTTGTAAATCATTTTTTGTAAATCGGCAAAAATTTGGTAATTTTCTTCAACTAATAAATCTGCGAATAGCATTTATAATACAAGAACAATCTTTTAAAATGCGTTTGATTCATTTTTGTATAATTTCATATAGGCACATATATTCTTCCGGGACTTTCCGTGATTTTACCGTAAAATCATTAGTTTACACCAATTTTTCCGTATTTTGAATAGTTTACTGCACTTTTTCCGTAAAATTGAGTTACGGGAATCCGCAAAATTTCCGGACCTCATTTTTCATAGAATATAATAATAATATTTGATAAAAAGATATATTATTTATATTTTTGATTTTTGAATTACGGAAAAAGTGAATTGATAACTTGATTTTTTTATATGGTTAATTTTTCAAATGATATTATGAAGATCTAAAATATTAAAAGTAAAAAATTGAATTACGGAAAAAGTGAGGTCAAAAGTGAAATAAATTTGCAGAACAATTTTCATTGAAATAAGCTTTATTTTTCATTATTAATAACAATGCTGTAATAAACAGAAATTCATCAAAAGTGACAGCTCTCAATTTTTTGACATTTGTAAATTCTAAATTGAATGAGAAAAATGAAATAATACTAAGCATAATACAATATTCTAGATTTAATTATAATTAGGAAAAAGTTAGTTTTGAGAGTACTTTTCATAGGCATATAGAATGAAATCTTCTGAAAAATAATATCATATAAACTCATATTATTTTCTAATATATAACTATTTTATATAAAAATCAAATTCAATGATCTGAAAAGCGAAGGATAAACCTCAAAATTTACGAATATAATGAGTGGGAATATAATGCTTATCTATCATAAAACCATATGAAATATCAATTTTTGCTTTACGCCTAATTTTTGACGACAATTAGCAAAAAATGTTAAATGTTAACACTCAGTCCATTTGAATATGAAAAATAAAATTGACTTTGATTAAATGTTTTTATTTATCATGCAATTCTTCTTGCGACCAAAGATTTGAATAAAATTTCAAAAAATAAGATAGCTTAAAAAATAATATACGGTAGTGTTTACTAATAGATGAATAGTATATAAATTCTATTAAAATGGATTTGATCCAAAAAAATATATAAAATTTGATCATAAATAAAATCGTTTTAAATTACTTCTTCATTTAAATTATAACAATTATTTTTGGTTTTATAGTTTTTAAAGCTCATGTGGTTTTTTTAACCACAGAATACTTATGTGCTGTAGCAAGCTTGCAATCCAAAGCTCACGTTAGACAACAAGAGTCATGAAGTCTCATACTAAGGGATATCCAACATATATTTTAATAATCTAATGTTTGTGACAAATATTCAACATAAAATTAAGTTTTCGTTTCGTTACAAGGCATTCATACTTTGGAGATATCATATTTAATGTACAGAAAAGTTAATATTAAACAATACATGCTAAAGAATTAATAAATAAGATAATAAAATAAATTTATACGTAATTACTTTCATTTAATATGCTTTATGCTGTATAATATTTGATTAAGAGCATTAAAAGGTTCCATAATCTGCTTTTATAGCAAGATTTTTGATAAAAATTTTAAATTTTGAAAAAATGATGAGAAAAGGAAAAAAAAGGTAAATGAGAGCAAGAGGAGGGAAAAAAGAAAAAGAAAAGGAAGGGAAGGGAAAAATAAAAGAAAGAAGGACATATAAAAATTTAGATGCGCATTCTTAATGCCGAGGCGGCTTGCCGCCGAGGCGCGATTTTTTTAGGCCTCTACGGTAACCCGGCAATGTTTTTTTAAATCTTGTACAGCCCTAATTATATGAAGTATATTGATAAGGTAAAAATCAAATTTTATTGCATAGTCATCGAGAAAATAAACTAATGAATCCCTCAAAATTGAGAGGGTAATCCTCCTCCTCTCAAATAAACGTACATACGGGTGCACCCTTAAATAAGTATGGAGCTGGAGAAATTAGAAATTCGATTTTTATTTCAAATGAATGTTTCAAATTATTTAAGGATGATGATATAAAAGTATATGATTCTTTCCTGAAAAACAATACTGAAAAATCTGATTCATCTTCAAAAAAAAAAAAAAAAAAAAAAAAAAAAAAAGGCATTGGGGCTTCCAGGCACTTCGTGCCCTCTAGCCCCGAAGATGTTTTGTCACTTTTCTGTCACTTTTCAGGTAAAAACATTTTTATTATTATATATAAATGAATTTTACAAAACCACCGTTACCCTTCTTTGGAAATAAGAGTAGATGTAAAGATATTATATTGAGAGAACTTAAGAAACTACCGAATGGTCTAACATTTGTAGATTTGTTCGGTGGAAGTTTCTATATATCCCATTTGTGCCATACAATATTCCCAGACTCAAAGATTATATGCAATGACTTCGACAACTATATGAACCGTCTCAAACATATACCAGACACAAACAAAATATTGAAAGAGTTAAAAGAAAAGATACCTATAGGTAAGATGGAACGTATACCATTAGATAACAAAAATATTGTGAGAGAGGTTTTGAAAAAAGCAGAATATATAGACTGGGATAGTATATCTGCTAGACTATTATATAGTGGTGCTATAAGAGTTCATGACATTGAAACACTTATGTCAAAAGTTTTATATCTTAACTATACAAATGTTTTCAAAGAGGACATAGAAAAATATATTGAGGGTATAGAATTTGTGAGATGTCATTGGACAGAGTTGTATGAAAAATATAAAGACAAGGAAAATGTTTTCTTTATAGTGGACCCGCCGTTCTATAACACATGGGATTTTCAATACCAAGTAGACTGGACTTTGAGAGACTCTTTAGAAACTTTAGACGTTTTACATAACCATCCATGCTTTTACTTTACATCCGATAAAAGTGGTTT